GGTTCATCAGCTCGGCGAGCGGAGGAATCTCCATAAGGATCATCTGGTTCAGGATCAGGACAAGGATCTGGTTCATCAGGTTCAGGATCATCTGGTTCAGGTTCATCAGGAACAGCAGCTTCAGGATCAGCAGCATCAAGTTCAGCAGCAGCAGCTTCAGACTCATCATCTGCACCTGCACCAGCATCAAACACTGGATCAGGATCATCATCAGCAGCTTCAAGTTCAGCAGCAGCAGCATCAGCAGCATCAGCTTCAGATTCATCATCAGGACCAACAACCTCAACATCAACCAGTAACTCACCTAACTCAGCATCATCAGGATCAGGTTCAGGATCATCAGCAGCAGCTTCATCAGCAGCTTCAGGTTCAGGATCATCTGGTTCAGGATCAGGACAAGGATCTGGTTCATCAGGTTCAGGATCATCTGGTTCAGGTTCATCAGGATCAGCAGCAGCAGCGGCGCCTAACTTTAAGTCTGTTGCATCTCGATGGGTTAATAGATCTGGTCAGAACTGTGTCTGTTACAATTGATTCAACATCTAATTGTTGGCTTATGAAAAAGCTTATAATATGTAATATGTATGCATATTTGCAGCAATTAATAAATTTTCGTTATTGAAATCATTGCATTCATTACAAATTTGCAATCTTATTACTGATAATGATCACATTGAATTGAGACTCACACAGCTACAGAAATTGAGTTGCTAAACATTTTTGTATCATTTGAGCAGGTTTAGATAAAGTTAGTTAACGATAAAGTTTTCAAAAGATGAGAATGGTTAAGATTTTGAACAATAGGATTTAAACACAAATCGAAAGCACATTTGTCTGATTAAAATTGTTATATCAATCTAAATTATCTTAACCTGCTCCAATGATACAAAAATGTTTGCAAACTCAATTTCTGTAGCTGTATAATCACATTATTCTTATTTATGCGAGTTGGTCATTTCAATCATGCGTGTTTTTTTTCTTGAACTGCATAAACATTCTTGCAGATGTTTTTATGAACTGTGGTAGAAATAGTTTCATTCGTGAGTATAGTCATCGATCATAACAATTTTTGCTCGAACATGGAAGTTTTTCACCTATCAAAACCATTAGTATTGGAAATGTGTAATTATGTACTTGAAATTATCAAGTATCATATTTTTTAAACATTCGCATGGATGCTTCTAACTTTGCTTTCCCGTCTGTGTGTTTGGTCAAGGTGAATACTTCAAACAGCTTTGCAAGCTTTTGTTTCGTTATCATTATACAGAGTCTTTGCAATCTGCAGTAGGGTGGTTGCCTGAATTTCTAACTATCATACCATGGTAAACCTGGTATATGTATTGATAAGAACGAAACAATTTGTTTAGTTATTATGTTTATACCGTTATTAATATCGAGGGTTTAATGCACCATTACAGATTTTCACGATGTATACGATATCTACAGCTAAGCATAAATCAGCAACAATAGCTTCAGTTCAGCATCAATATCAAAGATATCGTTGATTCACTGAAATTTGAAGCGATAATCCGCAAATGTCGTCCTGTGAATATTATGGAATTCAATAAAGAATGATGTTAGAAAAACGATTTAATGGTCGTGATAGCTAATATAATATTTATTTCATAAAAATTTCATTTTAATTTTGATTAAGAGCTAAAAACATTCAATTGCTTAAGACTGCTGTTTGAAATTGCAATCAATAATATTGATCAGTTGGATAAGGGCATCGAAATGTGATCAACTGATGGTTTACCAACAAGGGAACGAGATTCCAGTCACCGATTTTAATGAAAGTGGCTTCATTCGATAGAACGGCTTGAGCAATGTAAAACTTTATTGGGTTCCATCTGATAATCCAGGGGTTCCTGAGATACTTGGGTGGAACTGCTAAATGATTTGAAGCACAATAATAATTAGAATTGAGCGGATTTATTTAATTTTTCTCACCCTTTTCGCCTCAGTGATAAACTTTGACAGTTTCCAGCTTGAAAATATCCAAGATAATATAAAACTGTATCCATGTTAGTCAATATAATACTCATCTTACCTTCTTACCCAATCAGTTCAGACCAACACTAAAAGCATTCCTGAAGATCAAGAACGAGTCAAATTCAAGGTAAGGTGAGTACATGTACATTGTATATTGAATTATCGAAGATCAATTTTTGTGAAAACACTTGAACCCAAGGAATCTACGAACGGGCGCATTTTATAAGTTGACAATTTAAAGTCTCAATGCTAATCTATCTCCATTACAGATCACCGAGGAGTTTTCGTGAAATCGTTGTGGCCTTCGAAGAACGATAAAAAAATAATATTAGTTGCAATTCTGAAGCGATTTTTGCTTCAGGGCAAATACTTATGTTTATGGGCAAAATTAAATTTGTTATTTCAATTTATCTGTAATCATTATGCACGATTCTCGCTCCAAGACTCATTTGATCCAATTTACATGGCGAAACATGATGTAAGAAAGGTAAAATGAAACATGAATTCAATATTTCAACAAATTAAATCATAGTTAGAAAATTAAATTGAAAAACAAGTGTGAAAAAATAGGTTATATAAAAAGGTGATGATCAGCACTGGAATAAGCAACATGAAATCGAGACCTTGATCAGTGTTTATTCACCTGATTAAATAATTCTAGTTTAGTAGTTTAATGATACAAATCTCTGTTCAATCGATCTAAAATTAAATCATCTAAAATATTGGCAATGATAAATTAGCAATTTGGTTGTCAGCTATTCATTGATTTAAAAATTAAAAGTTTCCCATCGTAGCAAAAAATCTCCATGAAAATGTTTCTGAGTTTCAACTGGACAACATTAACTGACAATCAATTGAGAATCAATTGTTTTCTCGGTTAATCTTTCAATAATAGATGATTAAAAACAACTATTAATAAACCTTCAATAAACTACTGTATTTAAGCATACGAAGCTGTACCTTTTATTGTACAAAGGTGATCAAGCTAACAAGGTAGCATTCGTACCTTAAGACTAGGCCCTGGTTAGTAACAGTGAAAATTTAAGATAATTTTCATCTGGCATTTCATTGTTGGGTCATTTAGAAATCAAAATCAAGTTCATTTCATTCATCAAATGAACAGCTGATAGAAGCAGTATTTAATTTAATGATTATTCAAAAATGACGGTTTGAATTTATGGTCAATGATTTGGTTATGATTACTGATTTCTGCGATTAATCTAGAATATTTGGAAGGGCTAAGGTACTCAACATGAATGAATTTATTATTGTAATCAGATAGAGTGATTTCATATTTTGTTCAAACTGGCAACAAGTCTTTCTTTCAAATTGATGGTGTGAACTGTTAGATTAGTTGAAATTCAATTGAATTAATACGGCTCAGTGATTTGAAATGATGATAAAACAATAGCAAGGACACAATAATGCTTAAGTGCACCATTGGAATGTAACCGGTGAAAAGATCAATTACTAATAAATAATGGTTAATAAACTGATCTTTTTTATCAGGTTGATGATAAACCATGACAATGAAAGGCATGAAAAGAGAAAGTGAATAGATATTAATGTTAATAGTAGTTTACATTAGCTAGTTGACTTCACCAAAATTTTACCGATGAGTAAATTAAGTTCAAGGTTTAACCGATAATTTTCTCGATGTTATTGATGCTCTAGAATAACTGCAAAATCAGGTTACAAGGGTAAAAGGCTGGCTCATTCTGAAGCTATTAATTCCTAAGAAACCGATAATATTCAAACCTTACCTTTATTGTTTCATGATGAAGCATAATCCAAGTTCAAATCAGGTCCAAAGACTCAAATAGAAGGGATAATTGGATTAGAAGTTCAATGTATACAAAACCAGGATAAGGATTAACTCGTGGATAAGTGAGGAGTCAACATGTTACATGTTGATAACAATTCAAAAAACTCCTCAAGTTGCTGAGATAGCTGGTTATATTAACTCAGTCCTTAGTGACACAGATTTTTAATCACTCAAATATAAGATGATACAAATAATTACCACTTGTATCATGTTAAATTAACTATAAATGTAATAAAAAAACTCAATGTTTTATTAAGACGTTCATGATTTGACGACTTTGAGTTGCTTTTGAATTCCCTCTTTTTTTGTCTTACGTTACGTTAAAGTAGTGCCATCTAGATATAACAGTTTACCCTCTTAAGGAGAGATTAATCTTATTCTTGCAAAAATTGATATTGTTATTATTGAAGTCAACATGGATAATAATGTTTTTTTCAAAGAAGTATTTGATGTTTTAGATGTAAATTGTGATACCTCTGTAGCTGAAAATGTCAATAGGATCCACTGTGAAGGAATTGAAACTCAAACCGATCTCTTACTGGATTTGTATTCACCTGTTTTCAACGTTAAAAAAGGTGAAAAAATAAATGTGTTATTGGTGAAAGAGATTCAGAGCGGTAAAAGAAAACTTGAAAACGACGACTCAGATATGGAAGTTTATGATGCAAATGGACAATCATCTACAGTTGATCCGCTAGATACTTCATCGATTCTAAATGAATATAGTAAATTCAAGTATATAATGCATGGAAAGATTTACAAAATTGAAAACAAAATGATTTCAACTAATGAACCAATCATTGCAGTTTATGCTTCTTTTGGTGGACTCTTGTTTCGTCTTCAAACAAGTCTTGAGAATCATTCAGACTGGCATATTGACCGTAATCTATACCTTCTCATCAGACGTGAAAAGAAGAAATCATCTGAATAACCCTTTGTGTTAAAAAGATCTAAAAATGGACAATTTTTTGAAAAATATTTCCCACCTAATCTGTGTTTTCATTTGCACGTGTCGTAAAATCTATAAATCAAGTGGAATCACTTATTAAGCTGATGCTAAAATGGGAGTCACTGTGTCATGGTTAAACCAGGAACGATATAAGAATCGATTAAAGCTACACGAGATCAAATTTAATGAAATTCTTGAAGTTACCAATTAGTCTATTTTGCATCGGTTATTGATAAGATATAAATCTTAATTCACTATAATGTTACCTCTTCCAGAAACATGTTTATTTTGATATTTGAAATACTTTACACACTGTAATCTAAATGATGCTTTCATGTCAATTAAATCAACCAGATGCTTCAATATATTATTCAATCTTCCCTTGACCTGATACGGAATAATTTCCATTGGTAAAGAAAAATTATTTTAATCTTAAACTTATCTGATGTTCTAGTATCTTCACAATTTCCAGCCAGTGTGCAACCATTACATTGAAATTGCTTACAATTTCATATGCAATTTCATTTCATTAAAGGCCTAATATTGACCTACTGTATTTAGGTAACCGGTTGACTCTTCACCTTCATTGAAATGATTGATTCCGTGATCTTTATATCAACATGAAAGGCTCATGTAATTTATACTTCAATAAAATCTAATATTGAAAAGAATGAATATCAGCTGTAAACAGAAAAAACTTATCGTCATAAGATAAAAATATCAACTTACTTACTGACATTAGGTGTAACTATTCGTAGAGGTATTCGCATTCAATCAAATTCATAAGCCAGCGTCATCAGTGATCTAATAATAAAAACAAAGCATTCGAGAAGCCATTCGAGCTATAAATGAACCTACAAAACCCAACAACGGCCATGGTTTAATGCCATGAATATCACCTTCAAGTTCACTAAATCTTCATGTATTTTACATTGCTGTTAACCGATGAACCCATCTATTGATCAGTGATACTTGTAAGCCATCGGTTTATTTAATTCTGATTTAGGCTGTTTTTCAATATTAATGATCATTCCATTGAATTATAATGAGCAACAATTGTGCATCATAAGCCTTGAACCTGAAATTTCAACCAATATCCAATAACAACAAATATTTGTTTTTTTATAAATAAAACAAGCGCTTAATCATAATTCTGTCGCTGTGACTCTGTCTATTATGATTAATTAAATTGGTTCGGAACTTTGGAACTATCATTCTGGCTAAATAGTTCTGTCTTCTCGACTATTAACTCAACCCAACATTTTCAATCGCTTATTCACGAGCAGAATCAAAGCACAAAAATGTGATTACAATTTAAATCTGTTGCCACCCAATAAGCGATAATGTACCTGGTCATGGGAGGGTTAATTGACAAAAATAAATGTTCATCAAAGTACAGTAGCTAAATTGGATCATCATTTAACCTAGTTAATTAAGAGACATCATTTGATCAATCAAAGGAGAAGAGACAAAATTTAAAATAAAAACAAAATAAAACCAATTTTTACTTGTTTTATACCAATCTTGATTGTGATTAATTTGAGTTACTGTTTGGTTATCTATCAGTCAGATTTATCAACTGATTAAAGTTTCATCACTTTGTGATTCAATTGTTTTTCATCTATTCATTTCACTTCACGTTTTGAATCGTGCTACACACAACCAAGAAAAAAAATTGGTTAACCAGAATCTAACCAGTTTAATCTTCAACTTGACCATCAAATAAAAGTAGGAACTTAATTTGGATTAACTTCTATTGTCAGTTGTGTTTAATTGTCCTGATATATAACATTGGTAAATATTGGTGAAAGGCGATTCATTGAATCATGATTGATTCAAATTACCCGTCATTAAGTATCCAAACTGATATGGATCTGAATCCTGTACTCACCTCCACTTGATCCCATGTCCAGCCATCCTGAAATCTATAACTATTATGGTGAATTTGAGAATCAAAATAATTTCAATATTAATGTGACTGATTTCCCTTTGCCTGAATTACCATACTTTAATAATAACTTCGTTTATGGTCAACATTCAAACAGTCCTGATGACAGTTACAATCTAACCTCACTCAACAACCAATTGGTGGTAAGTGATAGACCAACTTTAACTCCCAACCACAACCAACTTGAAACACCAATCCCGCCTTCATCTTATGTATCAACTTCTTCATTATCATCTGATTATTATCATCGACCACTTTCCACAACAAGTCTTGACTCATTGGATGCTTCACGATCAATTGGTGGCTGTAAACACGATCTAATCAAAGCAACACTCAGCTTTGCAATCAAAAGCCGTCGACGGTCTTTGGGTTTAGGCGATATTGAAGTGAACCAAGCTAAAAATCAAGATCCTCGTCCCTCAAGCTGGACCGATGAAGACGATGAAAAGAAAATGTCTCGCAGAGAAAGGAATCGAATTGCTGCTAGAAAATGTCGCAAAAATCGTAAACTGAAATTCATTGGATTAAATAAGGTAAGCTTTCAACTAGTCATCTCGGTCATCTCGTCATCTAGCCGGTTTTTTGCATTTTGTAATAAACAAAAGCACGAGACTTGTTGTTCACGGCAAAGATCAAAAGGCAATTTTTATCATAAAATTTTAGTTCAACATCAGAACCAAGCCTTTCTTATCATGTTTTTGAAAATGAACAAAAAAAAACATCAAAAATTTGATAAACTTATCAGCAACCAGAAATCAGATTCAATCAGTATTCCTTGACTTTTTTCAGTCATCAAAATCAATTCCTGTCTAGAATGCTCCATGTATGATGAGAAGTCTATTCTGATTGATGAAGCTTTCCTTCTCGATTGACCCATTCATATAATTCACTCACTAATTGACTATTTTAAATTTTCTTTATTACAGACAATGGAGAATCTGGATAATGCCAATACCAATTTAAAGGAACAGCTGAAAAAATTGAAAAGGGAAAGCGATCAACTTGAAGATCTGTTAACTTCTCATCAATCTCAATGTTATTTTATTTCCTGGTCCCCTCAACCAACCCTCAATTCAACAGCAGCATCATTATCACCATCTCCTCAACTGTCCCATCAATCACAATCCTTGTCATCTTCAATATCGTCATTGCTTTCAACATCATCGTCGCCCTCGCCTTCACTTCTCACCAATAACCATTCGAGTTCAGACGAATCTCACGGATTTTTTTCTTATATCAACCCATACCAATCTGGCATATTGCTTGGTTAGCTTATCCTGACCCTGATCTTGATCGCCTGGAAAGTCGCTTTTAAATTGACGCAATTGATGATACGCTATAATCTATGTAAATCTCGTAAATCAATGTAAAACAACAAAAAAAAGTACAAGCTTCAAATCAAATAATCATTTTATACGCTTTGATATAGCTTTGTAATATTTATGATTTACAAATAATTTACTTGATGATTCAATCTTTTCATTGGATTCTCATATTAAAATATCCAAAACGGCCAATACATTAAAAACTATTATTTTCAACTGTATATCAATACTTGTGTATTCATTTGTGTATTACTTGCTCTTATCTTGTTTTTTACTGATTTTTTGCCCTTGATTCATTAATGATGAAGTCATTGATTGAATCAAATAAGTGATTCTAAATTTAGATTTCAATCCATTAATAGTACAACTATAATTAATAAATAGATCAAGAAAATACAAATTGTAGAAAAATTTGGCCATTTTTTCAATTCTCTGATCCATACTACATGGTAATTATCCAGTAAATAACTGTTTACCAACTGTAATCAGTTAATTTTTCTCACTTTTTTTGGTAAATTCATAATTAATTTTAATGTTAATGAAAGGCAAATTCACATGTAAATGATTAGCTTTAAGGTTCATGAAAATCAGTTTTTTCTGAATGATTCAATCAACTGTTTCTGGTAATATTTATCATTGATCAAAAACAGGTGAATAAGCTGTTTAATAATGTAAAAGATAATATAAATTGCATAATGTTAGCTGAATATTAAATTTTAAACAATTACTGAAGAAATAGATTTTACAATTTAAACGGAAAAAGCTACATTTCAAAGACAAAAATCACAGGATTTATTTGGCTTGATCTAAATTTTATTAAGTTCATTGAACTTGATTCAAATAGGCAAAGTTTATTGTTAATTATCTGTAAATCATTAAAAAACCATTGAATCTCTTCAATAAGTCAACACACCTTATGTAATATTTTGAAACAATTATCATTCAATTTATGGCCCAACTTGAGTTAAATTTTGAAATTAAATGTCAATAATGTTATGTCAGATGATGAATCAAAGGATAACTGAGGAAGATGCAATTTAGTGATATTACTTCAACAGATTTATTAGAATGTTTCATCCAATATCTTAGTCATTTTAAACCTGTTGATATTAATGATAAATATAAATTGTTGATATAGACTAATGGCAAAGTAAAGCATCAAAATTAGATGGAAATCAATTATACCAATCAATCCGATAAAATCTTCAATACATTTTGTGTCTTAAATATGAATTTTCTCACCATTCTCTCAGCTCATTGTTGTCCGTGGAAAGCCTCAAGGAGTTTTGACGATAGATGACAAGTGTTGAAATTAAATGAAATAATTAAATCTCCAGAAAATTTTAAAGCCTTACATTTAATTAAATCTTATATTTTATACCTTTTATCACCAATAACAATTCATGGACGATCTAGAGCAAAGCGATACACTAAATCAGCCGATTGGGAATTGCCAGATTATCTGAGAGTATAGCAGCTTTTGACTCTACGAGGTTTTTTGATTAGAGGTTGATATTAACAGTAAACAATACACTCGTCACTTTGTAATTAAATTGATAACAAAATTCAAAAAAAGTAACGAAAGAAAAACAGAAATTTTAAAGATTGCTAAATATGTCGATAGATGGTGTTAGAAACGATGTAAAATTCAAATTTTATTCTCAAGTTTGGCGGTAAAAAATGATAAGCATAAAGTAACCGGGTTTTTATTGAGGATCATCAAACCAGAGTTTTATTTTAAACGATAATTTGAGTAATATTGTTATTGTTTAAACCGTCGTCGATTATTGATTAAGGATTAATTGTTGATAATAGCGACTAGTCACTTTTGCCGTCATCCTTTCATTATAATAAAGCGGATAATACTTCTTTCGGTATTATTGAGGTAAGCACATTATGCAAGTCAATCAATCAAAAGATTAGGCATTTTCATTTGAAATTAAAACGTAATCTCGAGATGTTTTGTAAATATTGTCACAAGAATCTGCATTTTTTATCGATAAATATTCACTGTTATCGATACATTGTCTGTAAATGAATATCGATAGCTATCGATATTGTTGTTATTTTTATTTTCAAACTTCAGACATCCAACAGAAAGTTTGTTTATACAAATTATCCAATGTTACCTAAAATTCCGTTCGAAGAATTGATTCATGCCTTGGAAGGGGCTGATTCTATATTCAAAGCTTATCCCGACTTGATTAAGTGTTACTTCCATCCCGCTCAAGTGGATCAAATTCATAATTTACTCAAGTTATGTGAGTTAAATTCAAAAATTAACCAACTCATTAGTGTGGACAATTTTGAAAAATGTGTTTACAAAAGATGTCTTTTTGTGAGTTTTAAAGAAGCTATAAGGCTCTACAAAATGGATATTAGAAACTTGGAAATGGAACTCCATGATCAATCTTCATCTCTTAGTGCCTTTCTCTCGCTTAAAAGGTTTTATCCAGTTATTGAAGATATGCTTCAATTAGTGGAAAACACGAAAAAAGCCAATCCAATGGAGACATTGGATCAAATTTACAAAAAATGCAGCTCTTCGCATCCTTTTACGCGACAAGTTTTTGAGAAAATATTCAAAGTGGCTTCTAAACCACTGTTTGATGATATTTGGTGCTGGATTTTTTATGGTCACTTAGTTAATCAAGGAAAAAACAAATTTTTCATAGAACAAGATGATAACGGAGAGATCGTTCTTTCTGGATCATTAATACCATCGTTTTTAAGTCAAAATGTTTGCAGTAAAATTTATTTCTGTGGTAAAGTTGTCCAAAGTTTCAATGCAAGAGGTAAATATCCATTGACTTTTTACTTTCATTTTAACTTTAATTGTCAATTTCTTTTAATTCTAGGTGATACACTTCCTCAAATTTTTGATGATAAAAGAGCCCATTTACTCAAGCAATACCAGGCGATCGTAGAGAAGCCTATTTTGGAGAAACTAGATTTTGAAAGTTTAGTCGAAGAGATTCGTACCATTTGTGCTAAGGTAAATTAAATCTTTAATTTTTCGACTAACTAATCATACTTTTTTAATTTTTTAGGTTTCAATGGATCGTGTTGTTTCAGAAGAAAATCTCTGGATGTATCTTAAATTGATCAAAGATTTCGTATTAGCTGGCAACGAAGATTTACTCAGTTGTTTCATAAATAATTTCTGTGTGATTATTCAAAAGAAGCCAGCAAATCGAAAAAAACTTGAAAAAGGTTTTTATTTAACTTAAATTGATTCGATATTTGCATGATTGAAATTTGCCATCAGCCTAATTATTTCAATTTCTTAGGACTTATGCTTTCACTCAGCAACACTTTGATGGATTTCTTCAACTCAGAAAAATTGGATCGAGTCTCCAGTTGTATTAATATTAAATTAGCAGAAACAACTGATTTAGATAAATGGCCTTCCATCAATATCGAATTTTCATTCCCGGAAACTGTCAAAGCTATAATCAAAAATGATCACCTCTCTGGGTTTGTAAATTATGAGATTCTTTGTTTGATCACTTTTTTATGATGTTCATATTTTTAATTTACCTATCTTTCAATCTAATTTCCAGGTATAACAAGATTTTCAATTTTTGTGTCAACTTGTATCGGGCTAAGTCATCTCTTACTGAAGGCTGGCGCAGTTTGATCAAAAACAAAAACAAGAAACCCATCTATTGGTTTCTTCATCATCGTCTTATTCTGATTATTGGACATTTATATTACTTTTACAAGGTAAAAATAGCTTATAGCCAAAGAGAAGCTGATTTTCTGTAAATAACAATACATTATGTATATTGATCTAAATGTTTTTTTATTTTAGGTCAATGTTATTGAACGACTCTACTTCGAATTCATTTCAGTGGCTGAATCTTGTCAAGATATTGAAGTTCTCATTGAAGCTCATCATCGTTTTGTCGTTAAATTGGTCACGCAGTCTTTATTAGACATAAGTGCTGTAAGATTTCAACTTTTTTTCACTTACTTTCTTAAATTGAGAATTAATATTTTTGTACGCAAATATTTAGGTTTCTAGAACGTTGAATAGTCTTTTCTCGTTTATTGGTAAAGCTTGTAATTTCATGAACGATGAACTAACCCAGGATGATTTAGATGATCTAGAAAGGGTAAGTAGTCTATATTTTGTAGCGATAAATTAACCTTATTCTAAACTATCAAACACAGGAACTTGATCAATTATGTTCACGACTGGACAGTTTATTTACAAGCTTGAAATCCTATTCCATTTGTCCAACGCTGTCTCATCTAGTAATACAGATTCACAAATGTCTTGGTCATCAATCGCGATTTTCATGAACCAACTAATATTCGTGAACAAATTGTGACAGACACCTTTATGAATACATCGAGCTTTGATGCCAAAAAAGTTTGTATTCTTGTTTTTAATTTTTATAAATCACCTCCAGGTAATTAAGTTATAATTAACTAAATGATGTTAAAAAATAAATCGCTTTTTAATCACACAATTTCTGCTATTTTTGTTGGTTTCTTGTTTCTCTTTTGTTATTTTGTAAAATTTGTATTTCCCTCTCTTGTCTTTGATATGTTAAGTGAGTATTCCGGTCATGATATCGGTTTGAGATCTACAGTTTTTTAGTTACTTTTTGTACAATCCTTTCAAACGTTTATTAATTTTTATCTATTCGTTCTCTTTCTTTTCTCTTTCTATTCGAATCACCGACATAATTTATTTTGATTCAACTGTATGAAAGTAACCGAACTCATCTCTAATATCCGGTATCTTTCATCATGTAATAAGGTGAAAAATAAATAAAGTGCATGTTTTTATTTTCACTCAACACATTTTTGTTCAACAACTTTTTACCAGTTTTTCATTTCTTTATTGTTTGGACATCGTAATTCTTTATTTTGTTCCGTTAATCATCATGTCAGCAGCTGATATTGAAAATAAGCATCCTATTTCTGTGATTACACCTGGTGAAGCTCCAATAAAGAAGGAATTTCTTTTAGAAATCAAAAGTGCTCGAAATATTGATTTGGATCATGTCTCGGATGTAGATAAGTCTCGTTTAGTCGATGTAAAGGAAGAGAAGTTTGATGGAGACAATGGAGATAATTGTGATGATGAACAGTTTGATGAACATGACGAGAACGGTGATGATAGAAAAGGGGGAAATAAGCGCAGAAAGAAGCAAAAACTTCGCGGTCAAAACAAGAATCGTAAAATTAATGAGAGAGCTGTTAGAAAAGCTGCTAGAGTCCAGCGTCCATGTCTGAGATATTCTGCTAGTATTGGTAATGAGGCCACAGATGGATGTAATTATGGTGACTCATGTAAACATGGTCATGAAGTTGACGAATATTTAAGTAAAAAGATGCCCAATATCGATCGTGATTGTTATGCATTTAATACTTATGGTTTCTGTCCCTATGGATTTCTCTGTCGTTTCAGTGACAAACATGTCGATCCTACTGATAAAAAAAGCAACATTGTTGATATAGAAAAATGGGAAAGCATGAAAGATGAAATGAAAACCAATACTACCAATCAATTGGATAAAAATGTTCTATTCACTCTTCGTAAACGGACTTATGACTTTAGTAAATCTCTCAAAGTAGTTAAAGGTAAAACAACTCAAAGTTATTTCTTTAAATACAAATTTACTTACCTTCTTTTTCAATTTTTCAATAGATGTCCGTGAAAAACCTCTTGGACCTTTGTTATTAGAAAGCGAAGATATTAAGCGAACTCCAGTGGATTTTAAAAATAAGTTATACCTTGCACCATTAACAACCATAGGTAATTTACCATTCCGTAGAATATGTAAAGAATATGGCGCTGATATAACTTGCGGGGAAATGGCTATGGCTTCAAATATTCTCGAAGGGCAAGCTTCTGAGTGGGCTTTATTAAGGAGACATAAAAGTGAGAGTATTTTTGGTGTCCAACTTTGTGGATATAACTCTGAAATTTTAACCAAAGCTGCACAGCTAATTACTGAACAATGTTCGGTTGACTTTATCGATCTAAATATGGGATGTCCAATCGACTGTGTTTACCTAAAAGGAGCGGGTTCAGGTTTAATGAACAAGATTAATCGATTGAATGAAATAACTTATGGAATGTCGCAGGTTTCGAAGGTATTTCTATTTCTGGCTTTACCATTTTACTGACTTTTGTATCCTAAATTTTAATATTTCAATACTTTTTCACCTCAAGGTACCTATTACTCTTAAAATGAGAACTGGAATTCATGCCCATAAAAACATAGCGGACAAAGTTATTGAAAATATTTGTCGTTTCTGGGATAACGAAACTATTGGATTAATAACAATTCATGGACGGTCTAGAGAACAGCGATACACCAAGTCCGCTAATTGGGAATATGTAAATGAATGTGCCAAACTATCTGAGAGTATTCCAGTTTTTGGCTCAGGCGATGTTTTTTCATATACTGATTATGAACAAAAGTTAGCTGATAATCCTAATGTATCTGGTGTGCTTATTGGCCGCGGAGCAATCATCAAACCATGGTTGTTCACTGAAATTAAAGAAAGAAGACATTGGGACATTTCATCACGAGAAAGGCTGGAAATACTGCAAAAATTTGTAAATTATGGATTAGAACAGTGGGGTTCTGATGATGAAGGTGTCGAGAGGACACGACGATTCCTTCTTGAGTGGTTATCATTCCTCTATCGTTATATCCCTGTTGGACTTCTTGAAGTTGTACCTCAGAAAATCAATGATAGACCTCCTTATTACCGAGGACGAGATGAACTAGAGACACTTATGGCTTCACCATCATGTAGTGATTGGATTAAAATCTCAGAAATGTTTCTTGGTCCAGTTCCTGATGATTTTGTTTTTCTGCCAAAACATAAAGCCAATGCTTATCAGGCATAAGAACACTGACCTTTTTTTCAAGTTTCTCATTCTTCCAAACCTTTTTCGAACACCTGTACAAAAATTGTTTTAAATCAACAAGTTTTAATCTTTTAATAGAACTTTAACTTGATATGTTGCAAGCAATTTGTTGTCAATATGACGAACCATATTGATTAAAGAAAACTTTTTTTCAACCAACTACGTTGGAATTGTAATCAATCTTCGAAAGGAGGTAATCCAAATAATTCTGGTTTAAAATCATTTAGCGAATTTATAATCATTGTCGGCTCAACGTTATTCCACTTCAAAATCATAGGGTCAGGGACTTGGACACATTGCATTCCAGCTGCCAGGGCTCCTTTAACACCATTGATTGAATCTTCAAAAACTAAAACCTATTTAAAATGATAAAAATATTAGAATAAATCTGTGTAAACATGATTTTCAGAATGTAAAAGTTCGAACTCACATCGGATGGGTTAGCAGGAGGATTAAACCGTTTTGCACAAACTAAAAATGTCTCAGGATGAGGTTTACCGAATTTTATTTCAGGATCAACTGCAGCTTTCACGATGTGGTGAAAATATTTATCGGTTTCAAAGACATCTTTATGTTTAGCTATTTTAACACCAAATGAATAAGCTGAACTAGATGTTGCTATTGCCATAGGAATTGAATGTTTCTTTAAATGTTCCAATAATCTTAAAGCTCCAGGCATGAATTGAACATTTTGAAAAGCTTCAGAGTAAATGGGCTCCAATAATTTCGTTGCTTCGTCAGCGTTAATAGGCAATTGAAGTGCATCTATTACGGTTTGCGCAGCATCCTTCCCAGTTTTTCCCATGGTTTTAACTTTGATTTCAGGTGTATATTCCTTTCCAAATTTTGATACAACTTGATTTATGGCTTTGAAATATAAAGTCTCAGTATCAAGGAGAAGACCATCAAGATCAAATATCACATGAGTAACTGGCTTAAAAGAAGTACTGGATGCCATATCGCGTTTAATTTTTTGTTCGCGAAGAAGATCAAAAATGAGATCTAACACAAAAACATGGATTAAAAGAATTGAAAAAATGAAGGAACAAATTGAAAAAAATCAACCTTTGAACATAATCAATAAGATTAGATTAAGTATAAGATAGTGAAGGGAACTCACCGGTTTATGGTTTCCTTAAGGTTCGATTGATGATGACATGGAATAAGGTTGATGCTAAAATATTGTACTAGCTGAAGTGTTACAAAAGGGAGTAACTAATGAGACAAATGAAGAACGAGTAAATTCACAATTCCTAATAAATTAATCTAAAATAGATAATTTAGCCACCGGTTGAGTTAACAGCAATTACCCGGTGAACGATTTTTTTAATGGCAGTTTGGAACGCCATCTTTAGATTAAAATTTTTATCAAAATCATTATTCTCTTGCAAAGAAGGATTCTTATTCAACACATGTTTATGAAATTTTACAACGAGATGTAATGTCTTATTTCATTTCTGTCTAATTCATTAATTGAAATCAGAATATTATTTGATTGTTAATTGTTAAACCATTTTAAAACTATGCCTAAAGCAAAGAGAGGGAGAGGTGCTCGGACTGCTCCTACTCGAGTTAGTACAAGGAATAAAAAAACAACCAGTCAGCCAGTTCAACGGGTAAGCAATACGCGGTCTTTTACTCTTCCTATCTGAGTCATGAATCTTGTCAACATTTTCTTGTTTTTCTGACATTTTTATCGTTCCCAGGAGGCTGAAGAAGAGGCTAAATCTAATATTGAAGAAGAAGAGAAGGTTGAACCGGTTGTTCCAGCAACAATTGTACAAGACAAGTATTTTGAATCTCGAGAGCAAACACAATTACCTCCAACTTCTATACCTTCTCCACAACCGCCATCACCTGAACCAGAGCTGATAGAAGCAAGTACTGTTGCTTATCACAGTAATAGTGACACAGAAGAGGAAGATGGTGATGAATCGAGTTATTTTGATAAACTTGATGGTAAGAAAATGTTCAGATTGCTATTAAAATTGCTTTCAGTTCGCTGATTAGATTTTATTTATCCTTTTCAACTCATATTTACATATCTTCAGCAATTTTAAGCTAAAATTAGAGTTTAAGCTTTAAAAGCTTTTTCCAATTGCTTTTTCTCTATTGGTCATTTTAACCAATTCTTCTGGTTTGTCTGAAAAATAGTTGATAATTTGAAACTTTCAGTAAATTGAGCTGTATCGGAATCATATGACATTGCTTTCAACTGTCACTTCAACTTATATTTATATTTAATCAGCTGAGCTTGTTGATTTTATGATTTCATCTTTCTTTTGCATTTTTTTGTTCAAAAATTTTTTTAACTCTATCATAAAATTCTCTTCAACAACTTTTTTAATTAATGCACATTTTATCTTTTCATACAGCCGAGGCTCAAGATGCTATCAACAAAGAAATTAGAGAGGAATGTCACAAATATTTTTCTAGTCTTGATTTCATTATGGAGCCAGATATTATAAATCAATTGAAAAGATATTTTCAAGCTGGAGGCAACCCTGAGGAAGTCGTTACTCTTCTGTCGGAGAATTATCATGGAATTGCCCAAACAGTTAACCTTTTAGCTGAATGGCTAATCATGACGGGCATGAAAATTTGTGAAGTTCAATCTTTAGTTGAAGATCATCTTAAGCAAATGATAATGAAGCGCTTCGATCCCAAGAAAGCTGATTCTATTTTCGCTGATGAAGCTATTAAAACACCTATCTGGCTTACCGAAATGATCGAACACCCAACATGGCGATCTCTTATTTATCGATTAGCTGAGGATTACCCAGACTGTCTTATGTTAACCTTCACCATCAAATTGATCTCAGATGCTGGTTTTCAAGGAGAAATCACTAGTATATCAACTGCGTCGCAACAATTAGAAGTATTCGCTCGCATCTTGAAAAACTCAGTCAACAATTTTCTTGACGGTGGAGAAGATGATATGAAAAAACAAATCGATGAGTTTACAAAGATGGTGTGTCACAGTGAACACACTTTTCTCTATAGCTGTGCAATTCTTCATGTTTTATCCCAAGAAAATAAAGGAGGTACAATAGTTAAGAGACTTCTCCAAGAAGTAACTCAAAGAGCTTCTAAAGATGGACATAATGCAACTCCAGTTCTCGTAGCATTAAATGGAGCCTGGGCCCACCAAAGAGTTACTCAAGCTTTAGCTGCTATGCTTAGTAAGAACAATTTAAATCCAGCTGATATTACTGTGTTAGCCAAAGCATATCAAGCTCCTGACCCACCACCAGTAGATCTTCTTCGTATTCCTCAATTTCTCGATCTCCTCTTAACGATTATATTTCGACCAACTTCAAAAATAAACCCAGAACATAAGCCTAAATACATCTATTTACTGGCTTATGCTACTAGTGTTCATGAAACATGGAAAAAAGGAGTTCGTAAGACTATAAACAAAGAAGAATTAAAACCAACTAATCAAGCGATCGAAAAAGTTAACATTCTTAGCAACGAGAAAAAAGGTTCATCTGAATTACTTCCAGAGCTTAACACACTTTATCAATGTATAAGATTTCCTGTAGTAGCTCTTGGAATTATAGAATGGGTGAAATATTTAGTTAGTGAGCGAAATTACTTTCAATTATCAACTGAACACACTCCTTTACATCTGGCTCTTTTGGATGAAGTAGCCACTTGTCATACAACTCTTCATAACAAAGTATTGGACCTTTTGATTCATCTTTTCGAGTCTCCTCACGAGGACTTAGATGTTTTGGTCCAATTAGAGGTGAAAAAAATGCTCATCGATCGAATGGTTCATGTTTTAAGTCGTGGTTGTGTAGTTCCAGTTGTAAATTATATGAAGACTTGTTGGCAAAAACAAGCCACTGACGTTTCCCTCATTCGTTATTTCGTAACAGAAGTTCTTGATGTTATCAGCCCTCCATATACTCCAGCATTTATTCAAATATTTTTACCTCTGGTCGAGAATGAAGAGATAACTGGTAATATGAGAAAAGAGCATGAAAGCACCTTGGTATCTCAGTTCATCATTGAAGCCGGAGGAACATGATGTTCGCAAAAATTTAAAACTGGCTTATTTTCGAAGATTTATTTTTCAATTCTCTTTGAGTTGGTTATGCGCAACTTAAGCAACTGCAAAACACAATGGTCATCATCTTTTATATCCATGTTTCATCAAATCAACTATTAAATCATTGTGATTACAAATCTTTCGGTTTACAAAATTTGGATTGTATGAAGATCCGAGGAACTGAAATACCTTCTTTTTTATTCACCGTCTCTTTTCGTACAAATTCATTTGATATCATCTGAAAACCACTCTTCGTGAAAAGCTCCATCACATTCTCTGAAAAAAGCAAAAAAATGATCAAAATGTGCAACATTAACAAAGCTATTTCTCGGAGGAGAAGTTCATTTTACTGTAAATTCTCATCCCGTTAATTTAAATCATTTTTTGCAACTCATCACGATCAACTCTGAGCTGCTGTTTATATTAAAGTGAAATAAGACACCTGATTTTAAATAATTTGCACATAAAATTGACCTTACTTTTTGTAAAATAAAAAGCTCTTGTACCATCTTGCCTTACGTAAAAGTTATCACTTATTTTATGACCTTCTGAAAATCGAATCATTGCATGATCAAAGATGCCATAATCACGAAACAGAACAATCCCTCCTGGACGTAAAACCTAGAGAACGGAACAAAAAATGACTTGAATTGCGGATTTGTTGAGTCTATGTGTAGCTTGAGTCAAATTGGAAATAGATACCTCAAACAGATTGTCAACAGCATTACTCATTTTATCAGGAGATATCGCCGACAGAACGAAAACCAAACTAATTATGTCTATATTTCCAATATACCCGAATGAATCAATCGAGTTGACAAATGTTGATTTGTCTGTTATATCAGCAACGAAAGCTTTACATTTCTCTTCATTGTATAATGGATTACGTTTAAGTATGTCAATGGCGACCGGTGAAAAATCACAAGCTAGGAAAAAGTATTTGCAACCAGTTTCAATCAAAGGAAAAATGAAATTGCCTACACCACAACCAACTTCAAGTAAAACTTTATTGCTGATCTGTTTTTCCTCATCGATGGTTTGGTCAGTCAGTAACTCCGTGAATTCTCGAGTTGTCCAGTGTCTATCTTTGAAAAAATTGTTTTTGTTTCGTTTGTAGAACAAATCCCAATTTTTCTTTGCTTCACGTTCTAATTTGTTCCGTTGAAAAGTTGATATACATTGATCAGATAAAAGTTTTTCAATTTCTGAATCACTTAATTCTCTGGGTACTCCTTCCTCTTTCAGAGCTTGCTTTATTGTTTCCATAATAATCAAAAAATATTGTTGATAGCTTTCAATGAATTGAAAATTTAAAAGTCCTTGAATTTCATTCACGCTCCTTGATTTTTATAAGAGACAGCTTGATGGAGTGATATACAGTAAAAACTTTTGATTATAAATTAAATAGAATGAAATTACTTTACCTAATGGATCTGAAAAGATGTTAATCGACTTATTTTTTAAAATCAAGTCAAATGGCCAGTTTCAGTTGGATGAGGATTTCATTAAAGTAAAAAAGATAACAAGTTATAACAATAATCAATCATGATAGAAATTGATATTTGATGTTGATATTTTTTGCATCCGTGTAATAATAATAATGTAAAGTTAACAAATCAGTTCAGTAATTGTTGATAACAAATTGAAGGCAATAGATTTGAAGTGAAAAATTTAGGATCACAAGTTTACCAGATGGAGAAGTTTAACGTTTAAAGCTCACTACAACAGCTCTATCGAACCGGTAAATTTGAATCACGATGAGTTGACAATGTTTCTTATCTTGTATTTAATTTCAAAATAAATGAATAATCGTGGGTGTGTAAAGTTTGTATAATAGTTAGTTTTATATTAGCGTAATAACATGATAAAAAATGCATGAACGATTCTCAGTTTCTATGTTAATTGGTGATGACATCGCCCATGTATTTTATGTAAGTCAGTGAAATGCAAAAAATTGATCAAATTGGAAATGGGAAAAATGATGAATGAACAAGCCTGTAACTTTCATTGTGATATTGAAAATTATCTGATCAATGTAAGGAAAAGGCTATCTTTATTAATTTAACTTTATAAATGACAATTGATAAATTGTATCGTTTTGTATAATCGCTCATGAAACAATTTCAATTCTTGATTCCAATTACTCTTACCTGTTATCGTGATTTCTCCTTTTTGCTTGACGCTCCTGGTTCTTTTCACTCTCATTAGCCTTTTGCCTGTATCCAATCTACTGATCATGTCTTTTTAACCAACAGAGCTTTTCAATTTGTTGTGTTGTTAATGGTTAATGTCTGTTTGTTGTATATTTTACCACTGATAGCCACATTTGATTCAAAATCATAGCCATCAAAATATCATCATTATTGAACTTATTAATTTTAAATTGTTATTTATTAATATCATCTGATCGGTTTATATTCTCATAATCTAATGTGTTGTGAACTGGACTAATTTACTTGTGGCAAGTAAACTAACCTACAAATTTGGTGATTCATGTCTTTGAATTGGTAGAACTGTGATGGAAGTCTTGTTTACTCCTGATTACTACATCTTTAGACGAGGTGACTCTAGCCTTTGGTTCAAGCGTAATAGTCCAGATTCTAAAGCGCTTCTCAAAACAGGTGAGGTGTTTTTGTGTAAATTTTTGCTCAGTTAGCGCTTTTTCATTCACCAAATCAAATTATACACCAATAATGTGATACACATTTTCTTGTTATCTGCTTGTTAACTGTTTTCATTTCTCTTATTGGTTTTCTATATCTTTCTTTTTTTCCAACATTTTTGCTTTTTATCATTTGTTTACATTTTCTTCACCTACTTTTACATCAACTATTGCTCTCCATTTTATTTAATTGTATTTTTTTTGTACCGATTTACAGGTTATGATTTCAATCAGCTAACCAATTTAACCTGCCTTGGTCTAGCCCATGGACTAATTGGTAAATTTGGCAGTGACAATTTGATTGTCATCCGCCAAAACCAATGTGTTGGAACCATTCCTGGTGTGAAAGGGTCAGAGGATGAGGTTTATCGGATTAAGCGGATTGCAATAATACAATTAAATGATGTTGATCCTAACCCAAGTGAAATAGCCCTCGAACCTTGTACACTTCATGATAATAATCCATTAACCGGTGTATCAAATGTCGAACATGAAGATGGAAGTGAAAATCAAATGTCAGGAACAACTTCAAGTCACTCACTAAGCGGTATAGCAAGTGGTAATGGTGGAAATACAGGAGGTGTATTCAAAACCTGGAGTTCCATCAGAAGTGCAACCTCTTCAGTTAAATCTAGTGGCAATTTAAACAAAAGTCCTCGTGGTAGCTTTGCTCCAGGAAAGGAGAAGGGCGAAAGAAGATTGATCAATGAAGTGCTTAAAATGTTCAACAATACTGACTCCTTTTACTACTCACCAACCGGCGATCTCTCAAACAGTCTACAAATGAAACATATACTAGCCGAACGTAAAGAAAATAAAACGAGTAGTAATTCCGAGCTCAGTCACGATGAAAAAAGTACTAGTGATAATGTCAAGTACCCATGGGATGTTTTTGATAAAAGATTTATATGGAACCGTCACATGATGGACTCTCTTATTAGTGGATGTGAAGAGGAAATTACAGGGTTGCTTGATCTCAATTTTTGGATTGTTCCTGTTGTTCAGGGATTTTTTCAAAGCGAAACTTGTTTCATTGATGGCGATAAATTAGATGGTAGTGATTTAGAGTTTAGAGAGTACCAAATGATTCTGATTTCACGCCGCTCAAGATTTCGAGCTGGAACTCGGTACAAAAGAAGAGGTCTTGACGAAGATGGTTACTGTGCAAATTATGTAGAAACCGAACAAATATTTAAATATGGAGCTCATGTTGTCTCATTTGTGCAAGTTCGGGGTTCAGTTCCCATATTTTGGAGTCAACCAGGTCATGCGTATCGACCACCGCCGAGAATTGACCGGTCAGAAGAGGAAACACAGAGAGCCTTTGAAGCCCATTTTCAAAAGGAATTCGCAATCTATGGTAGAGAAGTCATAATTAATTTGATCGAACGCTGGGGACGTGAACGGGTAGTGGGCGAAGCATATTTAAATCACACTGTTAATTTTGATTCACCCTTGTTAACTTACGTATCATTTGATTTTCATGAGAGATGGTAAGAGACTATTGATTTTATTTCTTCATTCCTTTTTTGTTACTCATGTACAACTTGTAGTTTCCATTCCCTTTCCACTTACTCCCACAACGTATACAATATATGCTTTATACTTGATATTTAGTTTTAAAATTTTATTTTCTTATAATTATGTACATTGACGATCACTTGAACTATCTTCACCTCTTTTCATCTCAACTCTCTTTGAGCAAAATTTCATTTTTCATTTTTCATTTTCGTTTTCTTTCTTTTTTGTATCAAATTCATTCTACACGCATACACAGTTATTTCGTTAACCTTCCCAAAACTTTTTATTATCCAAAGCTTACCTGTTCATTGCGTTTCTTACAGAAAGATTATCATTACTAGAAACATTCTACATTTTCTCTTTTTCCATGATACACCTCCGCATCAAAATGAAAAGGATTTAGTTTTTTCCCTTTGTGACTCTTTCTTTTATTTTACCTTTCGCATCTATCCTGGATGATTTTTTCTTTCTTTTCTTTCTTTCTTTTTTTCTTGGTCAGATTTTTGAAGCATATTGATTAGCTTAATTAGTAATTCAATCAATATTCTCGATATCCTTTGATTTTAGTGACCTCTTGTTTTTATCATTTATCAATCACTTTGCATTGAAAATCAATTTCATTCATATACTTCATTAAATTTAATGTAACTTTATTGAACATTTATTTTTTTACCAATGAGAAATTTAAACCTTTGCCAAACTCTAACTTTTATTATTATTTTGCTTCTAAAATTCATCGAAATATATACTAACTGACGTTTCTTTTTTTTCATTTAAAGTCGGGGAATGAAGTTTGAAAACGTTTCTATATTAATTGCAAATATTAAAGATATAATACGAGACATGAAATACTGCTGGGTTGATGACCAAGGAGTTATTCAATCACAAGATGGTGTATTTCGTGTCAATTGCATTGACTGCCTTGATCGAACAAATATTGCACAAACTGCCATCGCACGAACAGTTATGGATACTCAGGTTAGTAAATCACGAAAAGGTTAACGAATTATTAATCCTTGATTTATATTCAGCTTGATTAATCCATTTTATTTTGTTTGCTATATCGGTTTTTCACTCTTTATTATATTCAGTTCTCCAAACTCGGAGTTTTATGTCCGGATAGTGAACTTCCACCAAACTGTCGTCGTATATTCCAAATAATGTGGGCTAATAATGGTGATTCAATTAGTCGACAATATGCTGGAACAAATGCCCTCAAAGGTGATTACACACGAACAGGAGAAAGACGTCTTGCTGGTATGGTTAAGGATAGTTACAATTCAGCTTCACGGTATCTTCAAAATCGTTTTAAAGATGCTTATCGACAAGCTGCGATTGATATGATGCAGGGTAACCCAATAAGTGATAGCGACTTAAGAAGCCCAGACAGTGAAAATGTTTATGGTGATGATGATGACGATGAAGACATTGAACACCATGAACGAGTTAAACAAGTCATTGAAGATTGTAAAAAAATACTTATCCCAGAAAATGAGGTTATCCTAGGTGGATGGCCTTTAATTGATGCTGATCCGTCAAACGACACAAGTCATCCATCCATTGAAATGGATACTGTATTAATATTAACCAAAGATTGCTACTATGTAGCTGAGTATGATGATCAAACTGATCGAATCACAAAGTATCAAAAAGTATTATTAGAAGATTTAGAAAAAATTGAATTTGGACCCGAACCAGGTGCGCAACTACTTTTTTCATCGCTTTCATCAAAACTACAAAAACAAAGCTACTGTATTCGCTTTCATTACCTAGTCAATGGACAGTCTGGTTATTTCCATATGTTTCGGCCAACAAATACTCGTTTCTTTAACAACATGGCAATACCCGTGAGAACACCTCAGGAATCTATTGATTCTTTAAAAGCCATTTGTGAATCATTTAAAGTTGCTCTTTGCGTTAAATCGTTGAATGTTCCTCTTTACGAAGGTCGACTAGAGAAACGTAAAAGTAAAACTGTCTCTTTTGCTGGTAAACAGCCAACCAGTCAAGGATCGATGCAACCTCGTAAAGTTCGCCATTATACACATTCTTCAGTCGGACAAAAAAGTGGTTCAAGCTTACTTCCTCGAAATATTTCCGATGGTAATTTGCTGAATTTAAAAAATGTTGGATCGCGAGCATTGAATAATGTTTCCTGTCAATTGGCTCGTTTTAAGGGTAAATTGACTGGTAACGCTCGAAGTAATCCTCATTTGGCTCTAGGAACTGTTAGTGAACAACGACTCGAGTCGATCCAATCATTTGCAGGTGTTGATACTTCAGTTGCCTCTTCAGAAGAAGATATCTACGATGAAGAATGGGAAGGAGCTGTTGGCGTTACAACAGATGAGATATCAGAAGATGAATCACTTCGTAAATCAAATCGAACACGTATGTTTCGTGATCAACAAGCAAGTATTGCTTCAAACGCATCATCAGTCTTCTTAACTGAAAGGACACTTTCATCGGACTATTCAGAGTGTAGTGACTTAGAAGATACCGATGACATTATTTTGGGCTCTCTTTGTGAAGAACCAAGATCTTTGCCATTCCAAAACGCCGCAGCACTCTCATTAGCTGGTAATGACACTTTACTCGAAAGCTGTGGTATATTAACAATTAGTCCCCCATTGAAGCCGGATTACGAGGAATCGGGAAATGCTAATAACTCTCATGGTCATAGAGGTAAAAATCGTAAATCTCTTTTAAAAGATGTTGATGACTTTGTCATTGACGCCATGAACAAAGCTGGCCTTAAACAGCTTCATCGAAAAGCCTCGGAAAGTTTGACATCTCTCCCGCTGAGAGGAAAATATCCTTCAATTCCATCAACATCTCAACCCCGAGCTCCTCAGATTGAAATATCTGACTCTGCAAGTGGATTCGAGGTTAGTCCACCTTCACCAACCAATCAACCAAGAGCCCGTAAATTATCCAAATCCTCGGAAGATATCGAGTCTTTTGAAACTTTGTCCACGAGAACTTTATGTAACACCAGCAGTGCCTCTTGCGCTGCATTATCTGGTTTACCTGCTAATGAGGAAAATAGAATCGGCAAAACTGACGACATTCCTGACCCATCATGTGCAAAATCATCCACAACTTTACAAATAACTCCTATTAAGATGAAAACATCACACAGTGAGATGGCTTTAGGTCAAAGTCAAGAGAATCGTCTAGCGCTTAACATTAACAGTTCCTCTAACCTGTCAAATAATCCGTTATCTTCGCCCATTTTAATGAAAAAAGATCTCATCCTTTCACCAATATCTCGAATAGCTAAAGGTGTACATTCCTTTGGGCTTAACCTAAGGTCACATTATTCTAGTGAGAATCAACAATCAACTCAAGTATACGATCCAAAAGCGTGTGGTAAAAATTACGAAAAAACCACAATCATCTTTATTTAGAGTAAAAAAAAGGAAATTCCAGTTTTACCATTCATTCTAGATAACAGTCACCATGTTCATAGCCATTAATCTCATCTCTCGGACCACTGAACTCAGATTTATTCTTTTTTTTCCTCTATTTACTTTCCATTTTTATTTATCTTCTCAATCTTCCTTCTTTTTTCAGTATTTTTCTTTTTCAGATAAATATTTATTATACATCAGGCTAGTTAGAATCTCATTTTTGTTCAGTTTATACAAACAAATACAGAAACAACAGACCCAAGTAAACCATCAAAATATTGGATAATTTTAAATTGATAATTACTATTTCACTCTCGAAGGAACACAAACACACACATAATCTGTCAATGGTGACAGATCGATTGGTACTCACAATTATCCTCACAGTGAACTCTGCTCTACAACCGTCTGTGATTGAAATAACAATTAATATACATTCACTTATAAATATCATATTATAAAAACATTGGCAAAGAAGCATCTAAAAAGAGCGTGAAAAGTGTCCTCGACTCGGGGACCTTTTAGCTTAACAGGATTCATCTGTATGGCCAGATTACTGTTATAATGTTTATTTATTTTATTTGTCTTGGAGTAGTTCAACATTGGAAATCATGAAATTCAGTAAATAGGTTGTCATCTAAGTTCGTTTACCTTAAATTTGCTTAATTTCGCTCATTAGAAATCAAAAAATTTGGTAAGCATACGAACTTAGTTGACCACCTAATATCAATGGAATCGTATATTATTATTTCTCCAGGTTTCTGCCTTTAGACATTTTTCTCAACCTTTTCCATAAGAAAACTTCGCTAGTCGCTTTAAAATTGACATCATCTTACAAAAAAACATCAACATTAATATACTCAAAATCATATAATAAATGATCAAGTTAATTGTTATTGGGAATGTTTGACGAGTGATTTGCAATATTTGTATGTTGAATGTAAACAACCAACTTAAATTGTTAAGCGCATTAAAATCTGTAAGATTCCAAATGAAATGATAACAATAAATTAAATATAAACCGATTTAATCTTCTTTTTTAAGTGATTCATGGCTGAAATATACGAACAATTTACGTGTAATTTATCTCCTTTACTTCTGTATCGCCAAAAATCAGGAAATATAATTTAAGAAGTTTAATTTTAAGTGGCTTTACAGTCAGAAAGTCAAAAAGAAAGCGTAACTTTGTTGAATGTCATTCGAAGCTCTTTTTAGAATTTGTTCACTTGCAGAGTCCACTAGTCGTTTTTAGTTCACCGTCAATTCACACAATTTTACATTAGTTTTTTCTTTGTTTTATTAATTGTTCAATTATAAATCATTCTTATTCCCAATTCCTTTATTCTGAGTCATATTTTCTGGTAATCGTCATGGTAACCAAAAAGGTAAATATGTTTACATCTGGTCGTGTTTATTTTCTCAGCTTGTTAATTTTCAATCGTACTTTTGTTTGTTTAATTATCAATCGAATTTAATTGAATCATTTCTTTTTACTTATTTTGACATTTTATTATTTGGAACAGAATCGTCTATCTAAAAGATATAATCCTTATGCAAAATCTAAAAAGGAAACTGTCAACATGAGTGAACCCATCAGCGAAGAGGAGAAAAAAGAAAAGGAAAGATCACAAATTTTAGCAGAAGGATTTAAATTGTAAGTTAAATTTTATTTTAAATTTTGAAAATTCTATTAAATTTCAATTTTTTTTCATTTCAGACATCGAGTAAGCTTGAAAGATCCTGAAAGTAAAGAAGTTCTCTGGTCTACAAAAGAAGACTTGACAAAAACAAAAGAGGACTTTAAAGGTAAGGAAATTAATCATCTTCGTTGTTATTTATGATTTAAAATCTAATTCTTCATTCCTCTTACAGTTCATTTAGAAAAAAATATCCATGAAAGGACTGGTGATATTATGATGGAAATAGTATTCTCATCTACTCAAGCCATGGAGAATTTCAATTTGAAAAAGCGTCTCCTTTTCAAAAATAAATGTTTAGAAGGTAAGTTAATGATAAATGTGAATATAAACATATTTTTCTTTTCTTAGAAATTGAATTTTCTTATTAATGATTTATGGAATCATTATTTGCTATTGTTATCTTTTCTTTCACAGAATGGTTCATTGAATTTGGAGAAGTGAAAGAAAAGTCTGCCTATACTTGGCAGATCATGTTAACCTCTTCACCTGATGTCATGAATATGCCTTTTGACGCTCTAAGGTATGTTGAATCAAAATTAACCTATCAAAACGAAAATTTTATTTCATTTCACTCACCATGATTCATCTTTTATCTATTTCTTTACAGTGGCCAACTGATGATCGAAAGCAAATATTGTGACCAAGAGCTTGAATTTCATAAAGGTCTTATTAGAGTATTTTATGATGGTTTTTCAACATCCTGAGCTTTGTATTATCTATTTTTTATATGAAATTTGTATATGATAATTTGTACTTCCCAATTAAAGTACTCAGAACCAATAATTTCATGGTTTCTCAATTTATTTATCTTTCCATAATAGCTTTTAAAATCAGTGAACTTCGTGATATTCAATTCTCAATTAGGATTTAAAACTGGTGCTGGTTATCTAGCGATCGTATTTGTAGGTGTTTGAGTTTTCAAAAATATTTATTCACTTGAGATCAATTTTCAGCGTTAAGGCACTCAAAGTAAATTTTTGAACAGAAAAATGGTCAAAATAACAGTTCGAATAACATTTTTCTTTGAAATAAAGACTCGTTACTATGGTCACTAGCTCTTCATGCAGTGAACTCTCCTTCAGCTTGCTTGGGTCCTTTACTTGTTTATGTTTTGGTGTTAATCTTTTTGTATTTTTAGTTTGCTTGAGTGCCATCAATTTTTCATTTTCGATGTACTATTTTGGATAATGATTAACCTTGATAACTTGATTAATAATGCAAGTTAACAATAAACCTCCCGTCAGCAGTAACCAGTGCATTATCAATAAACCAATAAAATGTGTTGTGGTTGGTGATGGTACTGTCGGTAAAACTTGCCTTTTAATTAGTTATACAACCGAGGAATTTCCTGGTGAATATGTTCCAACTGTGTAAGTAGATTGTTAATCGTCATCAAGTATCCTTGTGTTTTACATATTTAACAACCTTCATAATAACCAGTCCGACTTTTACTACCTACCATAACTAAAGCAATGTCCAAACCAAACCTATTTAGCTGATAGCCTTTCTTATTTATTTCAATCCAAATCTACATATTCTTTTACGTTGATAATATGCTTATTTGATATCGAGTGTTTCCTTGAAAGCATAATGTAATTATAGCTGTATATTGGCTCATTTACTGAACATTTTATCGATAAATATCCTATGACGGTAGAAGTAGAAATTGGATTTTGCTGCATTTCAGCGATATTTATGGATTATCTATTTATTATCAATTTATTTATCTATCTTTTGTAACAATTACAATTTTTATTATTTTCACCAGATTTGACAATTATTCGGCTACACTTGTATTCGAGGGAATGACCATCACTCTAGGATTATGGGATACTGCTGGCCAAGAAGATTATGATAGACTTCGACCCTTAAGTTATCCACAAACAGATGTTTTCATCATTTGTTATTCCGTTGTGTCACCTTCCTCATTTGACAATATCCTAACCAAATGGTATCCTGAAATAAGACATCATTGTCCGGATACACCAATACTTCTCGTTGGGACCAAAATAGATCTAAGAGAGGATAATGAAACTCTTAACTATCTCAGCTCTCAAGGGCTCGCACCAATCAAACGTGAACAAGGTATAAAAATGGCCTCAAAGATTCGAGCTTATAAATACCTTGAATGTTCAGCGTTAACTCAAAGAGGTGTCAAACAAGTCTTCGATGAAGCTGTTCGAGCAATTCTTAAACCTTTAGCCTCTCATCCTTACCACAACAACAAAAAACTGTGTAACCTTATGTGATCTCTCTATTTAATCTTTTAATCATTCTACAACTTTTACGGAAATATCTCGTCTTGAAATCTCAGATAATCAATTTAACTCTCATTGTCAACTTTTATGTCAATTTTTACCATTTCTTCTCCCCAAGTCACACCAGTCATTATTTTATCTTGATTTATGCTTATTTGTACAATAGGAATTATACTTATAAATATGCATTTTATTCAATTCCTTGATCTCAAATCATGATCAATCTTAATTCTTATTGCCATAAAATTCGATGTAAATTCGCTAATCATTAGTTATTTTATACATAAAACTTAACCTTTCAACCCAATTTTTCCGTGATAAATTCATAATTCTTCAGTATAAAATTTATTCAAGATAATTAATATAAAGATAGAACAGAATTAGGTTTTTAAAATTCATTTCATTAAAGGTCAATACAATAAAAGATACAACCGAGGTTATAAAATTAAAGTTCAATTGATGAACAGAAAAGTTCAAAACATTCTCAAAGTCAAGTCCAGTTCAATTTACAATGACTGATCAATTCCAAAATGGATAAAATCAAATCTAAAATTAGTTAAATGTAATAACAAAAGGAACACCCTTCTTTGATTAATTTTTGGTAACTTAAATCCTCCTCCAAATTTGCCACGTGGTATGCTTGCTCCGCATGGAGAGTGTGCAAACAGTTTAAGGTTGAACAACATCCGCAGCAGTAATTACATTTTTTTGTCATTTATCTTCTTGATACTTGAAGTATTCAATTCTTTTTTATTCATTTACTGTGTTATTGTAACTATCATCACTCGGGTTCAGATTATTCATTCATCATGACTGAAGAAACCAAAATATATCGTCTATCTGAAGTTGAACAACACAAGGATAGATCATCAACTTGGATTGTGATTAACAACAGTGTTTATGATGTTACCTCATTCCTTGAAGAGGTAGGCTAATTTATCTTGATGGATATTTCTTATTAAACCTGCTACGTCTCACTTTGTTGATGATTGTTTAGTGTATTATCTTTTGTTTTGCCACAATTTTGGACTAATTTAATTTTATCTTTCCATCCATTTTTCATCAGCATCCTGGTGGAGAAGAAGTTTTATTAGAGAAAGCAGGAGGAGATTCAACAGAGGATTTTGAAGATGTTGGTCATTCAACAGATGCTCGCACATTAATGGAAAAGTATAAAATTGGTGAGCTCCATGAAGAGGACCGATTTGAACAGAAATCCAAAGAGGAGTCCGCACCCGCCACAAATTCAAGATGCTGTATAATCTAAATCACGTCATTTTGGACGTTTGTTCATCTTTACATATAAATAATTCTCTTTTTAATATTACACGAAACGTCGCAATTTGTTGTCGATATAACATGCAAAATGTTAGACTTTTTTCAATGTTGTAAACCTTGTCTGGTTAACCTGGTGCAAAATGGTATTGAGATAAATAATATAAACACAACATAACTAAAGTACAAGATCGTCCATTTACATTTACAATTTAATGATTAATGTGAGTTGACATGCCTGGAAAGTTTCCGACAAATAGCTAATGGATCATTACTCAGTTCCTTAATTAGTTGTTCTTCGCGTCTTTTAAATTCTCTTTCCTTTTCGGTTATAGTTTTGACATATTGATTCTGCAAATCTTCAATTTTTCTTTCATGTCTTTCCACTAGACGATGGATATGTTTTTTATATTTGTGTAATTTAGCTTTCATGTGCATTCCATCCTCTTTGATCTTTTCTAGTTCCTGGTGGATTAAAGATGACTGTGGAACTGAAGTGTCTAGGCTTCTTGATAAAATTAAAGCTCTCTCCAAATTTTCTTTGGCTTCTAACATGGATTGTTGTTTTTGGTCAAGTTCATTAAGACGGTCATCTAGATTACAGTTGATTGCAGTCCAAAGTTTTCTCAAAGGAGCAAAAATAAAGTGCATTTGATCTTGGTCTCGCTCTGTGTAGTCTGTGTCAGAAAATGATTGGATATAATCAATCAGTTGATTCACATATTCCTCCAAACGTTGATTAAATGATCTTTCCATTTCTTCTCTTTGTGTTTTATCCATAACTCTGATGGCTTCTTTCAAATCCCTTTCGAATTGAGCTTCATATCGAGCTTCGACTTCTTTAAGCCATGGTTCATGAGCACTGCTTAAAAATTCGTTGGTTTCAGAAAGTTTTTTCTCGGTCTCTTTCAACTTCTCTCTGAGTTCTGTATTGTCTTTTTTGACCCCAGTCAATTGGGATTGTAGTGAGGCAATTTGTGTTCGGCGAGTTTGAAGATTAACTAAACATTTTTCAAATTCTTCCTTGAGTTCTGCTACATAATCACTATCGCTTTGAGACAGTGTCTTTTTTACACATTTACAACTATTATCAGAGAATGATGGAGCTGATGATTGATTTGATGTATTGCTTTTCAGTCCAATAATTTCCCTTTGTAGAGATTCGATTTCTTCATCCTTTTTCTTCAACATAGATTCATATTCTTTCTTGTCATGAGTATCTTGGAGGATTTTTTCATAACTTCGCTTGAGATCACTCACACTTGATAAGTTATCAGAATTTCTATCAGCTTTCAACTTGTTTATCTCTGCTTGTCTGGTTTCCAATTCATATCTCAAACCTTCGTTTTCTCCTTTTAATAAAATAATCTCATTTTCATGTTGTTGCTGAATTCTATTTAACATTGCTTCGTAATTTTCTCGTATTCTGGCCGTCGAATCACTTTTACTTAATTCTCCAATTTGTCTGTTCAGCGATTCTATTGTCGATTCAGCTAAAGCTAATTTGGTTTGGACTTCAAGTTTAGCTTCACTTTCAGCTTTTAGTTTGACAGTTAGAGCTGATACTTTTCCTTCAAGTTCAATCAATTCCTTGTTTTGTGTTTGGCACTTTGATTCAAGTTGTTGATATTGACACGAGAGATTTACATAATCCGCGTTGATAACATTCAGTTTTGCTTTCAGCGCTGAGACCTCATCAGATAACTTTTGGTTGTCATCCAGCATATATTGCACATGCTTAAATGAAAGTTGAGAAAGGTCATTGTTTTTCAAATCTACAGTACATTTAGACCTTAAAAGTTCATCGAGATGAGGAGTTCCACTGCGAAGATTTTCAACACTAAAGTCAGAAAACATATCCTCAGATATTGACAAATTGTGGTTATAGCTCTTTATATCTCTGTCCATTTTTGAAGATAAGAATGGCAATTTTGTAGACTCTTTTGGTGATAGCACTGGAGAGGGTGGACGTGAGTCTTTGAATGATCCTGATGATGATGAAGTAAACGATACATCTGAAGATGAATAATGGGATGGAGATAGAGATCTGGATGAATGTGTTGAACTTGAGGATGCTGATAGAAGTGAAGGCAATGGTGAAGACGATGTTGGCTCCAAAAAGCTCTGATTTTTCTTTAACCTGTATAGAGATAAAACAAACAATCTAAATAAAATGACAAAAATAAATAGATCAATTACACTTACCTATTCATAATGGCCAGTTAATTATTGACATTAAACAATTAAAATTAAAAACAAATAATCTTTCATTGTAGTGTTTTGCCTAGCTTTACTTTATACAAAATTTACCCTCCAAAACTGCGGTAGCTTAGCTCTCCGGTTAAACAGTGCTGCCGCCCCTTTTCCTTCACCCAAAAAAAACTGGTCTCTGCCTTACTGTCTTGTTAGACTCTCTGGTTAGCTTATCCTTTGTATTATCTTGGATATTACATTTTCTCTTCATTTGTTTTAATTACTGTTTGTTTATCAGATTGACATTCAAATTAGTTGATGGTTGATTGACTACCTTATGGCGAAATCATCATAATCATGAATTAATTTTCTTGTGTATTGTATTTCAAACTGTTTGTTTTATTTTTCTTACTCTTGGTCTCACCAAATGGAATCAAATTAAATGAATTTCTCTAAACAAGCTATAGTGTGGTAAAAAATTTAAATATACGGTTAAATAGGACAAATTAAAAAGGTCAACAAACCATCAAACCTATTTTGACCGACAATACAATAATTGTTCTCATTACACCCAGACGATTTCAAGTTAGCTCAATTCCTAAAACGCGAAACATTAAAAATCATCATTTGGTAACAATAAAGGATCAGTTTAGGTACAATCATTATCTACGCACTCACTAAGACTCATCAAGTTGTAATTGCAATGATAAGTTGATTTACCAGAAAAAAGAATCAAACTAAAAGCGAATCAATCCTGTTTCTTAGAATTACATGAGTTACATCTGAATTACGTTATTTTTACGTTTGCGTTTCTCGTTCAATTTTACCAGTTTTGCCAGAAATATCAGCAAACTCAATGTATTATCCACTTGTATTTCATGATATGAATATAGGTATAGAATGATTAAAATTAATAATGAAGTAGAAAACTCCAGAAAATCTGGTGCAGGGCAAATGCACCTAACACAATCAGCTCGTTTGAAAATTTCAAATCATATTCAATAGTCGATAATAGCTGTCTTCAATTATCTTTCTTCTATTGATATTCAGTGCAACACTGATTACCGAATATTACCCAATATTTACCGAAAAATTTAAATATTAATGTACAAAGAAAACAATAAATATTGTATATTTGCCAGATTTCAATTGACTTTAATTATCTATGTTAATTATCTGGGTAATTCTATAAAATTTACTAATCATAGTTTAACCTACTGATGAATCTGATAATTTATTGTTGCGTGAGTAAACACCATAAGAGTAAAAGCCTGAATCCATCTGTAAAATTTACTATACTTACTCAACGTAAAAATTTATTTTATCTTGAACATAAAACACTCATCAGCTTTCATGGTCACATTTATCAAGCTCGTTCAATGTTCCTTCATAACCAACATTAACCTGTCTTCACTAATTGCGTATAGCAATCACTCACAATAAATATTTTTCTTTACGGCTGACCACTCTTGAACAATACAATAGGTTTTTGCCTGAAAAGTTAACCAATCCATGATTAATTTTGTCAAAATTGTGTGATTATCGAGTGAAGAGACAAAATCTCTTACAACTAATTCTATTAAATCCTGTGACCAACTCTGACTTGTATAAACACTCAGCTTCTTGATTTAGCCAAACGAAATCTTATGTTTGAATTTCTTTCTCTCCTGAAATCAAGTTTTATTTATGAAGCAACTTTGAGGAAATATTCGTAATACATGTGATTAAATCTCTCACTGCTGTATTGAGATAAAAAGGATTCATGATAAAACAAGTATCAATTTGCTAATAAGAAAAGAATCGCAAAGATTGAAGGGCAAAAACATACAAGAAATGAAAAATGAAGATGAGTGGAGGAAAACGTAAAAAAATAAGTTGTACAGATTTGTCAACAAATGGTTCTTGATTGATGTCCTTGGTGGAAAATGGATTCTAAAATTTAGCCAACTGAATTAGGCCACAAGCAATTGCAGGTCCAGAGTTTCCTGTTCGTTTACTTTCGAGGTCACCACTACGTCCTAAATCATCGGCTTTCTCAGTTACCTTCATTTGACCAAGATATAAAAAGCAATGATAAGAAAAATATAAACAAAAAATGTGTTAATAGAAATGAGATGATCTTCAAGGACTTGGAATCTGGTTAATACATGTGATTTTATTGCTAATAATGAAACCAGATTAGGGTATTAACTTTTTTTTATCTTTAAATTGATTAAATACTCTGATGGTCATGCAGTTATATTCATTCATTTCATGTGACTTGTACAATGATTTTCTGTTTTTGTACACTTGATAATTTTCCTTGTTTGGTTATTCAGCTTTTTTCAACTGCTATGGGTAACTATTAATACTCATTTCATGCAAGGTAAAGAAGTATCAGTAAAAATCTTACCACGATGGTTCGGTTTAATACAGAGTAACCTCCCGATAAACTTATTATTTGATCAGTGAGATCAAAATAAGCTATTCCGTCTCGATCAGCAAAAATGTTACCCAGATCACCAACATGACGAATCCAATCGTATTTACCGCCATGTTCAGTTTTCTGTGGGTTATAATGATCACCTCCTGAGGAGCAATCGTTTCCAGTCAAAGGTTTCTCTAAAATATGCATACCATGGGCCCCAGGAGATAGGCCAAGTATCTTTCCTCGAATGGTTACATGTTCATTCTCCTGTTGAAGAAAGAAACGAGTAAAAATGTTTAAAATACAGAGTAGTCTTTTCATTTTGAATCATTCATTGGAATATTTCTTACCTCCTGCTCAAAACTAATGGATCCTGTGATTTTATTATCAGACCCTTTGATTTCGGCAGTTCCACGAGTAACTTTAGGGTTGGAATATGAGTGAGGTTGACCCTGGGACATGTAATAGTTGTTTCCAGAAGAAAGAGCATAATTTGGATACCTTGGAACCCAACCGAACCTATGATCAAATGTAACTGAGTTGTCAGGGAAATTAACTTGACCCGGAATTAGACCATATTTAGCGTCAAAGGTTGATAAAGGTGGTTGACTGGAGACTGGTGATCCATTTAAAGATGATTGAGCAGACGGTGGAGACAGCTGAGTTAACCCTGATTGCAGTGAAGAAGCGGAGGCAGAAAGTGGTTGTGTTGGATGATAAGGAAGTATTGACGATGAATATGGAGATAAGCCTGGTGCTGAATTCAAAGATGACAATGGTTGATAGGGTTGAGGTGGAGCTGGTTGAGTATAAATTGTCAGATTAATAATAGATAAATCAATATTCAAGAGTTTGTCTTACCTGGTGGGTAACGTTCACGAAAGTGTCTCCAATAATTATTGGCATCAATCATAGAGTCAGGGGAAGAAAATGGTGGTTTATTTGAGTCCATAAATTGTGATGGATAACCATACTTTGAACCATAGTTGGGTCCATTTCCATACCGATAATCAAAACGATTAACTAAATTGAATAGAAATCATTTTTGAAAGTCTAAATAAGTTATTCAAAATAAACAAACGCACTATCAACCAATGTAATTGGTCCTTACTTGATGGCGCTGAATATGGATCGCCATAATATTGACAATTAATGGTAGATAAACAAATAACAGTCAATTGCACGGTAATCCCAATGGCAATACAATTTTTAATCAACATTGAATAATTCATTTCGCTTTATTTTGTACTTTGCAAAGATTGTTGGACAACGGGTCAAAGGAGTGTAAATGTTGATCAAACCAACTGTAGACGGATTATCATTACTAATGAAATGTTATCATGAGCATTTTAAGTAACTAAATGATTTGTTGAAATCTAAATTTGATGTATCATGATTCCTAGGCCACAAGGAAGTCCTATTATATTAATAAAGATTTCCCATCTTCCTCCTCTTCATCGTCATCATTCCTGTAGGCCTGAGTGATTTTCAATTGTTTAACAAAATCGGCTAACTGTATATCCGTCAGTTTGAATGTGATTATCAAGATTCACAATAGTAGAATCATGCAACTAATTTTAATTTTAATTCACCCAATATCATGCTTTTAATATTGACTTCAATTTATCTAGCGTTTCATTTGATGCTAAATATAGTGAATTGGTTGGTGCAACCATTAAATAGTTGGACAATTGTTAATCAATTGAAGTCTCCAAGCCTTGAACTTGGTTTCCCTATTTTGCTTCATTTAAACCTTTACACTCGTATTCAATTCACAATTGTATTCATCAATTTTACACCTTTCCTGTAATTCAACCTTTTAGCTGAATCATGTTTTCATTACTCAAACAATTACATGCTCATAATGGATATAATTTTCATGGTGACATAATTAAATAATTTACCTAAAAGCAAATCGATTGCCTAGAGTTTAGACCTAAAAAGTATCATATTGACACAAACAGCTAAACGTTTAGTAGCGTAAACCGAAAACCAAAGTGACCGTTGTACAGCAACAGAAAATTTTATCTTCTGAAATGAGTTCCTGAGTGACGATTAAAAATTACATCAGAACAAATGAATTTGATAAAAAATCTGGTTTAAAAGCAATTGAAGTTTAAGCTTTGAGCGATATTTTTTCGCAAACATAAATTCGATCATAAAATCTTTTAATTGCACCAATGAACAGAGGATGCAAAATTGTAACATAGAGTGCAATTTACCAGAATATTTATAAGGTATTTGGACTGAAAATATAAGGACGAATTGTTTAGGCTTGATTGTTAAGTTTAAGACAGGAAACAAGTTGTTACTGCAAAAACAATGAACCCAATTATCACATTTATGTACACATTGACACGAATGGACAGAAACGGACAAAAATTGATTTCTTGCAAATTTAGACTCTGTTTTCTTGTAGGGACATGAAAACTGCATCCATTTGTGCGACTCAAAGATTTCTCCGTTGAATAGTTTTCAAGGGAATCGAGTCCAAAGTTGAAACTTCGATCGCATTTTGTACAGTTGTGTCACCAGATTTTTCAATGTAACTCATTTTGCTAATGTAAATTTATATATGTAACCATAAAACGTACTTATTTTGAGAAATAAAACTTTTCTTTTTCTATAAAATAGATTAGTTCGATTTTTATTCAAACCGACTTAGTTCTGTGACCACAAGAGTTAGCGAACTGAAACTTATTATTTGTCCATTAAAACTGTTTGCCAACATCATGGATGCAATACTTTTTTTCATTCATCAACAGTTCTCTTGGTTTTGGCCATTAGTCCTAAAACTTTGAGCCTCGATATTTCGAGAATAATACCCCCTACGATCAGCATTCTTTCACCAAATTAATTCTTTACTGATTAATAACCCAATTCTATTCAAAAACTTCCTATTAGCGCATTTAAGTAATGATATTTGGGCTTTAAATGCACGAGCAACAACTTATTTAACAAACAAAACTCATCTAAACACACATCTTGGTAAATGAAGCAATTTTCTGGTTAAACTTGCAACTTGTGATGCAAAAAGTATCGCCAAAGGCTCAAATTTTTTAGTAAAGAGTTGAAACTTTATGGGTTTTGTAGGGAAATGAAAACTGAACCCATTGGTGCTATTAAATAATCCATTCGATAGACAGTTTTTGATAAAATCGAGGTCAAAGTTGAAACTTTGATCGCCTTTTGTATAGCTATCGAAGTCTTTTTTTTCATGAAATTCATTCTTGAGGAGTAACTTATGATTAGCAACCAGAAAATGAGCAAATTTGTCGAAATAACATTTCATGCTTTTGTAAAACAGATCAAGTTCGATTTTCCCTTAAGCCGATCTCTTTCTGTGACCATATGAAATAGCGAGCTAGAATTTATCATTTATGCATAAAAATTGATGGTACACATCTTGAATTTAATAATTTTGCCAATTTATCAACAGTTCTCTTGATTTTGGCCATTGGTCTGAAAACTTTGAGTCTCGATATTTCGAGAACGTATTTTACCACGAACATCATTCTTCGGCTGAACATTAGATTGCATTATGGACTATAATATATTGAAATTTCAAATCATTCAAGATTCTACAAAAAAAGATATAACATTGCATTACTTGTGTTGACAGATCATAGACTTGATTGAATTGAGTTGAATGGTTACTAAACACAAATACTATTAAATGAATTAGTTCAGACTCCATTCGATATTTAGTCATATAATGTTATAGCCCATAATGAAACCAATGTTTGGTGAAAGAATGGTCAATGTAGGGGCCACCATTTCCGAAATATCGAGGCTTAAAGTTTTGTGGCCAATGGCCAAAATCAAGAGAACTGTTGTTGGATTGATAAAAGTAGTCAATCCATAGTGTGCGAAACTAGTTTTAAGGCACAAATAATAAGTTTCAGCCCATTAACTCGTACGGTAACAGAATAAGATCGGTTCAACTGAAAATCGAACTAACCAGTTTTACAGAAAAAGAAAAGTTTTAATTCTCAAAATAAGTACGTTGTATGGTTACCCATGAAAAGTTACATCAGCAAAGAAAAGTTTAATACAAAAATCTGGTCACACAACTGTACAAAAGGCGATCAAAGTTTCAACTTTGGCCTCGATTTTATTAAAAACTGTCCATCGAATGGACTATTTAATAGCACCAATGGGTTCAGTTTTCATTTCTCTACAAAACTCACCCAGTCTCAGCTCTTTACTAAAAAATTTGAGCCTTTGGCGATAGTTTTTGCATTACAAGTTGCAAGTTTAACCAGAAAATTGCTTCATTCACCAAGATATGCGTTTAGATGAGTTTTGTTTGTTAAATAAGTTGTTGCTCGTGCATTTAAAGCCCAAATATCATTACTTTAATGCGCTAATAGGAGTTTATTGAATGTAATTTGGTTATTAATCAGTAAAGAACTAATTTGGTGAAAGAATGATGATTGTGAGGGGTATTATTGTCGAAATATCGAGGCTCAAAGTTTTAGGACTAATGGCCAAAATCAAGAGAACTGTTGATGAATGAAAAAAAGTATTGCATCCATGATGTTGGCAAACAGTTTACATGGACAAATAATAAGTTTCAGTTCGCTAACTCTTGTGGTCACAGAACTAAGTCGGTTTGAATAAAAATCGAACTAATCCATTTTATAGAAAAAGAAAAGTTTTATTTCTCAAAATAAGTACGTTTTATAGTCATTCATGAAAATTTACATCAGCAAAATGAGTTACAAACAAAAATCTGGTGACACGACTGTACAAAAAGCGATCAAAGTTTAAACTTTGACCTCGATTTTATCAAAAGCTATCCATCGAATGGATTATTTAATAGCGCCAATGTGTTCAGTTTTCATTTCCCTACAAAACTCATAAAGTCTCAACTCTTTACTAAAAAATTTGAGCCTTTGGCGATACTTTTTGCATTACAAGTTGCTAGTTTAACCAGAAAATTGGTTTATTTGCCAAGATATGTGTTTAGATGAATCTTGTTTGTTAAATACGCTGTTGCTCGTGCATTTAAAGCCCAAATATCATTACTTAAATGCGCTAATAGGAATTCATTGGATTGATTGAAGTAATTAATCAGTAAAGAATTGATTTGGTGTAAGAATGATGATTGTAGGGGCTATTATTCTCGAAATATCGGGGTTCTAAGTTTTAAGGCTAATTGCCAAAATCAAGAGAACTGTTGTTGGATTGATAAAAATAGTCAATCTATGATGTTCGCAAACATATTTAATGGATAAATAACAAGCTTCAGCTCGCTAACTCTTGTGGTCACAGAATGTGATCGGTTTAAATAAAAATCGAACTAATCTATTTTACAGAAAAAGCAAAGTTTTATTTCTCAAAATAAGTACGTTTTACGGTTAGTCATAAAAAGTTACATTAGCTAAATGAGTTACAAGCAAAAATCTGGTCACACAACTGTAGAAAAGGCGATCGAAGTTTCAACTTTGACCGCGATTTCCTTGAAAACTGTTCATCCAAGAAATCTTTAAGTCGCACAAATGGATTCAGTTTGCATGTCCTTACAAGAAGACAGAGTATAAATGCGAAACAAATTCATTTTTGTCCATTTCTGCCCATTCGTGTCAATGGCTACATAAATGTGATAATTGTGGTCATTGTCTTTTCAGTAACAGCCCAGGAAACATAAACACGACATTTTAAACCATGTTAGTTAAAAGGAAGTTACTAGCAATTAGAAGTCGAATTTTAGTGTAATAACCATGAAATGACATGAAAAATTATTAAGATCCAATGCACAAAAAAATTAGAGCTTTCACTTCAATCCTCCATGCTAACCTTTCCAATAAAAAATAAAAATTAAATTTCTTATTAAATCGCTAAGTGCATCAACTATCCAAATGTTACTCATGACATTTTTCGTTAAACACTTGCAAATAATCAGTTGATTTGAATTAAATTAAACTAATTAAACAAAAAGTATTTACATTATAAGCAGTAATACCATCTAGTGAATGTGCATAAAAGCTAAGGGCCAGCCTCGATGAGCCTCCATCTATTGCTGATTAAATGAAAAGTTTGATCTAATTATTATATTTCATCGGAATCGCACCGGAAAAATGTTCACATTGAACAATGAAAAAGGTAGGCAACGACAAACCTTTTAAACAATGTTAGAGCTAAAATATGGATGTAACTTATCATTCCAAGCTGCATGCAAAAAACAAGGAAACTGAAAAAGAAATTGAAAAATGGAAAAGGACATTTAGTTAATTACCGAGGAAAGAAGTATTCAAGTTTAGCTTTCGAAGCTGATGTCAAAAAATCGAAAGGGAAAAGGTTTTGAAAAATGATGTCGTCGGGAAAATGTCGAGATAATAATGATTTGATAGAAATGCTGAGATAATGAGCAAAATATTTGACTAAATAATGTTAATCATTGCCAAATAAAGTTGATCTTGATTGAATAAAAAGAGGTTTTACGCCACAATAAATTTGGTTGATAAACTAAAGTTCCAATGGCATGAAATACCGACTGGAATAGAAAAGAATAAAAGGTTGAAATGGAACGGAAGTTTAAATATTCCAACAGTCTGATTAAACTGAATCAAACGGAACCTTAAAGAGACAATTAACTGAAAAGATTTAGTCCAAATCAATTGCAATTGCTAGTTGTTTATTTTTTAATACCTTTCTGAAGCAAAGTCAAATAGCTTCACTGAAACCGGTAAAAATGATTCAATACCCAAACCCAAATTAAAAACTGGTTCATACACATAAAGGACAATTTCCCATTTTTGTATAATTCAACTGATTGAGCTTCCATTGTATTTTGACTAATTAATACACAATTTACAAAACAGTAGCCAATATTGATATTTTGGGTTAGACGAAAGACAAGCCTTTAAACAAATCATTTTCAATCAAAATCAATGGATTTCATACAATAACTATGGCTATTGATTCAATTGACTTTAGGGTTAATTGATGGTCTTATGTTTATGTAATGATTATTGGTGTAAATTAACTATAGTTAGACATTTTTACGAACAGTTAACCCGAAAGGTTGAACTGGCTAACTGATATTACCATCCGAAAGTAATGTTAATCAAATGAAACATTGTAAGCTGAGACATTATTGAGTTAAGATGATTATCCTGGGTGATTAGCAATATAAATAAGACAATTTAAATTTAGGATTTGGTTACAATTAGCTGCATTTCCAGGGAAATGTATAATTTGAAAATGGTACTTTGATCAGGTTGAATGAAAATTTGTAAAATCTGAGATGAATCAGAACTGAATTTGTCTCTCTGTTAATTTCATGAGCAGTAAGCTGCAACCTTATCGAGTGTTATTATTGAACAGACAAACAATCAAAGATAAGGCAAAAATACTAATGACCATGTCTATGTGTTACTTAGTTTATACATTTAATGGTTAATATGATTACAGTTGAAACTGTTTGCCCGATGGTTCAACTCTTTATACTCAACAATCCTGTTTCATCCACTAACTAACCTTGTTTGTATCTATGTCAATTAATTTCCTCCATATTCTGATTCCGGAAATAGGCTTGGCTCTCATCTTCATCATCATTTTCATCGTCTTCTTTGACTTGTTAATTATACTGCAAATAGAAAGTTAATAAACAGTAACAGCATTTATTTGTGAGAATCATCAATGCATTAGTTAATGTTTATTTTAGTTTGGTTTAATTTTAAATTTTAACACGAGATTATGAGAAGTCAATTTTTCGCACTTTAATATTCCCAATTACTCTCAGAATCCCTCTTTCTTATTTGTTCAGTTTAATCAAATTTCACCTTTGATCATCCAATGGATAGAGTAATTGGATAACTTCGATACATTATTCTGAAAATTACCAAGTGTTACTGTATTTTTCAAAAAGAGTTGCTTTAACATCATCTTATGATTTTAAAAAATGAGTAAGCTGAGACCAAATGTTTAAGCCATAGAGAGGATGATTGATAGGCAAAGACCCAGTCGGTTAGCCTCTGAGAGAGCGAAGGTAAGTTTCTCTTCTTCATTTGTTTACTATTTTATTTGAGTGTTTTAATTGATCTTTTTTAACTTGAAATGTTGTCATTGGTTAATTAATGTGTTTCTAATTGTTATGACTATCAGTTTAAGTGACAATATTTATTTAATTTGGTTAATAATTGTGTTTTAATCATTTGTGTTTTTCTCTCCTCATTGTTTTCACTTTTCCCTTACTCTCTTCTCTTTCTCGCTTTCCTTATTTTCCTTACTCACTTCACCATACTATACCTACTGTACTATGATAACAGGCTTTATTCTTGGGCGATGTTTCAATCTCAAAGCAATTGGAGAGGGAGGAAAGAGATCTCAGGAAAGCTATAAAACTCTCTCGGTTGGAAGCTCAAAGAGCTAAAAGGACGGAAAATGAAGTTAAAAGTATAAAATCATCACCACCATCCTCTTCCTCATCATTATCAAAGTCATCTTCACCACAAAAATCTCCACCACTGCCACCAACTACCAAAACAACCAAAACAACCGCAACTGTAACTGCCACCACCAAAACTGCCAGCCAAAAGCGCAAAATGGGTAAACCCAAAGCAATTGAGATACCAGCAAAAATAGCCAAGGGTTGCTGTAAAACTATTAACCAGATCAAATCTTCAGCTGAAAAAAGGCCAAAGTCCAATTTGATTATCAGGACCCGAAGTCAAAACAATAACAACCCACCGAACAATGCTGAATATCCAAAGTCAACCTGTGGAGTCAACAATATCAATGGAATCTCTTCACCTGTGGCACCATGTGCCCTTCAATTAGGAAATGGCAATTCTATTAATGGTTTGAATCTATTAAACGGTGCAAATTGTGATAAACCACGACCAAAGATAATGGCTCAAAGGAAATTTGCATCTATTTCTTATAATGGCAATACATATCTCAAGCCTCGTGATACAGATTTTTCATCAATGAAAGAATTATTCACAAAACACAAACCATCAGCTGAAGATTTCTTAACCTTTCTCTGTTTTAGAAGTACCAACTTGTTGCCTCCTCATCTTGATTTTTATGCTCTCAACAATATTACCTCCAAAGACAGTATAAACATTTTAACCAATGATATTACCACCGATAAAACTGCCAACGAAACCGTTGAATCAAATTCAACAATCAAATCTCATAATCATCAATCCGATCAAAGCAATTTATCTACCTCAATGAAAACAAATAAAGGACCAACAAACGGCAAAGTTCAAATACGAAAGAGAGCATCTGTTTCTGTTAACTGTAGTCGAAAAACTGATGCAAATGGAAGGAAAAATTCAAAAGTTAAAAGAAAAGGCAAAGATAATCTGGTTAATGGCAATTTTAATGTTAAATATACGGAATTAACCAAAAATATTGAAGATTTGAAGAAATTGAAGACCGCAGAAAAGAAAATAGGAGCCGGAGTTGCAACCAAGGCTTGTAACTCAGGAAGAAAGTCAAGTTCAGATGAAAATAGACCAAAGAAATCATCTGATTTAACATATTCACAACTGAAAAGATCTCCAAATCCATCATCCACATCTTCTCGCCACAAGTCTCAAACCAAAGTGATAGTTTCTAGGCCTAAGAAAAAGGCTACCAATGATTCTCAGGATGGTCAAGTTTCGATTCAGCCAATTTCCAACGGCAAAGTAGTTTCAAAACGATCTTTGTCTCAGTCTGGAGTTTCTGATAATAACTCTGAAGACGTTAAAAAAAAGGTTAAAACAAAAGTTACCTGTGATCGGATTCTTCGATCAACCCGAAAATCTAGTTCAACATCAAATAAGGCTGCTCATCATATCGAAGAAACCTGCCCATCAAACGAAAGGCAAAATTTGATCACGAGTGAAAATCCGGTGGAAAATTTAGATACTAAAGTACCTATTAAAAGTGCAATAAATAAAAGTTCCGTGAATAGTCCAAAGAAGAGGAAAAGGGCCGTCAATAATGGTGATACTACAAATAATTGTCGTTCATCCAAAGTAAAAGAATCAATGGCATCGATTTCGGTTCCAACAGAACCCCAGCAGTCAAAGAAAAATGGACAAATTAAAACGTTACCATCAGAAACGATACCACCTAAAGTGACCATTAAAATTAATTCATCTGCTCGTGTTGGAACCCGAAGTTGTACAAAAAGATAGAACAAAAAAATCAGAGAAATCAGTTTTTTTGTCATTTTTGTTTCAATCTTTTTCTCGCCTTTCCGGGCAGGACTTTATTCGCAAAGATAGATTTATTTGTTTGCCTTTTATATTTTTTATATTTATAACTATTAATGAGCTTGAATCACTTGCACGCCGGCTTTTTCCTCTTCTCTGTTGGATCTTTTCCATCTTATTTTCCTTAATCCTTTCGCAGTATCCTCCAAGCAGTATATTGAGCATATATATCTTGATTAATTAGTCGCTTTCTTCGTCATCGTTCCTCATTTCAATTAATTTAGATTGATTCAAGGGCTGTTCAACATCAGACCTGTGGATGGTTATAAATATAAAAAAAAATGTATACATAAATTAACAGATCGGTTAGAAATGTGTAAAAACACCTTTTTTTATAAATTCATATTTATTCACTTGAAAGAAAAACCAATTTCTAATTGTTAATTCTCTCACTATTTAATACGTGTAACTATTAACCATCTGCATGTATTTAAACTAAAAATTTATATAACTAAAGTAAAAAATTTCTAAGCTTAATCAATCTCGAATTTTTTACCTTATTATAATTTGACTGGGAAACATTCAATCAGATGAATATTTCAATCATACCTTATGAAGTTTTCACAAGGCTTCAGGAAATGGTTAATTCTTTTACAAGTCAATACAAAAGACAAAAAACAATTTAAGCAAACCCTTCTTACCCATATATAACATCCTCATCAGAATCATTGATCATGGAAAGAGTTGGATTGTCTCGAACTACTCGTGAATCTGTTTTTTTGAATTAAAAGCGCAAAAAAAGAACGGAAGGAAATAATTAAACAAAACCAACAACCAAATAAAGACAAACTAATTGGTTTGGAACCAAAATTGGTTGTCATTGAAAAATCGACCAACTCGAAAGCTATACATTGTAAGTGATTTATATTTTAGTTGCATCTAATTATGAATATAACTAATATCCACTGTTAAACATTTATCCATCCTTTAGGTAAAAACAATTCAAAATAGACGTGAAGTCATTTATAATGTAAGCTTTTGAATTTGACTAACAATTATCTTTGGCTATTACAACTTACCCATCAATGAGGCCGATGATGGATAATAAAAGTATGCACAGATACATATATAAAGATTGGCTACCGAAAAGATCGATAAAAATGATGCTGATGAAGTTGTCTGATAGGTCATCGGTAAAAGCTGGAGATATGGTATCTGTGTAATGTCAGTTTCTCCCAGAATCGAATCAGATGCTGATGTTGGTTTGGATAGGATAACAACTAAAAAAGATATGGTTAACGTAAAACACAAAAGGAATGCTTGAATTTTAAGGCGAAGATCAAAGTATGGCATGGCACGAAGCTCCGTAAATGCAGTTAATAGCAATAAGACCAGATAAATGAAGTATATTATGAATAAAAGGTAGAAGAGGAAATTACAAGTCTGAAAGAACAAGAAATGCCAAAATGTTAATTCCTTCAAGTTTCGGGAGTCCAAATTCATCGACAAGATGTTACTTACTCTTAAAAGTGCTGAACCATAATAGGCTGTTTCTTCGTCTAATGTTGGCTTCTCAAGTTTCTGAATTCGTGACCAGTTTGCTCCATAAAGTATGATTAACCAAAGGGTTCCAACAATCATAAATTTAATACTATAAAAACGAGCTATTGATCTATTGTTTTGCCGGATTCCATGAAAAAAACAAACCCAATAAAGAAGAACTGAGCAGGTAAACGTTGTCTGGAAAACTATCTCCAAAACGTAGGGAATCTTGGAGTTGGAAAGATACATCAAAGGATAAAATGGATCTGATAAAGGAAGACAAATTATGTAAATAATCAATTTGGATCGATTCGACATTGAGCTACATTGGTGTAAATTATTTTGCAAAGTAATAAACCGTCCTTACTGTTATAGCATATTAGAGCAACTAATAAGAATGAAGTCCATTTTTGCTCCATTGACCAATCAGTGAAATTATAACGGTAAAGACAATGGTTAAACCAACACTGTAAAGAAGATGATTGTAAGCATTTTCATGTAATGGTTCAAATTTGGGTTTGGTGTTGTCATTGATCTTACCGAGATTATGAATGCTATCACTAAAAAGATGAAACGAAACCAAATGGTTAAACTGGTAAAGGATGGATTGATTGATTGGAAAGTAAAGTGAATATCTGTGATTGGATTTTTTTGATTAAAATGTTCCAGGTCAGCGAAACGAATTTCAATTGAATAATCTGAATATTCCAAATATTCAAGATGAAGGGCCTGAATGGGTTCACATGAGTTACCATTGCAATCAAGATGATGATAATGTCCACCATCAGTATCAAAAGATTCTTCAAGAATTGGATTACTAGTCTCGTTATTACTTCGTTTACCCTCAATATTAATTGCGATTGTAAATCGCCGTTGAAATGCACCCGAATCAGGTTCACCTTTAATATAAAAAGTAATCCAAAGGCAAATGTAACCCGAATAAGTTGACATCTCAGGAACTGTAATCTTAAATGGACCCGAAACAAGAAGGTTTTGTTGGACTGTTTTGTTGGTTATCTTGTCCTTTTCAAAGATTTGTGACGCCTTTAATGTGTCCAATTTGGTAACATTAGGTCCAGCCAAACCAATGAATAAAAGTAGTATAAAACCAGATAAGAAACCAGCTAAAGACAATAATATTTCTCGTTTATGAATAGCATAAATATTCATATGGAGTGATCTAAGGAAATAGAATGTCAAAGAAGGGAAAAAAGATGTTGATTGAATCAAAACAATATTGTAATTGGAAACAAAAAATCCATGAAGCTCGTGGATATATTTCCCTGAAGTCAGACAGCGAAACAAGCCGGTTCATGATTTGAATATGTCTTCAACAAATCAAATTATCGTGTTGAAGAAGCTTCAGCAAATATGGCTATTTAATGACTAATTCAACATTTGCAATTGAATAAGGTGAAGGCTAAGCAATTGATTGTGAATAGTTCACGAAATACAATAAGAAAATTAAACTTGTCCATCATCTGCTTTGATATCAACCTCTGCATTCATCTCCATATTTTACATCATTGTCACAAAATGAACCATATAATAGTTCAAATCTTATTAAGATAACAACATTGTAATTGAAATGGATGATAATAATTATTCACATCTTCGATGTATAATGTAATTGATTATGCTTACCTTTCACATCTATCATGGTAATAGGTTGGTGCAATATATCGGCGAAATTCACTGAAAAAATCATTCAACTGACTACGAGTTTTAAATAAAAGGCTCATGATGTCCAAATGCTGGTTTACAATATTACAATTTTGCTTGTGTCAAATTAATTTCTCATGGAGTGTAAAAAAGTAAATTTATTTTACTAAATTCAATATTATAAGTTTGATTAGATTCACTTTATATCTGAAATTTTGGTCAATATTGAACAATTTTCTCATATGTTTAAACTGACTTGTATAATCTATTGGAGATCTCAATCTCGAAGACAGAGAGAAATCTTTGTATAAACTCGAGGCGCATGTTAAGTCCATACCATCGACCCATTTACCGATCGATTGGTCTCCCACAATGATAAATCCCACATTCAACAATTGCTGTTTACCAGTTTTTTTTCATTCAATTTTCCTATACTTAAACAAAGGACCAGAAAGGTACTGCTGTTGATTAACAATCGTGTTACAATTAGAAATGAAGTCCATCGTGTTGGTAACCCTTTCAGTGTTTTTAGGTTTGTTTTTCTTGTTGATTGGCTCATTGAAAGTAACCCCAGCGGTTAACCGTGAAATGCATCGAGAGATTCGCCGTAATTATGTTAAATATGCGAAAGTGTTTCCAATACCGTCTCATTTCAACATCAAGATATCACCTAAAACTTATCGGCTAATTGTTGGATGGTCTGAGATTGTTGCTGGTTTCACTTTAGCCATTATACCAGGAAGGATCAAACAATTGGCAAACTGGATTCTTCTCGTTTTAACCGTCCTCGGACTTTATACACACATTATGATTAAGGATAAATTTGAGCGAACTGCTCCATCAATTGTATTTATTCTGATGCTTGTCTGCCGTCTAATTGTCCATGTTCAAGTCAGACGGAGGGAAACAGTTAAGCCTAAAACTGATTAAATTGATATCACATATGATGACACCGAAAGAAAGGATGAAGCCGCACATCTCTATTCAATATTGCCACCAATCAGCTCAATGTTCAACAAAAGGATTTCAAATTGAACAATACAATTAAGACATTTTTTATTACATTATTATATTCTCACTCCAAAGTACAGCCGCTAAAAGCTCAGTGTGCATGTAAATATTTTGAACACTCTACGAAATCCTTTACCTTTGATTATCACCAGATTAAGCTGAATATTATATTGGTACACCAATGTCCGTTTAACCGCTAGCATACAATTTATGCATAAATAAATAAAGCCTCAACGGTTGCAGATATGCGACTGTTTTCAATATAGATCAAAAATCTAGTCTATTAAAGCATATTTATCTAATTAACACCAGTGATTATCTAGCTCTTCTGAACGCGTCCTAAAATAAGCCTGTAAATAGCATATCACATTAAAAAACCGAATTGTTTATCAAAATGATTGATATGTAAATCTTAATTATTTCATCACCATGCTCAATACATTGAGACAAGCTCATGTAATCAATTACATGAACTTCATTGTATGACAAAAATCAATGGTTAAAATAGAGTGACCTCAATATACCTCGGAGTTGATACAAAGATTTCTCTCTGTCTTCGAGATTGAGATTTCCAATAGATTATACATATGAGAAAATTGTTCAATATTGACCAAAATTTCAGATACAAAGTGAATTTAATCAAACTTATAATATTGAATTTAGTAAAATAAATTTACTTTTTTACACTCCATGAGAAATTAATTTGACACGAGCAAAATTGTAATATTGTAAACCAGCATTTGGACATCATGAGCCTTTTATTTAAAACTCGTAGTCAGTTGAATGATTTTTTCAGTGAATTTCGCCGATATATTGCACCAACCTATTACCATGATAGATGTGAAAGGTAAGCATAATAAATTACATTATACATCAAAGATCTGAATAATTATTATCATCCATTTCAATTTCAATGTTGTTATCTTGTTGAGGATAAACAATTTGCTTTCCTACAGTTATTACTCCAGCCACCGGTTCATTTCTTCCAGATTCACTGGCAAATATTTTCGTCGATGCTTGATTCAATCTTTCACTTTCAACCACTAGCGATCCAACTTCGGTTTTCGTTGATTTATCAGCTGGTAATTTTATGACGATTCCGTGTAAATCTTTTTCATCGACATCTGGATCCAACTCAACAAGCCAGTATTGTTTTTTCGAGTGAGACATTTTCAAAGAAATAAGGAAACAGATGAAAGAGTTGGGAATACTTCGGAAAACTTATTAAATAAAGATATCAAAGGAGTTCATAAAGATCGTGGCTTGCTCCGAGTTTAAATTGAAAAACTCAAAAAAATTGTTTATTCTCCATTGGAGAATCTCCAACCATGCTTTACACATGCCTACTGCAGGGAACATAAGTGTTAGCCGCCAATCTTGAATTTCCAGGTTGAACCGACGATATTTTTGCAAGACAGTCTAACTAAGTCAGCGAAAAGGGATGAAGAATTTGTGAGATAGTTTTGATTTCAGAAGTCAATAAATTGTTTTATGTGAATGTCCTCGAGTTGGAATCGAGAGAGGTCGAGTTGGAGCCACGATTTTTTTCAATTCTTTGTTAATTTCTGATGTGGTCGATCTATTGTCGTTGTTATCCTTCAAGGTTCCGAAAGTTCAGAAATTGTGTTTTTCCATGATTCAGCAATATATTATAGAATTACAATATTTGCCATATTTAATCACTAAATTAAATGATGAGTGTGATCTTATCATAATTTGAACCCATCTTGCAAATCGAAATGGAGAAAATTGGTATTTTAAGCTTTGTTTTTGCTTCGTTAAGACATTTTGTAGTGAAACTTGTAATAATTACTAATTATTTTGCTAGCTCAATATCCAATGATTTTTCAATTCTAACTGAGCGAATGAATTATAAAATTCAAGACTTGGGTGGGAACATTGGATTTTAATCATCTTATTAATGGAACTATTACTATCTTCACGATTTTACGATCACTAATTTAAGTTAATAAAATAGTAATTGTTAAAAGTGACAGAAAAGTAACGCCAATGGAATAAACACCCGTTTTGAGATTACATAAATTATTTATTTTAGAAAAGGTAATATCCTAATCCTGTTTATTATGAGTGGAGTCTAAAATAAAAAAATAAAAGACATTAATGATTGATTTGTTATGAAAGTAATCCATGTTAACATACCTTCTTCATCTTCATCATCTTCCTCCCGTGCTTCAAATACATCGGAACAGCATGAAGAATACAAAATGATTGATAAAAAGATCATCGGAAGACCAAAGACTAGTAATGTTAGAATTGGATTTCCCTTATACATATTTGTCAATGAGCTATATCCATCATAAGCCCATCTAATTAGCCTGTGGTGATATCCATCTCCTCCTGAGGGCTAAAATTGATAAAAAATACATTAAATATTGATTTTAAAAGAATTTTGTTAATAAAATCGACTTAAACTTACTCGTAAATTTATATCGCCATCACTGATTCCTTTGAGTAGATTAAGAATATTTTGTGAATTAGGCTCACCGTCAACTCTAAAGTATTCTAGAGTTGTTGAGTTGATTATGATCAGATTTGGAATCGGTGAAATTGTATGCATGGCAATGGAATTGATGAGATCAACAAAAGATGTCCAACAGAAAACAAATTTGTCCTGATCATCAAAAGAATGAGCAATGTTTTCTACCATATTTTTAAAGTCGACATGTTGTTGTGTCGCTAGTCTGCCAATTGATTTAACCTCTTCAACGATGGCAATCACCAATAATTTACCTGAAAACAATAACAAAAAAAGATTTTCATTAAACTTCTTGCTATTAGCTAGGAACTCTTAAAATCGATATAAAATGTCAGTGTTAAAAAGCTCGAAATTTTGTTCTCCATGGTTGAGTCAAAATTTATAATTCATCATATTATATTTTCCGTGATTTAAGAAGTTTGGGATAGAAAAATATTTACCTGAACGTAATAACTGATTAAGGTTGGCGTGAGAAATCTTCACGAAATGAGGAAATTTATTAGAATAGACCCATTCTTTCAATGAATTATCACTTTTGTTTTCTGGATTAAAATAGATGAAAAAGTAATTAGAGAACTGATTCAGAGACTGGTTAGCTTGAACTCACCATATTTCAAGTCCATCTCTTGACCTAAACTTGAAGATTTAAGTATATAAATAGAATTATCTGAATATTTTTCACATGATGAAGGTGAGTGGTAAAACCAAGTGGATGAATGAAGGGATTCAGCAACTTCAGAGAAATTCGACCAAACCGGATTTGGTCCAAAATGAACTACAATCACTTGATGCTTTTTTCGAAGATTATCAACATCTTTGCAATTTTTTATAGGACGAGAAGGTGGCCTGGAAAGAGAGGATTAAAAACTTTAGACAAACATCACTAAAAAGTAAATTTGTAAAATTATATTACAATCAGAGTTAAAAAGCTCATAATTATTGAATATCATAGAATTATCAATTTTGTTGTAAAGTTCATCATTATTACAAAAACTTAAGTATAAAGATGAAATTCAGCAATAATAATTACCCAGTGAGCCTTTTTCCAAAATCGATAATATCTTCTCGTGTCCTGTCTCCTAAGAACTCGACAATACGATTCTTGTGAATATAGAGGATTGTTGGAAAACCTCGAACACTGAAATGAGTGGCCACTGATGTGTATTTTGTACAATCAACTCTCGAGACTAAGACTCCAATGTCTTCATTGTGAATCGATTGGGCAACCAACGCGTAAGTTGGTTCTAACTGTTTACAATGATGACACCAAGGAGCGTAAAACATGACCAGCCATGGATTGGCCCCATCTCTTTTGTAAATATCCAAAAATTTCTCGTTAAGCTCAATAACACGATTGGATGAAACTGAGGTTAAGATGAAACATAATACTGCTAGAATTGATAGACACATATTGATTAATGTGTGAACACCTTTTAAATGAAAGACAGGCTATCACACCATGACTTAATTTCACCGGAAAACTTCAAAATTCAATGATAAAAATCACTGAATTCAGAATAAGACGGAAACCAGAGAAAACATGATGAATATTGACCAGATGGAGTACCAGTGAACAAAGAAGTAGCGGCCATCTTTTGGATTTATATTAAACTAAACTGACTAAACCGAAAACCAACTTGAATTATTCATTTGATAATCAGGACCAACCACAGATTATCTCATTTGATTAAAATAAGAAAACGGAAGAAGTTGAATGGAATTCAGTATTAGAATTAATTTATCGCACTGAACTTATGTTCTTAATCAAAAACCAGAAATATAATCATCGGCTGAGGAGACTAGCATCAAGCTATCGTAAAATGTTTTCCAAGATGAGGTCAATTAATTTGCCGAGCTTTGACAATAATTAGAGAATGATCATGAAATTGTATGCTATTTAAACATGTGAACAAAGAGTGATAATATGATAATGTCACAACTTGAGTTTATTTCAGACAAACTTAGATCTGTGTAATCGATAAAAATGAGTAAACGATAAAACATCGATATCTCAAATCCTGTTTATTCTTACAAATCATCGCGTTGTTAAATGTAACAATTACTCATTTTTATTAACAGGATACACTTACGACGATATAATTACAAAGGATTTAATCGGATTCATTTGCACCATTTTCAATTGAATGAAAAAAGATTTGTTAGATATCGGCGAGTTACTCTGGTTCGGCTTTTAAATCAGCTTATGAGCAACAGCGGATGTTTTGGCGATGTTATTGATAATTTTAGCGTTGAGTCCGTGACAAATGACTTTGTTAATGGTGAAGACAATGATTTACTGTAACAGATGTCAATGCTTATCATTCAGGTAACATAGAATCGAGTTAATGAATCGATGACTGGCTCATCAAACAAGTTCTATAGCTATTAATTGACAGGCTGTCTTATGGTAACTGACTCAAGCCTGTATCTAATTCACAAGAAATGATTGGCAACTTGGCTTGGTCTATGCAATTGTTTATTTGCTGTTAAATGTTTTAACCTCTATTATCTTTTGTGATTTCAATTAATTATCATACAGTGCCATCTTTATATGATGATAAAATGATTATTTATCTTCATTATTGTCTTACTATTTTTTCTGCCTTTTACTTTTCATCAATCAATTTTTAGTGAGATTATCTTTTTTTTCTCACACCCGTGATCATCGATTCATATGTTTAACTGTCTCATTTATTGTAAAGTATAAATTTAAATCCAACATGACCCGTAAAGTTGCTTTGATTACCGGTATCACTGGTCAGGTAAGATTATATTTTTATAATTTCACTCTATGAAGCTTGTATACTCACGTTTTCTATTCCCTGCATAGGATGGTTCTTATTTGGCTGAGTTTCTAATTGACAAAGGATATGAGATACATGGAATCATTAGACGGTCAAGTAGCTTTAATACTGCAAGAATTCAACATCTATACAAAGACCCTCGGACCCACAAGCAGGGATCAATGAAATTGCATTATGGGGATATGACGGATACTACTTGTCTGGTCAAAATAATTAATGAGATAAAGCCTGATGAAATATACAATTTAGCAGCTCAAAGCCATGTCAAAGTTTCATTCGAGCTGAGTGAATATACTGCAAATGTAGATGCAATTGGAACTTTAAGAGTATTAGATGCTATCAGAAGCTGTGGATTGGGAACCAAAGTTAAATTTTATCAAGCATCAACTAGTGAACTTTATGGTAAAGTCCAAGAAATACCACAAAATGAAAAAACACCTTTCTATCCAAGATCGCCTTACGGTGTTGCTAAATTGTATGGTTACTGGATAGTTGTCAACTATCGTGAAGCATACAACATGTTTGCAGTCAATGGTATTTTATTTAATCATGAAAGCCCTAGAAGAGGTGAAACTTTTGTTACCCGTAAAATTACTAGAGGTGTTGCCAAGATTTCTATCGGTGAGTTGGACTATATCGAACTAGGTAACTTAGACGCCAAAAGAGACTGGGGTCATGCGAAAGATTATGTTGAAGCTATGTGGCTCATGCTTCAGCAAGACAAGCCTGAAGATTTCGTGATAGCCACTGGAAAAGCTCAAAGTGTTCGCGAGTTTGTTGAAGAAGCATTCAAACATGTCGGCAAAAACATTGAATGGGAAGGAAAAGGATTAGATGAGGTGGGTAAAGAAAAAGAAACTGGAATCGTTCGAGTTAAAGTGAATGCAAAATATTTCCGTCCTGCCGAAGTTGAAATCCTTTTAGGCGATGCTTCAAAAGCTGCTGAGAAACTTAAATGGACTCCAAAAATTAGCTTTGCTGATCTCGTCCGCGAAATGGTTGACTCTGATATTGCGTTAATGAAGAAAAATCCAGAAGCCTGAAATTTTTTCCATCATTTATTATTCATGTTTTAATCCAATTCAATGATCTCTGACTTGGCAATCTAATATTTCAGACTTTCCATTATGTATTACAAAATGATTCCAATGATGATATTCATCATAAAAAACTTGTCCTTTATAAAATGACAATGTTAATTTGATAATCACAAATCATTTTCAATCCTTGAATAAGTCAAGTACGGCCTATACTATTCAATTTTGACTCGTTTACGAACAACTAATATAAATGATATTAATAATTACCATTTCTAATACCCGATTCATTTTGCAAGTTCATTTCTTCCTTTGTATACAACCTCATCTCAAATAATATCATCTCAGCTTTCCTTTTGACGCTTATTCATGTTTTGTTTCACCTGAACAATATTTCTGATGAGATCTAACTGTCATTTTAGTAATGTGATACAATCGAAGTGTTAAAGAACAAGAAATTCAATCCTCATAATTTGCTTGCAGATTCTTGCTTCTAAGTAATGTGTTAATTTGTTTAATGGACTGATTAAAGGTTTGAGTTTTCATATTAATTCGAGAAGAATGAAGGTGAAAAATCAGAGTTCAAAACTAGATTCTTTCGGTATAACCAATAATCAAATCGATTTATTTTTCAGATTGATTATTGTATTGTTAAAAAGGTAGGTTAATACATTACATTGCTTCTTCTAAATATGCTGAAGCTGCTATTAAATTGATGCTACAACAATCAACAACAGGACATTATAGTACGAGTTTATTTTAATTAAATCTAGTCAAAAACTCTTTTTCATCAATTTAACAATTGTGAGTCTCAAAATCGAATGAGCGGTAAAACTCTGAAGAGCCTCAACAAATTGTTTCCTCATGAACAGAATCTACAATAAGCCTACCTATTAGTTTCTGTTGGTATTTTTGATAGAACCATTTGATATTCAAGCTTCGTGTTCATTTTATTTCAACAAACACGTCAATTCATTAATTAAACAGTATATTCAGTCCTGAGTAATGATTGAACTTGAATTTTTCATCTGGTGAGAAATGAATTTTACTTTGACCAACGTAAGAATTGGAAGCATGTAGTTAGGTAGTAAACTTGCTTTTGAAATGACAGAAGGATCTGGATTGAGAGACAAAATAAACTATCATTTTATTGATTGTTTGATTTATTTTACGCGCAAATTTTACTTCACGTATAGCCCTCTAGTGTTACATCCAATCGGTTAGATAAAAAATATCTAAATCAAGTCTTCTTATAAAACTGTTTCTGTCACATCATGACAATTAATGGATATAATTAATCTTTTCATAATACAATTTGCTAAAAGTAGCAATCAATTGTCAAACATAGTCTCTAATAACAAGAAATGGGTCTACTTTTCACTAAGATATGGTCATTGTTTACAAATGAAGGTAAATATTTCATATTTTTTTCTGATGTTCTTATATTAATTTGTATTTTTCTTTCTCTTTTTATTCAACTCTCCCCCTTTTCAAACTAATTAGAGCATAAAATTGTCATAATTGGTTTAGATAATGCTGGAAAAACGACAATTTTATACCAATTTATCATGAACGAAGTTGTACATACATCGCCGACATTAGGAAGTAACGTTGAAGAGGTTGTTTGGAAAAATATCCGTTTCATAATGTGGGACATCGGCGGTCAAGAGTCCCTTCGACAAGGATGGAGTGCCTATTATAGTAATACAGAATTTATAATACTTGTTATCGACTCAACTGATCGAGAAAGGTTGAAATTATCTAAGGACGAGCTTTGGAAAATGTTATCTCACGAAGATTTAAAGAAAGCATCTATTTTGATTTATGCTAATAAACAAGATGTAAAAGGGTGTTTGACGCCAGCAGAGATTTCAGATCAATTAAGTCTAACGTCAATCAAGAAACATCATTGGCAAATACAAGCTTGCTGTGCCTTAACCGGAGAAGGTTTATACCAAGGACTCGAATGGATTGCCAATCAGCTGAAGGCCCGAAGTTGACCTTGTTTTGTTGACCTTTTTTATTTTGTAAGCTACATCGGACCATAAACTCATGATATTTTTAATTGAACGTTTAAAAGAGATGGCCACTGGCTCTAAGTTGTAATCAAATTGAATTCCCGATAAATATGGTAGATCAAGAAATGAGAATTGAAACAACAATTGAAATGTTGAGTGATCCAAATATTGATCGGTATCAAGTCATTTAATTAATTCATCTGACAATTTCCATTAAATGATTTTTTTATATTTGTAAAACTTTGTATAATAAGAAATGAGATTTTTGAGCAAAATGTGAAAAGAAGTCAGAAAGATTGTGTTACAAAGATGAAGAGTTGGGTGAATAATTGAAAACAAAGTATAAGAGTTTTATATTAAAAGGAAGGTGGTTGTTAGATAAAGAGAAGAATAGAAAGAAGAGAATGAGGATAAGAGAGAAATTAAAATTAAAGATGAGAATATGATGTTTAGATGAGATTTATGATCACATTAGTTCGCCAAAGCTGCTCCTGATTACAATCAACAGAACGATCTAGAAGTTTCAAAAATGTATCTGCGTTGAAAATTCTGTGAACTAAATCATTATGAAAAAAACCATAAGATCATAATTTAATTCTGCATCGCATGATTAAAGTCTTGAAAATTTTTCCAAAGATTGCATAATGATGTGGGTACTCTGAATTAAGCTTATTAGTAAAATTTGGGTAAAATTGAGTAAACATCAGCGCATTTTTTTAGTCGTAGTCGTTTGATTTAATTTTTTAGCCGATTGAACATATTTTAAATGAGGATCCAGGGAAGGAGAGTATGGTGGAAGAAATAAAATTGAATAGTCCAACAATTTCCTCTACTCAATTGTCATGGTAAAACCGAACGTTCTCGAACATCAAAGACTACGGCAACAATGTCATGATCTAATCAGCGTGGTTATGTTATTAAAGATGTATCATTTGAACTATAGCTGAAATATTTTGCTTTTTTGTGGATTAAAATAAGAGTAACTTCGTCGAACTGAAAATTTCACTACCTTAAATGGGGAATAAAGATTATCTCGCGTCGCGAGCTCACACACAATTATTCATCCAACTTACTCGCCCCTTAAATTAAATGTAGATGATTAACTATTGACCGGTACTGCCAATCCATGAGCTTTGAGTCCATGATATTCGAGGCTTTTCCTTTCGATGAAACCTTTTTTACAAATATCACATTGAATCTCTGTAAAGGAAAGAAATGTTAGGAACTCACTGAATAATTTTGGAAAACTTACCTTTCACCTTGAAGGCTTTGCAATCACGCCCATGGCTGTTCAGTTTATGTACGCAGTTTTGCCTCCATTTTGCAGTAAAAGTTTGACCACATGGACAGTGCATAACTGAATCTGTTCGCATTTTCTTCTTATTATGCTTCTTTGTGCAGTGAATATTGAGAGCAACACACGATAAAAATGTTTTCTTGCAAAGTGGACATTGCTTTCCGATATCTATAAGAGAGAAGCACAAGATTGGTAAGCTTTGTTTACCATTGAATACGGCATAAAGGATTAACAGATAAATACGTACTTTTTTCCGATGAACATGGACATATCTTTTGATGCTCATCCCAGTCAGTGATTGAATTAAGATATTCACCACATTTACAGTTGAAAACATTTTTTTTCATCGAGAGTAACAGTTGGACAACCTCGTCATCACTTTCTTCAAAGCTAGCCTCATTGATGGAGCCATTAGAAGATCCAACTAGCGTCGTTTTGGTACTTACATTTTTTTGATTAGGATGATCACATGATGAAATGAGCTGCTCAATTGTTTTGAAAACAATCTGAACCTCTTCTAAACGCTGATTAATGGTACCTCCATGTTTTTCCTTGATGTTAGGACTCAGCATGTCCATTATCTTCTTGCCAAAATTCTCAAAGTTATCAGCTTGAGTTCTAATCAAAGTAATAGGATCCATGTTAATTTCGCTCGTGAAGTTGATGATGTAAATATCTCTAAAGATGAATTTAAATTAAGAAAGAAACTAATAAATTAATCACAATAAATATTGATCAAGAAAGACATTTTTAGACATTTTACTCGTTCTTCCAAGTCCCTTCTCTTTGTTTTTTGAAACACAATATTACAAAGCCAACAGATGGCAGTAGAGTTCATTTCATTTTTCTACTTCAATTTCGTAAAGGTAGATGTCACCTCTTACAAGAACGCTCCTCGTATTCCGAGCTTCAGAACCTCTACCTTTAGCCAAAGATACAAACTTTACCTGTGGACTAAACATGAAATCCTCTCACCTAATACTTCAATGGCTACATTTAAAAAAAGAAAGGGAAAAACTAATCACAACTGACTTCAAAAAGAAAATTATTCCTAGTGAATTAATCTTGAAACATCCAAAAACTATTTCCATGACATATACGATTCAGTATTAATCGATAGCAACGATAGCCTTCACTTATCATGACAATCTCCCCATACTTTTGCCAACCTCTCAATACAGTGAACCAAAACTCCTCCTCCGTCATGATACTATAAAACTGAAAAGCAAAATATATTTTAAACCAGTTGCCTCAAGACTGGTTGTTTGTAAGCACCCAACAACCACACTACAAGTTGAATAAAAAAACTTCGTTATCGAACGAGCATTAGATTAGTAATTTGGTGAGAGTTAAGATCAATAGATTATTGTTGATGGATAAAGTTTTACTGTCTACTGATTTTAGCCATCATAATTAGAATTGTAACTTTCTTCAAGACTTAACCCGCAATGAAAACTAACAAAAACCAGTCGATTGATTTTTTAATTTTAAATTTATCCATTTAACCTGAAGACAAGTCAAAACAATTTTGTTTCACTTCCATTTTGTTTCACTTTCAATACAATTTTAACCGAAACCCAAAAGTTAACAATCTTTCAATTTTTTTATAAACCAATTTAGTTATTTTCATGTGTGATTGCCATGTAAATTAACTGTGTTCCTGTGTTTTTAATCAACCTTCACCTTAACCCAGCAAATGGATCCAAACAATGTGTACCAAGGAATTGCAGTTGGAGCTTAAATAAATCATCTTAAGAGAAACCCAAATCATCATTATTTCCATTTTTACCATTATCGTCATAATCGTTTATCCAATTTTTTCTCTCAATGAAATTGTGAATTTCTTCCTCGTTCAGTGTATAACAGAGAGAACAAGAAGAAAAAAATCAAGAGAAGAAATCAAAGAGCGACAAGTTTAAAAAGGGAAAGATAGAGTTAATATAAAATAACGAATTGATTAAATTGAATTTAACCTTTTCTATTTCCTCTTTCTTAGCCTTATCCGATAACCATTTATCTTTTAGTAAATTTGAATCAATCTTTAATTTACATTTGGTACTAAATTTCGCTCTATTACGATTCTCATTTGATTCTTTACCCGATTTTGCCTATTGACATTTGTGTTGCCAACAGTAACCTTCATCATACTCATCGTTCATCTTTACCCTTATTTCAAAGATACATTGAAATAAAAACCTTATCTCAACCTAAATCAACCTAAACCCAGTGACTTCTGTGATCGTCATCGTGTCAAAATCTTTTAACCCTACCTCAGTATCCAATCTTTTAACCTGTATCTTGTAATCCTTGTCATTTGACTATTTCTCGCACCATTTCAACCTTTTTTAACCCAATCATCAACCAAATTTTATGTCAAACTTGGATTGGTCCGTCCATGTCTCTGACAAATCTGAAGCCATACATGTTAATTTATTGGGCAAGATTATTTAAAAATTTAATTACTGTGATTGAAACAACAACGGTTTGACCAACGGATTACATTTCTCAAAAAAAGCTGAGCTTTTACAAAAGTCAATGTTGATTCAAAGGAAGACAAAATCAAGTGAAGAAGCTTGAATGTGCTGATACAAAGCCAGGAAGAAGTTCCTAACTGCTGTCCTTTATTAACGTCTATTGATACAATTAATTGGAATAATTACAATCTCAATTATGTCTAACAATACAATATCAACTAATATTTCAATCTCAAACAATTCAACAGACCAAATGATGGAAGGTTTATCAATAAAGTAAGTATAAATTACCACTTTTCAATTCTCTGCTTTTCTCTATTCATTAGTGAATTTTTTTCTCACTAAACCATGATTAATAATGATGTAGTGGAAACAGTCTGTTGATATAATGTTGAAAATTCATCTCACATTTTGTATCAAACAATTGCATTGAAAAAAAGGGAAAAATGTCACCAATATTTACGTCTAAATATTAATGAAGGCAAGTCAAATATGACTTAATGCAAATACGGTTAGCAATTCAATACTTTAGTATATAAAATACATTTTTCACATTTAAATTGACTTCCATCGATTACATCAATTAGTTACGTTTTTAAATGGTTTGTGATGGTAAATTGTAAGCCAATTTGATAGTCTTATATCGACAATGTCGATAATGAAAGATGAATTTCAATATTTATTTGCATGCAATGATTACATTGAACAAAAATACCATTAATATCAGGAAATGCGTGTCAATTTCAGACTTTTATCCCAATCCTTCCTATGCAAACCTAGACTAGACAATGAACCAGAATTAATATCTTTCAAATCATGAAAACTATCTTTAGGTGTTAGTTGAGTCTCGATTTGAATCTCATCTCATCTTTGTATCAATAATAAAGTTTCAATGAACATAAGTCAGGAAAAACCTTCCAAGGTTGATTCAATAAGTGTGTTTGAAAGTTTTGACATAATTCACGAAGAGCCAGATGACGATAACTACCATTGATGTTGATGAAGATGAAGAAGATGATGAAGATAATTGTAAAGTGAAGAACGGATTCTGTTATGTTGACATAGAGAAGCAAAATTATCCCATAAATTGTTTACTATTACAAAGCAAGCGGATTGATTGTCATACTAATATTATTTTGAACCATTGAATTGTATAACATATTTTCAACTCAAGGTTCCAGGTTAATCAGTTCAATAATCAATTTAATTTCATTGCCTGTTATTGGCTTTCATGAAACATTTCATTTGGAAACCACAAACAAGCAAAAAACAAACAAGCAAACCATCAAAGCAAATAATCACTTTCACTCATTAATTAACTACATTATCCCATTGTTTCTCATTAAAACGCCATTTGGCAACATTTTCATTGTTAATTCATTTTTCATTTACAGGCGAGTTGAAACCTTAAACATCTCCGATCCGGAAAAAAATATCAAACCCGGTAAACGTGCCAATTGCCGATTATTTTGTTCAGGCTTTTTATTCGGCCTCATCAGTACCATATTAATTTTTGCAGTCACCTTATGTAAGTACCAATGTAAACCCAAAATGTAACTCTCATCGGCAGCCAATTTCATTTCACCAACCAAACACTTGCAATCAGATACAATTACAATCAAATCTCAGTTTTATTTCTGTTGATTGTTGCTATATTTTGAATGCCTTAACCTTTGTTTTTGATTGTCAATGATCAATAAGCCAAATCAAAACAATTGCAGATACAATTATCATTATTATCTGAGTTTTCTTCTGATTTTTCTTTCTCTTGTTAACCAAACTGTGATTCTGAGAAAAAGCAATTTGTTTTCAACTAATTATGTAAAACAATTGGTTGATTAGTTCAAGGTATATTTCAATTGGAAACAGCTTTTCTTGGTTCATTAATGAGATTTGATTTTAAAAATGAACAAAATTCAAACATCTGATTCCATTTAATGAACAATTGATCCAGAAATTTGTATAAAAGCTAATGTCTGTATGTTTAAGCGTCTTGATCAACATTTGATTATTTGATGAAATTAATTGAACCATTTGTTTGGATTTAATTAAACTGTTTCACCCTAAATTCAGGTAAATTTCATTTCCAGAATCTCAAATTATCTCACAATGTATTAATCTTGATTTTTAAACAATTGATTGATTGTTCGTGTCTCAATGTTAATTTGAATCCAGTTGGAAACAATGCAAACATTTTCACAGTAAAATGTTTCAATGATTTTCCATCAGGAAAGTCTATTAATATTATTTAAATTTAACCAATTAAAACTTGTTTCATCTTGATTGTCAATCAATATGAATCTCATTAACTTATATTTTGGCTCTTAACTCCTAATCAATACCAAAAAATCCCAAAAAGTAAACCAATATCTTAATATGATAATCCAGTTACAGAAAAATTGGTTTCAAATGTTTACCAAAAAAAACCGATTGACCAACATGAATTAGATTTACCAGTTTGGGTTTACTTTACCAGATTATTGGATATGTTAATCATCTGATATACAAACAATGAAACCCTTTCAACTTAAAGCCAAATTGTGAACTTGATAAACATTATCTGTTAACATGTTAATCACTAAACATCATGAATCAGTCTACTTCAACCTCAACAGCTAAATATAAGTTCAATTGTTTTCCTAATCACTTCCAATTAAAGTAAATTTGTTTGACTATTGGTTTTGAGTGAAATGATTAAATTGATGATTATAATAGCAGCTAACTGCGGTTGAAATTGTTTCCCATTTTCACCTAATCATGAACAATTTTCAACGTTTCCGAAGAAACCAATATTTCAACTTTTACTTTTAATTTATCTTTCAAATCGCAGTTGGCTTGCAATTTAATAATTAAAGCTTAATTAAAGGTTAAGGTTAATATTTATAAATCATCACAGCTGTGATTATCAGCCGATTATAATGAAAACTCAATTGCACTTTCAAGTCTCTGATTAACTCTTATTCAATCCAAATTGGTATATTTTGACCAATTTAAGTTAGCCTTAGCTGTGATTATTGAAAAATTGGAAACAATTGCCTTTTTAATTACAATAGAACCAATTGAAATACATTTAAATGCACAATTTAATCAAGAAAATTTACTGATGATTGCAAGTCTTGTATTTCAATATTTCATTGAAACATTGTTATCCATTAATTTGGGATCGTGAGATTTTCATGAAATCATCAGAGTTGATGTCTAAGGTCACAAGAAATGACCATTAAAGATGAAACCCTTTACTTCATCCAACATCATTATCATCAGCATTAAGTTCAGTAGCATCTGTCAACGTTTCCCATAAGAATCCCAGTCTTATCCTGACGAAGGTGAAAGACATGGAAATATGCAAAAATATTTAAAACAAAAAAGCAATTTTGCTTCAACAATTAAGACAAGATCCGGCTATTTGTCCGAAACTCTTATTGACATCATCATCATGATTTCAGGGTTACTTCCATAGTCTTTCACATTCCTCCCCATCATCACCATTAACTATCACCTTACTTTACTTCCGTTACTCCATTGGCCTACTTTCCTCCTTGAAAACATTAACCTTACCGACAGTGAATGTTAATGATAATTAAAACAAATTCTTACCCTTGTTACCTGTAATATTAACCATTTGACCAACTTTAACCCTTCAACCAAACAAAGGCAAAAAGACATCAACAAAAACCCAAATATTGAAATGATAGATCAACAATGAATTTATGTAAATAAGGTGACATTAATGGGTTACCATTAAATGACAATTGTTACCATTTTAAATAAAACATCACAATATTAACATGAAGAGCCTAAAGCAATCCTGTTAACTAATCATCAATTAATTAAAAGATAACACCATTAATTCATCAGGCAAACATTTACATGATGTTCATCAAGTTTCATGTTTTTCTCAGGCATCATTACAATTCCTAGAGATTGGCCTTTGATTGCACTTTAATTTGTAAAACTGGTGAATGGGAAACATTGTTGGTCATTGTTACAGTAAAAGTTAATCATTGATGACAAATTGCTGGTTAACGCATCAGCCTTGATTTAACTATAAAAATAATCATGTCAAGTAGAATTGATTAACCTTGATTAAACTTTCTAAATGATTGATTGAGAACAATTCTGTATACTTATTCATTTGCTTATCATTATAAAATATAATAGTAATTACTAGCTTTGATTGCAGAGCAAACGCCCAATTAAAAGTTGATCAAATAATGAAATTTGAATGAAAATTTTCACTAATTAATAGCTTCTATTGACCAGATAATTCTCATGATATTTACAATCAAAATATAATCGTTTCCTTGCTATTATATCACACAATATTTGCTTTTATTATTTAGTTATTAAAATTGGTAAATTAAATCTCATAACAATCAGAATCCATAGAAAGTTAATCTTTCAATTAACTTTGACATTATGTAAATGTTGATTGTTTTGTGAAACATTGAACAGAATTGGTAATTTTTGTCTTTGATTTTGATATCAACCTGCAGCTGAATGCATAATACTGTTTACATTTGTGTAAATAATAAGCAATAATTTTAATTGTTGGTTAGTTGTTTTCAAGTGTAAATATGAAGGTTACTATCAATTTGCTACAATTTAATCCAGTAATTACTATTAATCATTTAACGTATTAATCCCATCAATTGGGATGTAACCATTAATAGCTTCTTGCCATTCAATCCTTACTATGATCTTGAAATAGATTTCACTTTTAAAACCAATCAACAGGACAAATTAACCGTAATTACGGGAACAATTTAATTTTAAATATCTGCACAATTTTTGCTTTCAGTTATTTTCAATTATTTTGATTTGCTTTAATTGTCCCCAAAATGATAATATAAATGCATTTGTTTTTCATCTCTATTTTAATCAATAATGACACTTCAAGATCAAATATCAATCAAAAACTATAATTATATTGATTAAAAAAAGATGCCACATTTTGCCATTAATCATCAAATCTAGAGTTCAAATGGTTAATGGCAATGTTTTTCAGCAATTTGTATTGTTTGTCTGAAATCAGTTTAAGTAATGTTGTCATTAACGATAATTAATAGCAATTTGAGCTGCTTTTGACATGAAAGTACAAAACAAATAAAGTGTTTAAATTGTGAAAAAATGGTCAAAATTGGTTGTCTGCTGAGTGATTGTCTAGCAATTATTGATTGTTATTGATTGATTAAACTGTTTTCCCTTTTTTCCTTCCTATTCAGATGTTTTCGATTACATGGGAACAATTGTTCTGGAAATGCCATACTCACCCTGGAGACAACATCAGTCATCTACATTTAATCGAACCGGTAAAGAGTTTCCGTCTCCACATTATTCGGAAGGTTCGCTAGTACAAGATGAATCTGGTCACAATCCTCAGCGACACCATTTTGACCCAATCAGTCGATCATATGTTTTACCAGATCGATTCAACTCAACCTCACTTAATCAACTAAACAACAGTTTACGTCTAATCCAGGTAATCTTTAAAATGCTGCATTAAACTCAACCTTTTCACAACCTACTGGAGTTACACTGAAAATCTGGTTATTTGAAGGAATCATTCATTTCTCCATTTATTTCAATTTTTAATTGTTATCCATCTTCTTCTATTAATACCTAAAAATTAATGTTAAATCTTGTTTTTCTTGTTCACTCCTTTTAGTCTCAAAACCCAGAATCTGGTAACCGAGTGATTGCTGGCGATCTTTTGGTCAATTCTGGTAATGAATTAGATGTTACAGCAAATTATAATGGGACTTTACAATTTACTGATGAATTTGATCACAACAATACCAGTGATGATGATATTTCCCATCATCCCTTTGAACCAGTTCATTTTGATGATAAAGATGTTTCAGGTAAACCCATCTTTTGTCTTAACTTGTTCACTGATTTCAAGATTTGGGTAACAATTTTAATGGTTAATTCAACTCTTTTGATACACTTTAATGGTGGCAACCAGAAAACAATTGAAAGCAAAATGACGAAAACATGAATTATGAGACAAAAAAAACAATGATATTTCATGTTACAATTAACTTGATCTGTAATGTGAAATGTTATTGGTTTAGCTGTTAAAAACTGATTACATTGACAAAAGCTCAACAATCAAACAGCGCAATTGTCTTTATCCAAGAATTGTTATTGAATTGTAATTAAGAAGTGGATGCAAAATCATTTACGCCATTCATTATTCATTAGTAAAATTATAATTTCAGTTACAATCCTTAATGTAAATATTACGGAATTAATCAAACAAAAAAAGAGGAATAAGGAAGATTCAATGAAATTAACCATTTTGTTAAATAGCTATAATTGTTGCAATTTATAGATTGTTCAGTTGTTCAAACATTGATATTGACAATTTGTTTTAACATTTAATTTGTATTTTGGGGTTTTCAACTTTCCTTTTTTTTCATTACCTTTTTCACAGTAGATTCATTGTATAACCAAGCCAGACGAGATGGCAAGACGATTGACCTTTCTCAACGGTCAACGCCACCAACTCCACAATCAAGTCCGATGAATGTTACCGTTCATTACAATTCATCCGAATTATCATCAACATCATCAACCAAATCGTCTGTAGATATGACCATGATGGTTATGGAAACAACAAGCAACAACAGTTTCCCATCATTACCCATTACAATGAATCCACCCGAGATGACAAAGATAACCAGAGAAATACTCAACTATACTAATGATGGAATTGCTCGGATCAATGAAGGCTTAAATTCAGTTGCTATCTCATCTAATTTACAGTCAACACCGATGTTGAATAATGATTCAACCACTTTGATGCCAAACCTTTTAACCACAATAACCATTGGTTTCATTGAAAATGCTGAAAACATGAGTACTTTGGATGGTTTTAACCAGTCGACATTATTCCCACCAACATCTTCAGTAGTTGCCACTGAATTACCTGAAACCGGAATGGTCATTGATTTGACAGTCAACGGTTCAAATAGTCAACCGTTAGTTAACAGCAGTAGCATTGATTTAACACCAAATAATTTGCAAAATTTACCACCAAACGAGACAATGTCTGCTTTTAATGATACTAAACACTCGGATGTTGTTAACACTGATGTTTACAATAATAATAACAATAATACTAATGATGAAAAACTAACCCTAAACCCAAAAAATGTAACTAATTCATCAACAGCTTCATTAAAAGGTATTCAATCATCAACATCAAGACCAACAACAGTATTGACGACAACATTAAAATCAGTAACACAGTCCAATGAAGCGTTACCTGTTCTGTCATCATCTGGTGAAAAAAGTTCAACATTATCATCACAATCAACAACTCAATCATCCTCCAGCTTGTCATATTCAAGTGAAAGTGACACCCGAACAGGGTTTGATTCAATTAGAGAGGCGACAAATGAGAGAAACAAAAAGCACGAAACAACGCCAGCAAATTACTTGTTGATAAATTCAATTAACGGTACTATCGATGAACCATTTAATCAAACTGATTCACGGACTGGTAATTTAACGAGACAACCAGAAATTAATGGATTGTCAACAATTAATTCAACAATTGTTACCCAAAAAGTAGAGATTATAATGACCACAACACCTTTAACTTCATTTACTTATTCACTTTCAACTACAACCAATTATACAAACAATCAAACCAACCCAACACCAACAACAACCAATGGACAGTTTAACGATGAAACAGCCAAAATATCGCACAATAGTGATTACAATCAAACCGTTAACCCTGCTAAATTGGATTACAACATTTCAAGTTCAACTACTGAAGGCAATGTCCATGAAACAACTCAACCAACTATGAATCCAGTTAAACAGCCAACCATCATTTTAAATAACACTGATCCTACCGTTTCCAATGGTTATGAAAATGTAACCAAATCTAGTTTACCAGTGAATCCAGTAAATCTTAATGGTACCAATAATGATGAAAAGCCGATCCTTAACGTTACAAACTGGGAACAAGAAGCTAATGTTAGTTTGATTGCAAATGTAACTTACTTAAACAGTGAAGTTGAAACAGTCAATCTAACTTCAATTGCCAATGGAACCAATCCCGAAATAATTGGTAATGTGACCGAGTCCATTAATGGTACAAACACAGTCAATGTAACCTTTACTGATTATCCGGTTAACACAACAATGGAGTCCATTATTGGGACAACTGCCAGCCCATTGGAATGTAATGTTAAGCAAATACGATGTTTTGTTGATCATGACAAGGAAGCTTGCTTGTCTGCTGAAGCCCTCTGTGATGGCATTAAAGATTGTGCTGATGGCTCTGATGAGGCTGATTGCCTGACTTCATGTGGATCCAATTTTAAATGTGCCAATGAATCAAAAGTAAATTGTATCTCACGTAAAAACCATTGCGATGGTATTTGGGATTGTGATGATGGATCGGACGAATCAAACTGTTACTTTCCTTCATGTGAAAATCAACTTTCCTGTGCAGATAAATCATCCTGTCTTTTGCCTATTCAAGTATGTGATGGTAAATATGATTGTCGGGATCATTCGGATGAACAAGAGTGCGGTAAGTAAATGAACAAAAAGAAGGCGAACACAAAGAAAAGACTTGATAATCATTGGCATCGCTAAATAATGATGCTCTAAGTAGGTCATAGTTCGCCCAAATTACCTGCAGGCAAGGTTAAAGGTTCAAGGTATAACCTTGAGTTGGTTGGGCAGTTTTGTTGGATAATCATTAAACATTAAATTAGATGGTCGGTCAATGTAAAAATGAAGGGAAAACAAATGAATTACAAGATGAAAATGGCTGAAATTTTGAACGTTTCATTGAAAATCCTTGCAAATGTATATTTAAATTAAATTACCTTTGCTTTGGAAATGATTTTAGCCAAGACTTGATTTGTTTCTTCTTCTCCTTCATAATATTATTCAAGAAGATAATTAAATGAAACATTTTACATAATGATAATTGAGGATAGCAAACATTCAATTTCTGGTTCAGTCCTCGGCAGAAAAGTACAAGATTTATATGAAGATGAACAAGAAGAAAAGGGTTTGTTAATGATTGTTCAAGGAAAGGTATAATAGTTATTATTATACGGACAACGTATTATGTTGATTATAATTATAATTTTGTAGTAAACCAGAAAAAAACTCAATTACTGGTTTTAGCCTTTGTTATTTAACTTACAATGATTGTTACCAAGTCAAGTTTAAACCCTTTTGTCGGTTTAAAAATTATTCAACCAAATGGTCTACCAGACGTTAATCATTTTTCCCAATCTCTCCACAGTTGACCATTCAACCTGTTTATCTGTAGGTAAATTTTTCTGCGACAATATGTGCGTTGAATCCTCGTTACGATGTGATGGTTCCAAGGATTGTATTGATGGTACAGATGAATCAAACTGCAGTAAGTTGAATAATAATTTGCATTCTGATCAAGTTGAGGGAAAATGTGATTGAAATCACTGATTTCTCATGTAAATGTCTTGTAATAATATCCAATTTCCTTGATAGTTTTCATATAAGATTACATTTTTTTTGTCAAAACTGTTGAGGTTGAGATGTTAAGTTCATTAATCTTGAGGTGAAAATGAAGTGAGGAAAAGTTAAACGTCTTGTAAGTATAAAGGAAACTTTTGAACTGAATTTAGGTCAAATTAAGTTAAATTATTATGGTTAATCCCACTGTGAGATGTGGTTATACTACTTTATCCTAACCTTAAATCTCACTGTTTCAAAGGTTGAAGCTTCTTTAATGTATTTATGGTTCGGTAAACTTTGTACTAAGGAATTGACCAGCTAACAGTCAATTAATTGATGGATAACCAGAAATGAAAAGAAATCAAAGTTGCCCATTACTACCTGGAGAGTAAGATGATAGCTATTTATATTTCCGTGTATTTTTAATGTACCTTTTTTTCGCCTTCTTCATCTTCTTCTTCCCATTATTCAACCTTAATCACGATAAACATCTTTGTAGCCATCAAGTGAAAGTGACCCAACAAGATACATCTGTACATATCCACCGATGTTATGACCCACTCTCACTTTAACCTAATTTTGGGTAAGAGTTTGGGTAAGGCAGGGAGGAAAGTTTAGAGGGTAAATAGCCTAAGGTTGAGATGAAAAGGAAAGTCTTCATTTTGTTTGTTTCTTTAAACCTCTAAATGATATTTAGTTGAAACTATGATTACCAGATGATATCTTTTATTATAGTTTGTCCATTCAATCTTGCTCGTCTTAATATTAATGGATTTGTCATGGTTTTACCATGAAACTAACATCAGTATGAGAAAGGTAAAAGGTGAGGTTATCAATATTTATAATGAAACTAATCTTTGATTGATTTCATTTTAAGATGAATAGGATTCCCTCAACATTGAAAGGTATTAATTAAGTTTCCAATGTAATGGTATTAGAGTTGCTCTCTTTAGGTCAATCGTTTCACTTTTTTGCCCACTTTAATTGAACATTTAGTACCAATTTTGAAATAGACAATCTAAATGATTGTTAAATTGGTAATAACATTTTACCAACAATCAACTTAAATCGTGATCCTTGAAAATCCTAGATGTTGATGTTGATTAGGAAAAAATATAACTCTAACAACTGTAAGATACTCTTATGATAAAAATAAAACAGCATCTAAGTTGTTATTGATCTGAATCTTACGGATTTCAAGCTGTTTCTGTGGTTTCAATGATTTTCCTTGGTGACAATTAAAAGATATTAATAGTTGATGAAGAAAATGAATGCTCGGAATAAACTGGAATAATTCAAGTTACCAAGTTTAATGTACAAACCAATACTTAACCCATTGTACATATTGAATAATCATTCAAGGCAGTCTTGGTTAAGGTAGCTTTGGAAATGTTTAAATTGTGTAAATTTAGCAAATTATCATAATTATTGAATTGAAACGTTTATTTAAACTATTATTTCTGAAAATATTGTCTCAATTGAAATTCTGTGTATTTACATTTTTCCTCATTTTTTTCCCTTTTCAATTGTTTATTCAACTTCTCCTGAGTAAAAGTGATTTGTAAATTGTGTTCAAGAGCACGGAAAAGGAAATATTATCAATTGAATTGACATAATGGTTGAAAGCCAAATTGAATTTACATTGATTTAGGTTGAAAACATGTTGAGTTTTGTCAAAATCAAGAGTTGACAATAACAACGGAATCACAGGTTATTGAATAGTAAATGATGGAAAATTTACTAATCACTTAGATTTCAGGATTGAAGATAATCTGCCATTATTTACACAACAATCACAATTGCAAATGGAAATTCCAATTCCAGTTTAGGTGAAATATTGAGTCTTTATCTAACTAAACCAAGGGCAATCTTGTGTTTTACATTTAATTTTTTTCTTCATTCTAACTCTTCACTTGATTCACTTGATTAGTCACCCGACAATTGAATATTATATACCTTTTCATCACTTAACTATTGACATTGGAATGATAAACTTCTTTGTGATTTTGCATTTGATTGTTTCTGTTTTAAATTGCAACCTTTTCACTGTTGATGAAGCTATCATCAACTCATCTTAGCCTTTTGTTGGTCCATCAGAAGCTCAAAAATACACTTTAAATGATTAACTTCCTATTATTGATGGTGTTAATTACTTGTCAAAGCTTAATTAACTGGTTTTTCATAAAGAGATTAAAAATGCCAATTCAGACATCGTTCTGAAAGGTCACCCAATTTTTTCCCGACAATCACATTTCACACTCGATTTAATGTGTCAATAGACTTTAAACATTCAATCCTTTAATTGTCATTTTACTTGACATTTTTTCCTCAACTTGATCTTTATTTGTGATCTTTATGCTAAAGTAATTTAATAGTGAACACAATTAGAATCAATTTGCTTCACTTATCAAAAACACTTTTCCTGTAAACACTAAAAGGAAACAAAAACAAGCCAATAAGCCCGGAATCAATTCAATCAACCTACCACTAATCAATGTGTTTATCGCCACAATTTACTAATATATTTTTCTCTCTACTTTCACAATTAACAGCATGTACTGTTGATGAATACAAATGTTGGAACGGGGATTGTATCGACAAAACCTTGGTTTGTGACGGTCAAAGACACTGTCATGTCGATGGAAGTGATGAATGGTCTTGTGGTAAGTTTAACTTATTGGTCTATTGAATTTGTTTCATTTTTTTGTGTTCTAATCTTTCAATCTTTCAATCTTTTGTTTCCAGTTAAAACTGACGAGAATAATGTTGTTTCTATGGTCAACCCGTCCACTGGAAATTGGGCTTTAGTCTGTGCTGATGAATCTTCCCTCAGTGAATCTGATTACTCCAAATTATGCCAAAAAATGGGCCTTGAATCGGCTATTAATTACACTACAGCTATGGTTAAAACAATAGGAGAGGTTGAATGGGTTACCTACAATGGATCTAGTGTCATCTCTATTGAAAACTGTAACTCTTCATCAATCCTGATACTTTCGTGCCAAACATTCAAATGTAGCATGATGGCCACACCTTTGGAACCCTCGATCTCATCCTCACCTCCACCTTCCTCCTCTCTTCCCTTAGTCATAACCTCTTCACCAACACCTTCGACTTCAACCACAATTTCAACTACAACCTTTAACTCCACATCAACTCCAACCACCAAGTCCAACACAATTGTAACCACCATGGCCACCACTACTCAGGAAACTATGAAAAATTCATCTTCTCCTCAAACCTCATCTACTCCATTAAATCAAACGACACCATCTTCGGTACCAACTTCAACTCAACCTACAGTTGCAACTCCAACCGGTTCACCGTCATCAACAATAACAGCTTCGTTATTGGCTTTGCCTGCGATCAATTCTAATGTTCCGCTTAGTCGGGCAACTCGAGCAACAAGTCCAAACGAAATCCAATCAATGGTAATCATAGAGGCAAATAGAACCAAATCGACTGGTAAAAAACAATGTCTTGCTCAAATTATATCACCAATGTGGCTTTTATCGTCTGCTGAATGTTTAAGGTAAGGCTAACACCGCGTGAGTTCATCATATTGCTTCCTATTTTAATATCTTTGATTGTTTTAAGCTAAGGACTTAATAAATCAATAACATTAACATTTTCATTAATCAAAAAACAAGATGAAACTCAGCTAAAAATCATTGAACCAGGCAGTGTATAGTGAAAAAGAGAGGATCAAAAACATAGTTCATTGAATGGTGAAGCATTTGATACTCAAATGGTGTAGTTTATTAACCATCTGTCTCATTATTCAATAATACTTGATTCAGATATTAACTTTGATAATCAATAAACTTATCATTTATTTATAAATCAAAAATGAAGTCCAATAAAACATTTATCTAATAATTTTTTGTTTCTTTTTGATTATTCTAGACAAATCATTGATGAACCATTAATTGTAAAGGCAAATTCAAGTCGATTCCTTGGAGCTGTAGATCGAGTAATTCTTCATCCGCATACTTCAAAATTCCGGTATCTTTATATTCGTGATTTTGATTTAGCTTTAATAAATCTTAAGCAACCTTTACCCTTGAGTTCAAGTCTGATGAGTTCCATTTGTCTTCCCGAGTCTGATGTTGCCTCCGATATAACGTGTTTTATGCCCGTTCTTGGTGAAACTGAAGCCCGTCCCTACTTAATTCAGGATCGCTCAATGTGTAATGACCGTAGACATTTTAACTCATCCATTAACCAACGTCAAATTTGTGCCTCACCAAGCGATGAATCTCCCGACTCTGTTCCCGATCCTGGTTCCAATTTGGTCTGTCTATCAAGCTCTACCGAATGGTTTATTGGAGGATTTGTTTCTTACGCTAGTCCAAGAACTAGCTACACCAAACATCCATCCGTTTTTTCAAACATATTTGCCATGAAAGACTTTATCAACCAAGTTGTAGCCAACCATTTGTACCAATCTAAAATGGAAGCGCGTTACAATTATACTTTTGACCTGAGTAGCCCAGTCTTGAACAATATAACAACAATCGATGAAACAGTTGACAAAAATATTGACAATGCTGCTAAATCTGCTCCTAAATTTACTCATGATAATCTAAAGGATGTCTCCAACATTAGTACAGTCAACGGTACTAGCTACCAACCACTCAGTGATATGGACATGAAAAAAGCTGCTGACCGATCGAGATCATTGAATTTAGATTCAAGCAACTCTTCAGCCTACACTAGACCAAATGAAAGTCCATTGGTTAATGTATCTCTAACAAAAGAAATGGATTATCAAGAGATTAATCACAATAATTCACTAAAAGACGATATAAAGCTATTGAATGGCCTAAATGATTCAAATTCAAATACTCTAAGATCTGAAAATGGCAGGTCAATGGATTTAACAGATATCGTTGATAGTAACAGGACAATTCTCGATCAATTTCTAATCAATTCAACTCTTGAAACACTTACCACAACTAACAAGTCAATTCTTCTTAATGATACATTAGTTCCATCATCTTATCAAACCACCTTATCACCAATATCATCTACCTACTCACCAGAATCATCAGCTTTTTCATTATCATCAACATCGTCACCAGTACCTTCATCTTTACCTTTATCATTATCGTCGTCATCACCACCACCACCAACCTCACAATCACTAGCACTTGGATCTTCACAATCAATATCAACAACAACATTACCACAAACTTTACCTTATTCATTTTCACCATCAACAACACCGACTGATAAGACGTCGATGACAGCTCCAAAAACGTCCAAAAGTCCGTCTACTTTAGGTGTTAACAATGTTTTAAATGTAACTTCTAAATTATAGTTAACTAATTAATTAGCATGTTCAAAACCTATGTCAAATTTCATCTCAAAATTTCTCATATAAATTAAACATTTTCAAACCTACAATGATCTTATTGTTATTGCTTATTGTTGCAAAAAAAATCAATACGCAACAGAATCGGGTCCTTCAACGTTTCCTTAATTCATTGCTTCCTGATAAGATACTCAAAGACAAATTTAGTGATGAATGAGTAAACTAATTCATACAATTGTTGAATCAATAACTATTACTCCATCAAATTAAGCGATGATCTCGCATTTACGTTTGAAAGTATCAATCAATCAGAGGGGTGAAGTTTACAGTATAACACCATTGAAGAACAGGATAGAAACTGAGATTTTCAAGTGGAAATATTTTATTTTCGATAAAGTAAAATGTTATTAAATAGAAATAAACGAAATGTAAGAGGATGAAAGGGTACGCATACAACAGGTCGAGAGGTAATTTGTGTTTTTGATTAAAATAATGAAGGAAATTATCAAATGGTAATAAATCTATGCCAGAATGATTATTAAAGATATATAGTGGCTCATGCCAGATTGAGTAATAGTTAGGACTCAATTAGAATTGATGGTTCATTCCAAACTGGTGATATTTTACCAGATTTATCTTGCGATGTTGTTGTTGTTGTTGTTGTATTATTTCCATTCATATTGTTTGTCATGTTATTAACTGTTATGTTTCCATTCATCTTTCCATTCATGTTTCCATTCATGTTAATCGTCCTTTGATTATTGTCATTCATTTCAACTTGTGAAGAAGGTACTGTTTGTCCAACTGTCTTTACTGGTGGTGATGTTATTGTTTTTTTAGTTGCTTTCGATAATTTATCCAATGGTCCATTTTTAACGACTTCAATTAGCTTCTCATTTAAAATATCATGACTTTTTGTTTCTCTTAAATGTTTACCAATCAATTCAACTCTTTTAATTAATTCTTTATCATTAAGAATTTCATCAATACCATTCAATAATTCACTTTCAGTTACTCGATAGGGTAAGAAAAATTTACCAATCTTTTTGTCAACAGCTCGTCGTCCATTATCATGTTGATCACCAAATAATGGCATAACAATAAAAGGTTTACCAAAATAAATTGTCTCAATGAAACTGTTATTACCACCATGATGTATAACCATATCAACACGAGGCATTATCTTCATTTGATTCAAATATTTTGATCCAACCATATTATCAGGTAATACAATTTTATCATGGTGTATACCCTTTGATACAATAAACTTGTGTGGTGATTTACCCAATATGCCAATTAATCGACTCATCAATTTATAATTTGATGTTCCAAGTGAACCAAGTGAAAATAAGATAATCTTTGAATCAGCATTCTCTTTAAAGAAACTTTCATCTATTCCAAGTGGTATATCATCACTTCCTCGTACCATATGATCAACTCTAAACCATTTATCTGGAACTGGACCAAATTCAGAATAATCTAAATCCTCTGGATAAGGATATAAATTTAAATATGGTGATTTACCAAGTATAGAGAAATCAAGACGATCCTCTGTCTCTGGATCAATTCCTTTAGATCGAAACAATTCGTCAAATTGTTTTTTAATAACAGCCAAACTATCATTAAATGCCAAACGTAGTCTCTCAAATTCTGCAGGATCATCATTTATTCCAAGAGCTGATGAATATGGTGGTACATTTGGTCCCCAATAAGCAATCAATGGACTGGTTGACCATAGAACCACATAAGGTATTCCAGAATTAATAATTGCAGGAACAGAAACCCAAAAATCAAATATAATCAAATCTGGTTTCATTCTTTCAAGAATCACTGTATATTGATCATCTGCTTTTAACAAATAATCATAAAAATTTTCATTGCTTGGCACATTTAAATGAATAAATTTTTCAATTGTCTCCATATCAAATACTCGTGATCTTTCCTCCATGAATTTACCCCATTTTTCTTGAGGATCTCTATCAGCTTCAAAACCATCAGCAACAATTGATTCAATACCAAAATTATTTCCAGCAACAGCTTTTGTCCAATTTTTTGGTACAACAAAAATACATTCATGATTATATTTTTGTAATATTTTAGCCAAACCAATACAAGCATTTACATGTCCATGCCTATTGAAAACAATTACATAATAATAATGTAAAAATGTTGAAATATTTCTATATTTATGTTGTAAATAAATAAATCAAGAAATAAAATAATATGAAAACTTACCCGTCCATAGGAAGAAATGCAATTTTTAGCTTCATCTTTAATTTCAAGGTTTTCGTAGTAATGTTGATATATTAAATAATATTTATCTTGTTGATATTTTTGTTGATGTTTAAATTGATGATGATTGATATAAATTAACAAATTGTAAAATATTACAATAGCAAAACAGTGGAACAGTCAAACAGTAAAATAGAAACTGAAACTGAAAACTTAAATGTTGAAAATGTTGATGTGAACTTGATGAAATGAATTCTGAAATGAGTAACCAAGTAAAAGTAGCCAAACTAATAGTCAGAAGATGAAGCAGAAGAAGAAGAAGATAAAGAAGACACAAAAATTGTGTGCTTTTAGAGAGCAAAGGAGAGATGTAAAGATAGACAGTAAGATAGAGTAAGTGAGAAAAAGACAGAGACTAACTGATTGATTAGAAGACAAAATGACAGAGTGAGAAGGTAAGAAGATGAATGATAAGAGAGAGAGAGAGAGAGAGAGAGAGAGAGAGAGAGAGATAATTGAACGATGACAATTTGGTTTAAAACAAATAAAAAAAGATTGACTTTTATTAAAATTCAAGTCTAGATTTAACTTGACTTGACATTCGGTTGGGTTAACTTTAAACTGAAATATTAACCAAAATTGTTGCTTCTCTTTATCCCATGAACACACAGAATAATTATCATGAAAACAAATCTATCTTAAACATTATCATCATCATTTGATTATATATCTTGTCATATTATTTATCAACCTTTTCTTCTTTCTTCTTCTTCTTCTTCCCAATCAATCTCCTCCTTCCCTCCTTTCCTTCCTTCCTTCCTCCTCCTATTAACACTTACATTGATTCAAGTGTAAATTCGGCCTTGCAAATTAACTCTTACACATGAAATTAATAGGAAAATAACAAAGTTAACCTTAAGGTAATCCTAACAATAAATCAAATCAATAATAAATTTATCAGTGCATTTGATTGTAAATCTGTTCAAATACCTCATTGCACAATTAGTCAACAAGTGGCAATTTTTCCGTTCCAAGCTGATCCCTAATTCATCCACTTAAATCTTTTACGGATGTTTCCTTACTATTTGGTCAGATAAAACCTGAAAATGAATCATATGCTTTTCAGTCTAAGGAACCTAATCAACTTGCTTGTACGGTCATTTTCGATTTTTTTCGAGTTTATGTTGTAGAGGACGAAAAATAATTAGACACATATTTTTGCTTTTTTTACGCCGGTGCGCGGTTATTGATATTTAGGCACTTTTAATTAAAGATAGTAATGAATTCCAGTCACTGAGAAACAAGTAAAACAATGAAAAACAGAAAAATGAAAAATCTTAATAAAAATTGTGAATCACTTTTCAGTGACTTCAATAGATTTCAATGCAATATCCTCACTTAAAAGTGCCTAAATATCAATAACCGCGCACCGGCGTAAAAAAAGCAAAAATATGTGTCTAATTATTTTTCGTCCTCTACAACATAAACTCGAAAAAAATCGAAAATGACCGTACAAGCAAGGTCACTTCCCTTGTAAGGAACCTAATCAACAATTAATCTATATACAATGGTATCAATTAATAATCTAATGTTGACGTCACATCATTTATTGAAGGCAAGTCAATTGAAATTGTCACTTTGAATCGGGTTGGCCTCAAAATTATTTACCTTTTATTATTATCAATCACAATACCTGGGTAAATCAAAGTCCAGGTCTATCCTGATCATAGAGTAAAGTACGATATATTCGCTTGAATTGATCTATCCAAACCTTCAATAGTCTTGATTGATCCTCTCATGTATTCAATTGTATCTCTTGTCAATTGTGTTTTAATAATAATCATACTTAAAGAGCTCTTAATCTTTGATAATCTAACAAGAGATTTACGTTTTTTCATTCTCTTTCTTTCTTTCTTTCTTTTCTTCTAACCAGATTATCGGGCAACCTCATTTACACCATATCATAATGATGAGAAAGTCAAGAATCACCTTGATAAGGTCATTCATCGATCTTTAAACCGGTAAAGGGTCAAATAGCTATTTCAAACCATCTTTAAACCGGTAAAGGGTCAAATAGCTATTTCAAACCAGATAATGCCAACAATAGAGGTCTTTAGGCTAGGAACATATCAGGATTACGGTGAATAATTTGTGTTAATTCCTTGATTAAATAAATCCTGATTGAGCCTAGAGACTTGAGATAATGATGAGAAATATTCAATTTTTTATTTTCATCCATTTTGAATTGAGCTTTATCCAAAAAGGGTTAGCTATTATATTTTTAAGGCGAGCCCTTTAAACCAGAATTTCATTTATGCTCATTTATTCCAATCACCTTAAAACTCTCATGAAAATGTGTTGACCAATAATTTCAGCTTGAATCATTATGATTAAGCAGCTGTCAAATAGCAATTCTAATTATGAAATCTATTTGATCAACTTCAACTTGTATTGAGACAGTAAACAATTGTCAGTTTTGTGTTTATCACATTTTGGATTTGGTTTGAGCCCAGTTTACACTCAACTTTCACTGGTTTTCACTGGCTTTTCGCTCTTCATTTGCATTGTCAATTCTCAATTTCAATGATACTTGAAATTGCTTCAAGGCGAAGTTCAATTGATTGAAGGAGAAACCGATCTGATTGAATTTGACCAACCAAATTAAAGTAAATCTCTTTAGAGCAAACACTTGGGTTTAGCCACTTTTCGGCCTACACCAGCTTTAGTAGCTCTTAACCAGTTTCTCATTATTGTCAATAACATATTCAAACACCATTGACAATTAGACATTGATATTAATCATTTATTCCTGGTTCATTGAGAGCCACTGGTTAAGTCTGGTTATCGGTTGAGGGTCATCTGATATCAATTCATTGGCTGATTCAGGTTTAAGCAAAATTGCATAAATAAACTCAATGATCAACATTTGACAAGATTAACCATTTCAAGATATCAGTATTCATATCTGATTTTATTTTTGATATCCTTCAATTCATTATCTTGATCTTGACTTTTGATGGCAATGTTAATGATTTCTCGAGCCATGATTTTCCTGCAAATACTGGATAGAATCGGTATTAAAATTTATGGCCAATGAACTTGCCTCACGAGTTAAGCCTGAAAGCCAATGAACTTATTCAGATAACATAGAAACTCTTCCGTGTATTTAATCACCAATTAATCTTTTCAAATGCGTTCATCAGGGGTGAGCATTTAAGGAAAAGGATTTTCTCATTGCAAGGAACCCTGAAAATTTATTGATACAAATCAGATTGACTTCAGTGTATGACATTTAAAGTGGACAATTAAAGGCAATCAAACTGTAAGGCTTGAAAAAAAATGTGAATAGTCTGCAGGTGAAATGATTCTGTTGAAAAACAGGAAGAGTGGAATTTTTTTCATCTTATTGGTGGGTTTACCTGGATATCAATAACAATAATTGTTTATATCTTTCTTGCTGTTGATAAAATATACTTTTGAAGATATTTTCAGTTGAGTTTATCAAATAAGAACAATGTTTTTCAAAGGAAAAACCTTCAATTGGTTGTTTATGATTAACCTATTTAATTGACATCTATTGAGTTACTCATGTTCAATCAATCAACTGCTTGTTTACAATAATAACGTTGAAAGTGAAAGCACTGAAGACAAGTTGTATTGTTAAGACTCGAGATAATGTTAACATTTGAAGATGCAATGAAATTTCAGGTCTTGAAGGATTAACAATTTACGAAATATTTACATCATAACCAATTATTCATAAGTCTAACAGCATGTGATGATAAAAATATATTATTGACTTGATTTATTGTGAGGATTGCCTTAAGGTTAACTTTGTTATTTTCCTATTAATTTCATGTGTAAGAGTTAATTTGCAAGGCCGAATTTACACTTGAATCAATGTAAGTGTTAATAGGAGGAGGAAGGAAGGAAGGAAAGGAGGGAAGGAGGAGATTGATTGGTAAGAAGAAGAAGAAGAAAGAAGAAGAAGAAAAGGTTGATAAATAATATGACAAGATATATAATCAAATGATGATGATAATGTTTAAGATAGATTTGTTTTCATGATAATTATTCCGTGTTTCATGGGATAAAGAGAAGCAACAATTTTGGTTAATATTTCAGTTTAAAGTTAACCCAACCGAATGTCAAGTCAAGTTAAATCTAGACTTGAATTTTAATAAAAGTCAATCTTTTTTTATTTGTTTTAAACCAAATTGTCATCGTTCAATTATCTCTCTCTCTCTCTCTCTCTCTCTCTCTCTCTCTCTCTCTCTCTTATCATCCATCTTCTTACCTTCTCACTCTGTCATTTTGTCTTCTAATCAATCAGTTAGTCTCTGTCTTTTTCTCACTTACTCTATCTTACTGTCTATCTTTACATCTCTCCTTTGCTCTCTAAAAGCACACAATTTTTGTGTCTTCTTTATCTTCTTCTTCTTCTGCTTCATCTTCTGACTATTAGTTTGGCTACTTTTACTTGGTTACTCATTTCAGAATTCATTTCATCAAGTTCACATCAACATTTTCAACATTTAAGTTTTCAGTTTCAGTTTCTATTTTACTGTTTGACTGTTCCACTGTTTTGCTATTGTAATATTTTACAATTTGTTAATTTATATCAATCATCATCAATTTAAACATCAACAAAAATATCAACAAGATAAATATTATTTAATATATCAACATTGATACGAAAACCTTGAAATTAAAGATGAAGCTAAAAATTGCATTTCTTCCTATGGACGGGTAAGTTTTCATATTATTTTATTTCTTGATTTATTTATTTACAAAATAAATATAGAAATATTTCAACATTTTTACATTATTATTATGTAATTTTTTCATTAGGCATGGACATGTAAATGCTTGTATTGGTTTGGCTAAAATATTACAAAAATATAATCATGAATGTATTTTTGTTGTACCAAAAAATTGGACAAAAGCTGTTGCTGGAAATAATTTTGGTATTGAATCAATTGTTGCTGATGGTTTTGAAGCTGATAGAGATCCTCAAGAAAAATGGGGTAAATTCATGGAGGAAAGATCACGAGTATTTGATATGGAGACAATTGAAAAATTTATTCATTTAAATGTGCCAAGTAATGAAAATTTTTATGATTATTTGTTGAAAACAGATGATCAATATACAGTGATTCTTGAAAGAATGAAACCAGATTTAATTATATTTGATTTTTGGGTTTCTGTTCCTGCAATTATTAATTCTGGAATACCTTATGTGGTTCTATGGTCAACCAGTCCATTGATTGCTTATTGGGGACCAAATGTACCACCATATTCATCAGCTCTTGGAATAAATGATGATCCTGCAGAATTTGAGAGACTACGTTTGGCATTTAATGATAGTTTGGCTGTTATTAAAAAACAATTTGACGAATTGTTTCTATCTAAAGGAATTGATCCAGAGACAGAGGATCGTCTTGATTTCTCTATACTTGGTAAATCACCATATTTAAATTTATATCCTTATCCAGAGGATTTAGATTACTCTGAATTTGGTCCAGTTCCAGATAAATGGTTTAGAGTTGATCATATGGTACGAGGAAGTGATGATATACCACTTGGAATAGATGAAAGTTTCTTTAAAGAGAATGCTGATTCAAAGATTATACTATTTTCACTTGGTTCACTTGGAACATCAAATTATAAATTGATGAGTCGATTAATTGGCATATTGGGTAAATCACCACACAAGTTTATTGTATCAAAGGGTATACACCATGATAAAATTGTATTACCTGATAACATGGTTGGATCAAAATATTTGAATCAAATGAAGATAATGCCTCGTGTTGATATGGTTATACATCATGGTGGTAATAACAGTTTCATTGAGACAATTTATTTTGGTAAACCTTTTATTGTTATGCCATTATTTGGTGATCAACATGATAATGGACGAAGAGCTGTTGACAAGAAGATTGGTAAATTTTTCTTACCTTATCGAGTAACTGAAAGTGAATTATTGAATGGTATTGATGAAATTCTTAATGATAAAGAATTAATTAAAAGAGTTGAATTGATTGGGCAACATTTAAGAGAAACAAAAAGTCATGATATTTTAAATGAGAAGCTAATTGAAGTCGTTAAAAATGGACCATTGGATAAATTATCGAAAGCAACTAAAAAAACAATAACATCACCACCAGTAAAGACAGTTGGACAAACAGTACCTTCATGAATGACAATAATCAAAGGACGATTAACATGAATGGAAACATGAATGGAAAGATGAATGGAAACATAACAGTTAATAACATGACAAACAATATGAATGGAAATAATACAACAACAACAACATCGCAAGATAAATCTGGTAAAATATCACCAGTCTGGAATGAACCATCAATTCTAATTGAGTCCTAACTATTACTCAATCTGGCATGAGCCACTATATATCTTTAATCAATCTATATTCTTTCATTTTCATATTTTATTTGCAATTCCAATTTCATGTCAATATAAATTCTTGGACCATTTTCAATTCGTAATTATATACCTCGCTACTTTCTTTCATTTTTCATTAAAGACTACTTTTCTCCATACTCTATCCCAGACTTGACAATATTTATTCAGCAACCAAATGCTGTCTCATCAACTTTAACTCAATCAGAAAATTCTGCAACAGAAATATCAATTCGCTTGTTGCCTAGTGCTCATTGACAAGGTCATTTGAGTTTGAAAAGTCCTTTCTGTAGATATTACAATCACTTAGATTGCAATCACAATGTATTTGATTGATTCTAAGCAAGCTAAAAGTGCCTTCGTAAATTTCAACTGTCAGCAATCAATTGTGTCAACGAGTCAATGAGCACGCAGAATGAAACTGATCAATGTTCAACAGTTAGCAGTTATTGCATAAACACCAAGATTTCTGATAAAATGTTTTTTCTCAAGAAAAATAAGTAACCGTGCAGCTCAATTGATGGGTTCAATCATTGTAAAATTGACATGAAAAACATTTTAATCTCCAAGAATGTTGAGCTAATCAGAGTTGCTAGGGCACTAGCTTTTGTTAATCATAATCGAGGGACATGATCGAGGCGAGCCTCTACCAGGAATCACCAAAAAATTAACAATTCACCAGCATTGACAATATTTTGGATGACCGTTCCTTCTAGTTCTGTGGGGTGACAATCTTCAATGAAGGAGAAAATTAATTTTCAGTTGATTATGCAATAATGAATGTGCGATGATGAGTGTTAATCAATTATCTTTGAAATTGACAGCTTCTTCAACACTCACAAGGAAAGAAAATGAAGAATTTTATGGTGGATCCCAGAATCTTATCTATTATTGATTCTGTCTACAAAGTTAATTTATTAAACCAATCAACAGATGAACTCTAATTGATTGTCGTCATTATCTACGTCATTGTGCTCAACATCTCACTATTAGATCCCATTGATTACTGTTGAATCGGCTGATTGTTTCAAATTGTCTTAAAATTGAAAACATACGTAACACTCAATAATGATGAAAAGTAAAAGCAAGAAACTCATTTTGACAATCTTCTCACAGGAAATAAATAAAGTACGATATTAAAAACACTATTTGAAGGCAAGTCCAGTCAGATTGAAGAGATAACAATTAATCTGAAATTAATTACAATATGTTGATACTACAGAGATTGATTGATCTTTAGATTTTCAATTGAAGTGGTGAATAGTAAAATGGTTTTAACACAATCAAACAATGAAAGAAACAGACTCGATGAGTTTAGCAATAATATCGATGATAACAATTAAACCTTCGGACCGAATGATTGAATAGCAATTTTCAAGTTGCAACAAGATTACATTGATATTCGCCTTAATTTATTAATTGTCACATCTGTCACAATAATCTTTTTGTTAGCCTTAAGTTAAAATTAATAATTTTCGTTGAAATTAGCCAAACAAGTCTATTTTCACAGCATTATCGATACTTGCTCCATCTACCAACCCTTAGAGAATAAACTTTGCTTTTCTCTTCCCCCTTTTTTTGAAAACCCCAAGTGAATTTTCCGTTAATAAATGTTCCTACAATTATTTATCAGCTTGGTCAACAGTTAATTATTTTATTTGTGACATTTTATTGAATGACATTTAATCAACTCATTTTATCTGTGCTTTAATTGTTATATTTAGTGAATTTGAATCTTTAAATAGTTAACTGGTGAGTGAATTTTGAATAGACCGGTTAAAACTTGACTATGAACTTCTTGAGCCAATAAAAGAAAGATGGCGCCTAAAAATCTAACATTGATTCAAAAATTGAACCAAATCTTTCTTAAATAAATCTGTTGAAAATTTGGTTGTTGTTAGTTTCTGTTTATCGTACTAATTTATGTGTATACATTACCAACTTTAAAACCTTCATCGGTATCTAATTAAATTGATCGAAACTGACAGACGAAGTGACCACAAATGGATAATAAAGTAACTTCTTCACCAGCCGTTTCTGGCTCCAAATATACCATTGGTGATTTGGTTTGGGCAAAAATGAAAGGATTTAGCCCTTGGCCTGGTAAAATAGTTGACCCCTCGTTACCTAACATCAAAAGACCTCCAGGAAATTATCGGAATAAACCAACCCAATGTGTTTACTTTTTTGGTTCAAATAATTTTGCTTGGATACCTGAGGAAGCAATTAAACCTTACAAAGAGTTCAAGGAACAGTTTTGCAAATTGAACAAAAGTAATGCATTTAAGGAGGCCATTGACGCTATGGAGGAATATATTAAAAAAGGTGGAACTGGTGATATTCCAATGGCACCTCTCACTGAAAAATCTAGCGCCGAAAAAGGTCAGGAATCTAGTGGTGAAGTAGATAATGATGATAATGGGGAAGAAGTATCAAGTAAAGACCCTAAAGATGATTTAAGTAATACCAAGACGGTTAAGTCAAGTGAAATACCCTCTAAAAGCGGAGAGATCGCTTCCAGTTCTGCAGCAGGAGGTTAGTTCATTTTTCCGGAGGAAGATCGTCAGCTTGTAACCTCAAAAATTTCATTCACCGCCATCATATTCATTTCTTCCCTATCACCTTTTCCTACCCCCTTTCCTTTACTCTGCTTGCTCCCTCAGTTTTCTTCCCTACTATCGGCGGTCACAGCCGTTTGGCGCTAACACACCCTACGCATGTTCCCAGCTACTTTCTCTTCATCTTTCCCTCTTCTTTGATAAATTACACATATCTATCCCATAGTCCCAGCCATCTTATGTGTATTACCTTTTTCTTCCTTATTTTTCCCTCGCTTGCTTTTTCCTGTCTCGTTTGCATTTATGTTCACGTTTCAATTTTTGTTTTACACTTGTCTTTTTTTGTTCCCATTGTGCCCGTTCCTCTTTTTCTCAATATTCATTTAACGAGGTATAAAGCACTTCTTCCGCGAATTGTACCAATTCTGTTAGGTCTTAGGATATACTTTCTGAGGTTGGGTCTTTAAAGAGTTGTCTCTTTTTCAGAACGCATCTTATAGACACCGTTCTTTTAACCTTTGACTTTCATTGTCGAATTCGTGTATGACATCTAACCAACTGACTATTAATTCTCTGGCTTTGTTTTTAACTTCGAGATAACTTAGATATTGCAGGTCAATCAAGAGTCCAATATGCATTTTATAAAAAATAATGTCTTTTATGTCCGCCAAAATTCCTAAGATAATTTTCCTTTCTCAGATCTCAACTGAACTGCTTAATAATAACTTGGCTTCTTCCCAATCAGCTTTTGTTATTTTTTGGATCACCATTTTCAATCATTTCTCATAAATTTTCCGTTTTCATCATGTATAATCTTTATTACAAAAGATCTTAACCTTGATATTTTTAATTTTTTCTGATTATTTTCCATTCACATTTCAACTTTAGATTCCAAAACAAATCAGAAAGAAGGAAACAAAGAGTCAGAGAAGGCTGAGAAGGCTGAAAAGCCTGAAAAGGCTGAGAAGAAAGACGATAAAAAAGAAAAGAAAGAAGAAAAGAAGGAAGACAAAAAAGAAGACAAAAAAGAAGATAAGAAAAAAGAAAAAGAGAAAGAGAAAAACTCAACGAGTGCCACTCCATCCTCGTCCCATCAACGAGATTATAGTCGTACGCCTTTCAAACATAAAGCTAGAAGATCAACAGGACTCAATAATACTGAGAATGCATCTACATCTTCGCCAGCCGCCAACGACGAGGACACCGCTACCCCACCAGTTAAAAGAAGCAAGACAACTCCATCAGAGGATATTTCAAGTACATCTTCCCCAGCACCTAAATCACCTAGTAAGACTGCTCGTAACATTTTAGCTAGAACTTCCAACTATCTTCTTGATAATTCAAATGCACTTAACAATCAAAATGAGCTTGATATTGGTTCTGTATCAGAAAAGGCCAAGAATATTAAAGCTTCATCCCTTAAATTTGGTTTCATCGGACTTGGATTTATGGGTCAAAGACTCCTCAAAAATCTTCTCAACTCTGGACATTCAGTAACTGTTTGGAATAGGACTCCAAGTAAATGTAAAGATTTTATTAAAGCAGGAGCAACCAAGGCAACTACTCCAGCTGACGTCGTCGCTGCATCAGACGTAACTTTCTCATGTTTAGCTGATCCTCATGCAGTCAAGGAAATCGTTTTTGGTAATTGTGGTGTTCTAGCTGAAATGAAATCGGGTAAAGGATATGTAGAATTGACATCAATAGGACCAGATACCAGTAATGATGTTAATGAAGCTATTGTAGCTCGAGGTGGTCGCTATTTAGAGGTGCATCTCATTTCTGGAGGTAAAAAGCACGCCGAGGACGGTAATCTTAGTGCTCTAGTAGCAGGAGAAAGATCATTATACGACGACTGCAATACCTGTTTCCAAGCCATAAGCAGTCATAATTTCTATTTGGGTAATCAAGTAGGTGACGCTTCAAAAATGGGACTTTTGATTTCCATGCTTATGGGTAATCTTATCGGGTCATTAGCAGAGAGTATGGCTCTAGCAGACAGAACTGGATTATCCCAGAAGGATTTACTTGAAATTCTTTCAATTTCGCCACTCAATTGTCATACATTGATATCCAAGGGCAAAGGAATGATTGAAGGTGGTTTTGCAACCGAAATGCCATTGACACATATGCAAAAAGATCTCAGACTAGCTTTGCAGTTGGGTGAAGCTTATGAACATCCCTTACCTATTACTGCATCAACTAACGAGGTCTTTAAGCATGCTAAACATTTGGGATATAGTGACCACGATGTTGCCGCTGTTTATATCAGATCGAGATTCTAACCTCCTAAAAGCAGAACGTTGAATTGAATACATGAAAGAAATAAAACAAAGAAGATGTGAAACTATATTGATACTACACAAAATGATCTAACGGTCCAGCCTTCATTCGTCTTTTCAAATACAAATTTTGACTATTACAAAACCGAGCTGGTAAACTTCATTGTCATCTTCATCATCGTTTCTCTCTCATCATGCCACCTCTTTTACCACTCAATTCAAATCAAATGTAGAGTGATAAAAAGCAAAGCTAAAGAGAAAACATTTTTTCAGTCCACCTGGAAAAGGACATCATTCATCGTACAACTTGAAGAATTTATACAACAAATCACCATCTCTCCTATCCATCTCCCCATTACCATTACAAAACACACAACACTTACATTAATTACATACATGCATACATACATAAAACATGAAAAACACGAAAACTCACCCTATCATTCATGATGAAACAAAATTAAATTGTACTTCTGATCCCAGAGCTCATAGGTCGGATAAAAACACATTAATCAGAGGATTTTGTCTAAAAATCATTAGATGATCCCTTTTGTCTCTACTGAAAATGCCATTTTTTTTCCTTCACACTTCAAATGTTTTTATCTTTCCCTCTCTTTCTTTCTATCTGCATCAGTGTATACTTACCCAGTTTACTGTCATTATATACTTCAACCTGAATAATTTCGCTCAATTTGACGCTTAACTAAGATTTCTCCTATTTCTGTAAAACTGTTCGTGTCTTTAAGGATAAAATTTAACCCCTTTATTATAACGTTAGGTCCATTAATAAAAACAAAAGTATTGATTTTAAATTGCTATTTCACTTTCACTAAATTCATGTTTCGATAAAAATTTTATTTACCGCGACCATCTGTTTCAATCAATGCGTTTTTTATTCATGATAAATTTAGTTTACTAATTTACCATATAATTTTTTTTCCATTGAGAGTACATTTTTGAACTAAATAATCACAATTTAAGCAGCTTTATGAATTAAAGTGTTTTACATCATTAAGCGAAAATGAGTAATCGCTTTAAACGGGTCCTATGTGTATTTTATTATTATTTTAATAATTAGTAACCTTTACCATTCGTAATTCGTGCTTAATCTGCTTTGCTAAGATTATTGAAGAAGCTTATTTGATGCGCCACCTACTGATAAATTAAGCGAAATAACACATTTTTCTTCTGCTGTTGTTTATTTTTGTGTTGGTCTAACTTGTGTCACATTAGTAAATTTTTGTCCACTTCCTTAATTTATCATCCAAAATGTCTTCTGGAGAAGATCTAGCAGCTAACCTCCGTAATTATCAAATTCAACTTCAACAGGCTGAAGCTGCAATAGCAGCGGATCCTAGTAATGAAGAGTTACTCAAATTGAAATCTGATTTAGAGGTAAGATATTGTTATCCTTTAATGTTGAATTTTATAGAAATATTCATCATATACTCATGATTTGCTCTCTTCATTTCACAGGAGGTCATTATGTTGACCAAAAATCTCATGGCCGCTGAAGGGACTTATGAAGAGGAAACTGAAACCAGCGTTATTCCTCAAAGCTCCGAGATAAGACACAATTTTCAATCAGGAGATATTGTAATGGCTCCATGGTCAGCAGATGGACAGTAAGTACATTTTAAGATCTGAGGAAACTCCGTATCTAATTATTTACTCATTTTTTCCCCTAGATTCTATGAAGCTGAAATAGAAGATGTCATGAGCGATGGCCAATGTAATGTGATATTCTCTAGTTTACCCAATGGAAAAACAAAAGTATCTGAAGTTTGCTTAGTCACTTTATTAAAACCAACCCAAGGCAGTAAGAAGAAAATGAAAATCGATACTAGTGGGCTGGGTGCGCGTGGAGCCAAAGGCATCAGGTCTGACCCATCATCATCTTCTCAAATAAATACGAAACAAAAGCGTTTGCAAGTACAACAACATAGAGATTATTTAAAAAAGAAGCAACAAAAAAAGCAAAATCGTATCAAGGAATTGGAAGAAGAACGTGAAAAAGAGAAGAGTAAATGGCAACAGTTCAATCAAAAAGTAAGTTTTACAGTTTCAATTTTTTAAAAAGCCTCTATTTCATATGAGTATATTTTTATTATTATTTACCACAATTTATTCATCCACCTAAATAAATGAAACTATCAAGTTGCTTGATCTACCCTTCAAGTTTCCAGATGATCTGATGAATTTGGTAAAGTTTTTGTGAGTGATTAAAAGCTTGAGCACAAGGAACAATTGATCAATTCGATTACAAACATTGAGGACATTGACCTGGTGGTACTGATGATCAACCTTATCAATACTTCAAATGTATCGTGCTTTTCACTCATAATGAGCATTATTCTTGATTCGATTTTCCCATAATCTACGTACTCAATTCTCTCTTTCTCTCTCTACTTCTTTATCTTTCTCTCCTGACGACTGTCCTTTTAGCCTTGGGAAAAAATCCAAAAAATTACTTATTTTTATATTTTACTAATATATTTTTCTATTTTTTTAGGCCGTGAACAAGCACTTGAAAGGTGCTAGCTCGTTAGCAAAGAAACAAAGCATCTTCAAGTCTCCGGATACAGTCGAGGGCAAGGTCGGCGTAGGAACTTGTGGTATTGCTGGTAAACCAATGACAAACTTTGTGGTCGCCGATAAATATAAAAGAGGTACATCAACAGCTTCGACGTCATCCTCTTCTTTGACATCAAGATATCCAAATCTTCACTCTCTATCCACTGTTCACCAGCACAAGTACAAATGATATTATTTTTGCGGCTTTTCATTATAAAATTGTGAAGCAAAACCGGTTTACAAATGGTGAATCTTGTAATTTATTTTGTTAATTCACAATTTCAAAGAGAAAAAGGTCACTCAGCTTTATCGAGACTATTTATTTGGAGACCTATTCTAAGCATGGAAATCATTCATTTACATTGTCAATTAGATGTGATTCATCTCATTTCTTAACATTCATTAAAATTGAATGATTATAAACTCTTGTATTCCTGTTTATTCATTCATAGCGAGCGACACCTTGACGGAAGATGGGCCATTATAGCTGATGAAATTATCTGATAGATTGCATCATATCATAATCATGATCAGTAAAGTGGTTAAGTGACGGAATATTCCAATGAGTAGACACACAAATCGATAAACTTAAATTTTTCAAGTTGGTAAAGGACATTCCAGAGGTGTGTTCTTGATAATAAATTAAAAAAATGGAATAATTACGAGACATATGAACAAATTAAACTAGTAATTTTATTATCTTTCCGTGAGAATTTCCGTTTTCCATTGAATAAAAGAAAATTTAATTTTCAACTGATTCATTAGCCTAAACTGCACTCCCCTAATCATAACAATAACTTAAATTTGATTCACTCAGAGCGAATAAGAACAAAAAGATTTGGTTAAATTAATATAAGATGATCAAGGAAAGGACAATGTTTTAAAATAGATTCAATGTGACACCAATTTGCCATGAGCTGTCATGATTTTCCCTAATAACCTTTTCTAGTGAAATTATAATTTTTAAATTAGATAATTAAATAGCTATTGATGGAACAGGTCAATCCTTGGCTGACTCCAAGTAGGCAATGACATCGGCTCTTTCTTGCTTTTTCTTGATACCAGCAAAGATCATCTTTGTACCGGGGATATACTTCTTTGGATTCTCAAGATAAATATTGAGCGTCTCCCTACTCCAGGTAATACCTAAATTAACGGGATAAAATAGGAAAAGGTCAAAACATACAAGGTCACACAAGTACAGGGAAACTAGGACATGCAGTGGAAAATAGAATCTAACCTTTTTCTTTATTGGCGGTGGTGTAGTCAAACCCTTCAGCAGAGCCAGTCTTTCGTCCAATTAAATTATATAAATTGGGTCCTTGTTTGTGTCCTTTGCCCTTTTCGGCAACATGACATTGACCACATTTTTGGACAAAGATTTTCTTTCCTCGTGTTGGATCTCCATCAGGTAAGTCAGCCATCTAAATTAAAATGTCAAATCACAAGAGCAAATGGGAATAAATTGAATAAAAATTAATCTTTTAAACTAAAATAAAAAGGAAGGATGAAAAAAAGATTTAAATTTAATACCTTAAATTAAAATTTAATTTGTACTAGGATCAAGTTAAATAAACCAAACAGCAAGAAGATTGCAAACTCAATGTCAAATTAACCAACCAAACGATAGTTGAAATGAAACGGATTGATCACGCGTTATCACTAAACACGTTTGCATGGTTACCTTAGATATTACTCAACAAAGCGCCATATTTAATCACCGGCACTGATTAACTTAAATCAAGCAAAAGCAATTCAAATTATTATTCCTTTCTGATCAACTATCAATCGGACTACCAATTTCATTAAATTATTTAGGAAAATCTAAAACCAATTTTTCATCCATAAATCCTCTGATAAACATTACTCTAGAATTGCCTTTTTGCTCTAACAAAACCTAAAAATTGACTCAACAAATAAATCTAATAGTAACTGATCAAATAGATCTGATTAAAATTATTAATAAAATAAAAGATCTTGCCCTTTGACAGTAATCAGTGATTTATAAATAGCTAGATAAGATTCAGTGATCGAAATCCATGAATTTCAGTTTGAATAAACTATTTCAATAAATTCAAACTCACTTTCTAAAAACAAATTTTACTAATTCAGCTCCAACATGGGTGTACTAAATTAATTAACATTGTATTGTGAATGAGAGGTATTTTCGTATACCGATAAATTAATTTAAAACGGATTAAAGTTAATAAAAAAAAAGAACCGAAAATGGAGACAATTTTTGTAATTTTAAGTATCACAATTAAACTTTATAATTTTACTCAAAAAGTTCGGGTTTAAAATCATTAGACATTATTGATTTAGAGACAATATTCCAGTGTTCTTCATTTCTGTTGAACAAGTTTTTAATTGAAGTTAACAATTAATTTTGCTTTTAAAAGAAAATTTTATCCATGAATTTTTTTGATGAAAATTGTATTCCTTTTTGAGTATAAATTTGGCGCTTTTCCTTTGTGGTAACATCAAGTAACCAAGGTTTCGCTTTGCGATGGGTTGTGTTGAAAATGAATCCGATTTGATTTTAAAATTTCTTGTTCAACTGTGTTTGGTAATTTAGTTTGTATTCTTGTAACAGTTAATATTAACATCTTTCAATTTATCTAATTTCAACACTACAAGTAATTTAGTTGTTTGTTTGGACAATTTTTCTTTGTATTAACTCAAATTTCCTTTTCTTGTTGACAGACATACCAAATATTGAAATAACAATGTCTTACAAAGGAGGTACATCGTCTCAAAAAATTCAGAAAGTTATGGTTCAACCGATTAATCTGATATTCAGGTATTTACAGAATCGCGCTCGGATTCAAGTTTGGTTGAACGAGAATGTTAATCTTCGCATTGAGGGGCACATCATTGGTTTCGATGAATACATGAACCTGGTTTTAGACGACGCTGAAGAGGTTTATCACAAAACACAGACAAAGAAACCAATTGGGAGAATATTGTTAAAAGGTGAAAATATCACTCTCATCACGAAAACTCAATAAGTAATCGAGAGGAAATTGTATTGTATTGAGATGAGATTTTTTTTAAAAAAAAATTAAGATCCATAATGTGTTTCAATTTGCTTCAATAAATAATTGAAATGAACAATTAAATGCTGTTGGTTGTTTTCTTGAGCGAAATTGATACGGATTAAAAAATTAAGATTAAGAAGTAACAAAAGGTGGTGATGATAAAAGTGGTGGTGGTAGTGGTAGTAGTATTATGGTGGTGGTGATGGTTTGGTTGATCGATGCATTTTTCTTGGTGTGTTTTTTTTGTTGATTAGACTCGTTTTTTAAAGATAGATGTTGTTGCTATTGGCCATCTAGAAGATTTTGATTTCCACCTAATCCATGAAGTTAACCCGGTCTTCAGATTAATGTAAAGTGTTGAGATCTCATTAATTAAATAGAAGGTAAGACCAAAGGCGAAAGTGATGAATGATGATAAAACACTTTTGGAGTCAGGTACAAGCTCACCGTGAATCATCTTATCCCAAAGCAGATTGAATCCATTGATTATGTAAGTTAATATAACACAAGATGAGATAAAGGAGAAAACGATCAAAGCTCCGGTGATACTGACAAGATCCGAATGATTTGGGACAGTCATGATTAACCTGGTACCTGATGATGATGACAGTATTGGAACATTGGAAGGCAATGAAGATTCAGTTGATGGTATCATCAAATTGTGACTTTGGTCAACAACACTGAGACCAAAATCAATCAACATAACAATCACATATACAAGATCAACTGTTGAACATAATAGTTACCAGGATCAACCAGAAATCAAGAATGACTCTCTTCTCAGCAAACCAACATCGAATCGCTGGATATCGCAGGATAAACAAAAGTGAGTGAGATTGTGTGTGAGAGAAAGAGAGAGAGAAAAGAAAGAGGCAGTTGAAAAGCAAAGAGTATAGAACCAGAAAGTAAGTAAAGAAAGAGATGAAAAAGAAATGAAAGGAATAGAAGAAAAAATGAGAGACTCAATGTCATCACTCTTTTACTTTTTCTTTCATCCCAATCCGGTTTTTCGTGTGTGTTTCAGCCATGGTCACTTTCACTTCTTTTTCATCCATTTTTCCACTCTCACCATCTTCTTGATTACCTGGACTTTATCAACAATTTTTAACAATAAACTTAACTTTGGCCATAATAAAAATTCAAGTAAACCTGGAAACGTAATTCTTGGTAATAACTAGCCTATTAGCAAGGCATCAAAGATTTTTCAATATTTTGCCAAAAATATTTTTACCATTTGCAAATGCTACTTAACCTTGTAGCCCTCTCGTCAACTATCATCATCAATTTAAATTGTGATTAACTGAATGTAGATCCTGCTGTGTATTTTGCTACGTTTATTTTCAATGTTTTTTTAATCAGAATATACATTTACAATGTAAGGTCAGATTGTGTGTTTCAAGTGTTAACTGTATCTTATATGTTTAATGGTGATTATACTGTTATTATTGTTCATTTCAATCAACAGCGCAGGTAGAAAAAAAAGTGCGTCAGATTTCCTATTGATAAACTTACCAATTGTGACCATCAAACTTGATTGAATAAAGGTCATTTCAATCGTAAACGTAATTAACAATCAATTCTTAGAAAAAGTTGTGATTCTCATTAAAAAGACAGTTTAATTCATCTTGGCTTGAATTTAAACGAAACGTTTTGTTGCTCGAATTTTAAAAGCAGATCAATGAAATTTGTATTCCCAGCTTTCAGTGTTTTCAATGTAAGATTGAACATTGATTTTTGAACAAGGTTACAGGGCGATGTTCACTCTGGATTATTGATTAGCTTATGCATTAGTTTCCAAATTAGCACTTTTCAAGGCAACGTTAATCAATAGTTCAATTGTTAAATTATACTGTTACAACCCATTAGCAAAATGAATTGAATAGACAGATGAAGTAAATTTAACGCCATGAGAAATTATTACATTTGGTGAAACGGAAAAGGCAACACGTTGAACATAATAAAATATTATGTATAAATAACCAAATGAATTGATAATTAACCCTGATAACAATGGCAAAATATAGACAAATTAAACGTTGTCTGAGTCATTATTTTGTTTTGTTTTGTTTTTCTCATAGTCATATTCATTTCCTTAATCTGTCTCTTCCTACATTAACAGTACAATAATTGCGAGAAGTTAATCAAAGCATCATGACTGTCTTCAACAATTCCTTAAGGTCACAATGAAAGGTTAAATCATGATCAAGTCCTTTTATAATATCCAATTGAGTTAAGGTTCTCATAATAGTGTCGACCTTGGTTGGAGAAGAGGAAGAAAAATAGCAACCTAAAGAAGAAATGAAATAAGACTTATCAATAATAATGATGATAATACAACAGCAATTTAAGGGTGTCTGTTGAGTTGGATTAGCTTACTTAGGTAATAGAGAGGGACTGGACTAACCTTGCATCGATGGCTAAATCAGTAGCTGGTTTCATTTGGATCATTGCTATTGCCTGCAAGTAAAATCAAAACACACGGAAAGATGAGAAAGCTGAGTCTTCAAGGTTACAATGATGGCTTACTTGATTAACTTGAATTTCCTTAAGTAAATCAGATTCCATAACGTTATGATATAAATAGTTAATACACTGAATCAAATAAAAGAAGATTTGTAGAGATAAGAAATACTGAACACACAAAAAGAAACCATAAATAAATCAAAACAAAGCAAAAAGTGTAACATAACGGAAGCCTTGGGGGATAGTTTCTTAATTAAAGACTGAAGAAGATGTTTTATAAAAAAACTGATGAAATTGAATTAACACTTGAAAAATGGTCTAAGGTTAATCATGATGATAATCATGAAGGATAAAATTGTTGGAGAAACATTTTCCAACTGATTCTTTAAGCAACATTCATTTTATTGTATTATTTTCACCCTTTTTTTTACTGTATATACGGTAAAACTTGCTATAAATTGTAGGTAAAATTATACTTTAACCTTAACTTTGAATTAACGTCTTTTTAACCTAACTTTATCTACCAACCTTCCTCCAAACCTTTGACCTTAATTCACCTTTCATCTTTAAAATGGTAAAAAAGTATTCCCGTTTTTTTACACTTACCTTTTACACACACAACTTACCATTTCTTAAAGTAACTTCCTTCACTTGTTTTCAATGAATCGATTCAGTTGTTTCCACTCACTGTTTTTTTTTGTTATTCACTGTCTTCTCATAATATTTAAACACCTCAATGAATCTAATTATCGTGGATCAGGTCAGTTTATTGAAAATTCATCATAGTTCTGATCATTAACCAGGAAAGTTAAAAAAAGTGTAAATGTTCAACTGTAACTATCAGACAATAACCTGTGTCTAAACTAAAGAGGTTCATTGAAGAGTTGAAAGTCAACCAGAAACCAACAAAAACCAAGACAAATGTTATTGACTTTTTCATCATAAAATGAGGTAAATAAAGGTTCAAATTAAATACTAGAAACCCACACAATTAGTACAATCATATAAAATATATAATAACAATAATTATGCACAAACCTCACCAATAACTGTCTATTTAAAATGTTTTCAGCCTACAATAAAAATCAAATTTGATAGAAGGCTAATTAATTTTTTGAACGAGACATTATGAAAACACTTGAATCTAGTCTATTCACAGTTACACCTACAGATAGCCACAATTGTAATGTTAGGCAAAAGGGTTTCAAACGAAATAGATTGACCAAAAAAACAGTTTCAACCAATTCATCAGTCATTGGTCTTTTCACCATTTCTGGTCATTTCTCGACCAATTTCCAACCATTTCTCGAGTAAAAGTATCTTTAAAGTCATTGATACAACTGACTGTTGAAACCTGAAAACCGGAATAAAATTTGATATTTCCAACCTTAAGATATAATTCAAGGTAACACCATTAAAATCCTATTCAAAGCTTTCAAACAAATTGCTACATTAAAATCAACCCAAAAATTGACAAACAATTGACTATTTAACATTATTGGCTATTAACAATACAATTTAATTTGTAGGGAATGTTGAAAATGCAAAAATCTCAATTATTTCCATCTCAATCAATTCAACTTTTCAAATGAAACTCACCTAAGTTTCAATGCAAATGTATATTCATGATTTGTTATTAATGTTGATCATTCAATATCCACTTATAAGTCAATTTTCCGCTTCAAATTTTAATCATTTTAAACAATTTAAGAGTGAAATTGAAAAGTTGATCAATAAATTCAATTTACTCGCCACTATTAATCACCGAACAGTACAAGTGTGAAATTAAATGTTAATTGTCATCTAAAAGTCAGTGTAAACCAATATGACCAGGAGAAGGGGAAAAATTAACCAGAAATTTTCAAAACATTAGACAAAGGAATCAATGGGTTCTAAAAAAGATTTTCAATTCACAGGAAAGTCAAGATTGACAAACATCTATGTAAATAGTCAGAACTTTCTTGAAGCTCAGGTTACTGACAAAAATTGAACGTGAGAAAAATATTCAAGAACAGATTGGGGAAAATCACAGAATCCGTATTTAAATACTTTAAGTGAAAGCAAAAGCATTTTGATTTGTAAACTCCTCTTTATTGTTGTGATTGTTGCAAATAGCTGGACTCGCTCATTAATTATTTATCGTTAATTTCAATTTATGTTAAATTATTAACTACAAAACCTTATATTACCAGAAAAAAACTGGAAACATTGGATTATGGCGACATTATTTACCTTTCTCTAGCCATCTTTAAAGGTGTTTATTTTCATGTAACAATAGTCTTTTCAATGCTACAGAAGTGAAGGATTTTTGGTTTTCATCTTATTTCTATTCAACATGGACAGCGTCCAGTTTAACCAATCTATTGTCCGACTACAATTTAATATTTAAATTCTGGTTAGATAAGTATTTACCAAAATTTTAACCTAAGGTTGAGAGTTGAGACTTTTTAGGTTTGTAACAGCATAAAAAGGAGATCAGATGGTAACCAGATTTTGTTGAAATCTCGTTCTTTAATTTGGGTAAAATTTAGGTTCAATTTTTTACAATAGCTTCTGTGATCAATTTACTCTTGTTGATTAATGGGAAAGTCACACAAATTTACATTAATTTTACGATTGAGTCAATTGTTGAAACGTTTAAATTGATGAAAGTTGTTTAATTTGATCAAATTGAAAATGAAATGGGTTAATTTTTTAACTCACAATCATTGATACCTTTGTTTTCAATCATTTCATTTTTTTTCATCACCATCATCATTATCATCATCTTTCCGAGTCTCTCTACTGAATTGAAGGTTTCTCATTAAAACAGTTGAATAGTTAAACTACTAACTATTGAAGATGAGAATTAATAATGATAATCGATTTCATTAGTAATCATCAAACTGTTGATCATCATCATTTTCATCATCATAGTGATCAACAAAATCATGAGAAACACTCATTCTAATCAATATCAAATCATTTTTTACAATCAAATGTTAATGTTTATTTCCTATTTTTTGTGTACCTTTCTTACCATCTCAATTAATAATCTAACTCAATTAATTTTAATCTAGTTGCTAATTGACAATGATTTTAGATTTGTTTCAACTTGTAACGTTCATCTTGCTTTATACAAGCAATTGTATTTGGTGTGGAGAGGTCACTTCACCACTTTCAGAGGATTGGTCATTTGACCAGTTGATTCCTAAAAATTATAAAAAGATGAGACCACCTCAAGTCAATGGTAAATTAAGAAATCATTGCTTACCTTTTTGATTGTTAACTGTTTCCTTAATTGCTCTTTACATCTTTAGGTGAAGCTGCCCAAGTTAATATTACATTGGCTTTAAAGCAGCTTATAGCTGCCAACGAGGCCGAACAGGTAAAATATCAATATGAATATATCAAGGTTGGTTGAAATAGCTTAATATTGTTGCCCTTTTCAAGTTAATATAATCAATTCAATTTACAGTTAATCACTTTGCTGGCTTTAAACAAAATATTCAAGATTGTGATTTTTGCTCGTTCATTTTGCCCGCTTCTTCATCATTTTATCCCGCTTTTTTTATATTGAAGTCACCATATTGTTTAATATCTAAAAGCCATTTTTATGTTTCTGTTAAATTAATTCTGTTTTTTTTGTTTGTTTGTGAATTTAATTAATTACAGTCAATTACTATGGACTTATTTTTCTACCAACGATGGGTTGATCACCGGATTCGACTACCGCAAGATTTAGACTCAATCACATTGGATTCGTCCTGGAAAAGTAAATTATGGATTCCCAATTTACATTTTGTCAACTCTCTATCCAATACACCGGTTGACTTGTTGTCTAACCCATTGTATATTGAACTGGCCAATGGAAGTCATTTTACAATGGCTACTCGTGTTATTGTTAAATTGACCTGTCATATGGATCTATTCAATTTCCCTCAGGACACTCAAATTTGCAATATTGATTTGGCCTGTGGTGAGTTTTCAAAAACAAACATGTTTCTCTCTTATGTCTAGGCTATTGTTGATTCTATCTTTTTACAATTGGACAAATTGTTCATTTTAAATAGTCTCATTATATTGATGTTCAAGGTTTGATTTGTATCTGTGTCTGATGATCATAGCATTATCATAACGACATTAAGGGAACCTAAATTAGTCCTAACTTTTATTATAATATTGAAACTGTGTCCATGACTTGAAAACCTTTTACAATGAAAAACAAGATGTATGTTGAGTAACGGTAGACAATTCACCTTTTTTTCATATTTGTTTATAATGATTCATTACTAAATTTATTACTAAATCAGCATATTATTATCAACTTCATTCGATTAGATGATCTAGTTTTTTTCATCTTTCATTTGTTTCTAAATTTCAATCGTTCACATAATCAGGGTCACTCTTAATAGCTAAATGTTGAATTATTTCAATTTGTACTGAAAAAATTTAGCCAAGTTCCGAGAAAAGTCAATTCTATATTCTGATGGACAACTGTTTAGATCATTAGACTGAAATTAAATTGAAATCTAACTCTCACTATGTGTAATTGTACAAAAGCTGATCCATTATCAACACTTGTTGGCCTAGAAACTAACCTTCCAATTTGCCATAGTATTCACTCAAGTAATAGACTAATTCAAGGTATGATAATGTTTACAATCAAAGGAAAAACCAGCTAACGATTAAATTAAGATTCAGAGTTTAGAGGGTGGTCAATGATCACCGACTAGGTCGAGGGTTATCATTGAAACGTTTATTCTCGATAAAATTTAAAGCTAAATAATGTTTTGTTCAATTTATTTTAGTTGATTGGTCCAATCGGAGTGTCAACTTTTTCCTGGACAAATTCACTATGGATGATTTGGATGATTTCCCGAAATTTGAGATAACAGATTATTTCATTGAGAAATGTTCATTCTATCGAGGACCCGATTTTCCCTGCATACGAGTTCAACTCGAGTTATTCCGCCGTATATCATATTATGCCATTAGAATCTACGGACCAAGCTGTCTTTTAACATTGACTTCATTTGTTGGTTTTTGGATTCCAGCTTTAGGATATCCTGCCAGGGTTTGTATAATCAATTCCTGAATCAGTAATTTGAACTTGAAAATTTAATTTTTTATCTTTTTTTTGCTCTTCTTTTCCTTACCGTCATTAAAGGTCGCAATTAGTGTAACACCTCTTCTAGCCTTGGTTACCCAGCAAATGCAAATCAATGCAGAAATCAATGTATCTTATGTTGTTGCCCTTCATATTTGGATGATGATACAGATCTTTTTCGTATTCATGTCACTGATTGAATACGTTTTTGCCATAGTTTACGTCCATTTAGTTGAAGAAAAGAAAGAGGTAAATTTTGGGTTGAATATTAACCAATTTTATTGTTGGCCAATTTGATTTATTGATCAATTAATTCTCATCTCAATCAGTTTTCTGTTTCACACCAACAGTATCTCCGGTCAGCCACTTATCGTCTACAGTGTACCGCCGATTCCAATAAAGTTAGCCATGCAATCAAACTGGCGTTGAATAAAATTTATGGTCCAGTTGATTGGTTCAAGAATCCATTGGATAGGAACAAAATTGATTATGTTGCAAGGGTCTTATTTCCATTAACTTATATATTATTCCTTATTATTTATGCTTCCATTTTTGTGTTCCCCTGGATGTTTTCAAAGTATCTGTGATCATTATTTTTTGTTTTACTCATTCTTTTTAATTTAGTCTTGTCTTTTTTTCATGCATCATTGTACATCGTTTTCTTTGTTATGCACCAAGACACCATTGTCATCATCATCGCAAATGCCATTGTAAAGGGTGTCTGTATAAAATTGAACAGAAGCACAATGAATTTGGTTTGAGAGCAACACAAAAACGATAAGTAACCTTTAAATCATTACCATTTTAGGCAAAGCCTTCAAATTTTATTTCAACAAGATTTATAAATTATATCATTCTCAAGCAATTTGTTGTGATAATAATGGTCACTTGATTGACTTACAATAGGTTTTTATTGTAAAAACAACAGCAAATTGCTTGAGTGTGACTCTTGTTAAAGTAAAGTCTAAATTGTATACCAAAAGATGGACATGATTTTAATTGTTCACATGTAAAAGGTTTTCTTATTATTTTGGTGCTCATCTCTAACCAATTAAATCAATCGTGCTTTAAGCTTCTTATCAATTTTATATAGACACCCTAGCCAAGCAAAATCCAAGCTGTCCAAGCCAACCGAAATCGCCAACGCCATCAATGCATCAAGAAACTATTATAAGAGTTACTCTTTTACCAATCCGTTCATCAAATTCAAGTCACCATAAAAGCTAAAGTGTGATTCATTTTTCATTTATATTCCTATTCCTGACCTTTCCCGATTTCAGAATTCATCTGACTTTATCAGTCATTAATTAGTGATACAATATTTCAAAATTTTTGAACGAGTCACTTGGTGTTCAGATATGTTGGAGTATTAATAGCTAATGGTAAAGGAATGTCTCTTGATTATTTTGTCCTGTTTAAGTTTCCTATGATCTTGCAATGCTTTTGATTGATTGGAAACAAAAATGCAATCGCTTTCAACTAGTCATCTTCAAAGTCGATCAAGTTATTTGTAAAAAATGAACAATAAGTTTAATTGAGAGTAAATTATATTCAGTTTAAACCTGTATCCAGTTTCAATCAATTTTATGGAATTTAAAAAGACTGTAATGATGAGGTAAGAATCCATTGTTTGCTGTCGCAATTGGTTCAGCCGTGTTAATCAATGTTTAAATCCATTGTTTAGAATCAAATTATGCGAGAAAGAGAGCAACAATTTTGTTTGATGAAAATTTATAATTTTGAGCTGAATAAATTAAATCACTGAAACATGAACAAAAATCTAGTTTCAAAGTCAATTGACCTTAACTGGCCTTGGTTCAAATGAAAGTAAATAGCTTTTACGATCCACCAAAGTACACAAACTGTGAAAAAAATGATATTAACCTTGGATTAAAGAGGGTTTTACGTCAAAAGCATATGATAATTATCAAAATCATTAGCAGTGGCAACGAAAGCTATGTACATTGTATTAACCATTGTACATTGTTAATTACACGAACAGTTTAACTATTTCCCTTTCGATATCACTGGATGCTTGATAGTCACAATTTCAAGCATAAATTAGATGATCCCAAAGTGAGGAAAAAACGAAACGAGAAAAGCTTTTGTTTCCAGTGAACTGCTGATTGCATTCCAAGTGCTTGAGTCTTTATGTACTGATGATAAAAATATCGTTTCTACCAGCAATATCGCAATCGTTGTGCATTGTATTATTTTCAGTTGAGTTGCCTTAAGGTGAACAACAATTAATGAGTTAATTCATTGTAAATAATCATCATTCAACTTGAAGATTATTTCTTTTCCTCCGAGTTTTTCCTTCAACTATCTTTTTCCCTCCTTTGGCTTGTTTAACCACGCATTTCGATAACAATTAACTTGCGAGTTTCACTCAAATGTAAATCCTTTTCTTGCCTTTTGCCTTTTACTAATCAATAAAATGTGTAGTCTCGCTTTCATGGTGATATCAATTGGTAATAACACGATATTCAGTTTCTTAATTTTCCATGATAATTTCTAGGAGCAATGTAAATGGACAATTTTGATTTCCATGCCAGCCGCAATCAACGATAAATCCTTCGTTTGATGACAAATGATTGTGAATTGTTGTGTACTTGAAGAAGCAAATTATTGTCAAATTTTTGTAATGAGTTAAACTGGTCAAAGAGAAATAAAAAAATAAGGAAACATTAATCATAAATATGAATCAATCCTTGGTCTATTGAACGAGAAATTAAGTGAAATCACGTTTTCAGCAAATTAACCATCATTCTCTCTCTTGCCACTAGGCGATTAAGATTTGCCATTGATTATTTAATTTACGTAATGCTAATCACCATTATGAAAATCAGCATAGAAAGAACCAGATTTGGGTTTGTGATTAAGTTGAAACATAATTTAATTCATCCAAGGACTCAATAACCACAAGGAGAGACTCGGTTGCTGTTTGCATTGCTTTCCTCTCTCCAGGCCACATTCAACCTTGTAACAAGTAATTTAAATGATTACATGATCAGTGTGCTTTTTCACCATTGAAAATTCATCCATTCCTCTGCAAATATAAGAGAAGAAGAAGAAAAATTCATTAAGTTCTCCTTATAACTGGTCAAACAAAATTAAAAGTTAATGTTGAAAAGAAAGTGAAATCAATAAAATGATTGGCAACAGTAACAAATGTTGGATACAAAAGCACACAAAAGCCAACCATTATTTAAATTGAGTTCAATAAAGAATGGTTATGATGATAAAATAACAATAGAGTAACGTGGTTGTAATGAACTAAAAAGTAAAAGTGCTTTTTGGTGAAAGAAAAAGGAGTAAATAAGAAATGGTTTCGAGGTTGGTTAATTAATGAACTAGCTTCTAAAATTGCGGTCAGTTTAACTTGTAATCTTATTTACACGGCTTAGGTTCTGTTTACTTGGTTTGCAGAAGAAATCTTGTTCATCATGATCGTCATCGTCGTCCAATTTTCATCAGTTTCTTCTTCTTTGGTTTACCTCATCATTTCCTTTGCTTGTTTTACACGATAAAATGAAATCAGACAATGGATTCAAATTAATGTTTGCTCAACACTAATACAAAAGAAAGTAAAAAAGGTAAAGTAAGTTAGGAACAAATTGAAAGTTGAATTACAGAAAGGTTAAATTGTTTTAAAGTGAAAGTCAAGTCAAGCTCATATATACAGTGCAACTTGAGTCAATCATGGTAACCAATTTGATATAATTTAAGGTCAAGTGAAAGATCTGGTCCATCTAATCATCGATTCTCGTCTATCCTCCGCCACACCTTGCTCATCCTTTTGGGCTAGGATCATTTGAGCCAAAACCAGCAAAGCAAAAGACCACCAAGTCAAGACCAAAACAGCAAATGTAAATAAACCAAATAAAGCCAATCAAGTGAATTGAGATGACCAGAAGGGTTCCACTGTTTCACGTCTTGAAATGCTCGATGTTGGATTAAAATATCTCAACATACATCACCATTGCTAATACTTTAAGTTATGAAGCCTTTAACATAAAGAGTCTGATAACTTGACGTGAGTCCTGTTCAGTAGCAACCATGTAAACGTTTTTACCCGAACTGAATATTGTACTCAATGGACACCAAATATAATTGTATCTCCTATTATTTTAATTTACTCTACTTAGTTGATTTAAACCATTACGATATTGTCTTTTGCTTTTTTGAATTTTGCTCGAATGGCCCTCGACCTCATTTTTCCTTTCAGATTTTGTCCTCGTCTTTCTCATTGGAAAAAATATCCGTTCTGCTCCAAATTGTTGATAATCCATTGCGGCGCAAATTGCAAAGTATTCAGATAAAAACAGACTTAGATTAATTTTAGACAAAATTATAAGAGTGGTTTCAACAGAATGTGATACTAAAATTCAAATCATATCAATTCATTTTCAACCAAATTCAATAGGGAAATCAAAGGGCAAAAAACAAAAAGCTATGTAATGACTTACTTTATTTTGACAAATCTAGGCAAGGCGATAGGGCTTAAAATTAATCAGATGGCGGACTAATGGGTTAGATATTAAAGTTGATTGACCTGTTCTTTGGTCCATCGCACCAATTGATTAGTTTAATGGCCTCAGATGATTGAAGTTGTTGCAAAACAAAGGCGAAATCAATATAGCTGATGCAACAAGACTTTGAACCGTTTGCTCATTTTGACTCTTCATCATTTGCTAGTGAAATCTTTAAGGCGCTAATTTTCAATCTACTAACCACATGCCTGCAAATTGTCATTATGTAATATTTATAATTAAACCAACTCTTAATGTAAATTTATTAATACTCAATTAAAATCAGCATTAATTATTATTTTCAATGAGCAAATTGCTCTTCTTTCAATGTTACAGCTGAAACATTGTTGAACAAAACGCTTTTGCTTTCATGTATAAATCATACAAACGTAACAATTAAACAAATGTGACAATCTGTGACAATTAGATTGCAACAATCAGTCAAAATTAATGAGGATAACAAGTTGTGTGTTAACTTGATTCATCTTCACTCATAAAAAAGCTATTACCCGACTTAGTCAGGTAAAGTTAAAGGTAAATGGTACCAATTATATCAATAAATTGTCTTCTTATTTTATTGCACTAATTGTCGCCTTGTCTTAGCATTTGTTTTCATAGTTCAGGTCACTCATTGATTCATCTTTACTCGTTTAATTCCCTGTTCATCGACAATTTGATTTCTTATTATAATTATATTAACTGTAACTACAGTTGACCTAACAAGGCAAAGAGGAGTCCAATTAACTTTGAAACCTTATTATAATCTGATTGATCAACTAGCAACACAACCTTCACTGAATCAACATCAGACAACAGCATTTACAATAATCTCAAACTGAGTAATAATAATAATAAAGATAATTCAGTTTTTTTTGCCGTACGATGACCTGTTTTTGACCCACAATCATGGTTCATGGTTGATGTGAATATGTTTCTGAATAGAGTTGATTGTTTTCAAATTGTAGTTTGACTTGTGTGAATGTGTTAAACACTGACCTTTCCAACATTACAATACGCTAACTTGAAAGATCAAGTATCAAAATGAAAACAATTATCAACCGTATTAATCAGTAATCTTGACATCAGCTTAACATGCTATTAACAGCTATTGGTCTAATAAAACATGCTCTGGTTATAGCTATTCATTTTGATTAAAAACACTTAAATAATGTGTATTATTAATCTAATATTTGTGGATATAATAACCATTATGAATGAAAGAAACGACATCTACCATGTAAATGATAAGCATAATGTTCATTTTGACTTTCATTCAAGCAACCTTGAAAATTATGTAAATTTATTAATTATCTTGAGTTATGATTAGCATGAAAAATCATGTTGATAAACTCAACAAATAACCGGATCATTTTGACAACCATTAAAAGGTTAACAATCAAGAGCAACAATATTAAAGATTACTCTTGTAAAGCCAATTGAGACACTGACCAACATCTTTTACTTACCAACTCATCTCTTTTTTGCAATCTTAACCACAATAAAGGTTATAAAAGTGAATGGGTTAAAGGTACTAGGGGGAGGGTATGAGCTTAAACTAAGGTGAGATAATTAGAGGACAATTCAAAATTACAGTTGCAATAGGTAAACCTGAAGATTCTTAATTTTCATGTTGCAATTAAAATAAAAAATTTGAAATCTAATCGCAATGGTGCGTCGCCTAGTGCTGATTATTCAAACTAACACTCTAGACACTGGGCATGTGTTAATGGTTCTCCATCTATTCAAGAGTAATTCAAATGCCCCTTCAAATTATAGTTACCACTTTGCGTTCATCTGTTACCAAATTTGCAACCCACTCTCTTGGAAAGGTAATACGTACACAAAAAAATACTTTTTGTTCAGTTACATTACAATCTAAAATGACATCAAGTTTAACTGCAGTGAAAACCTATGAGCGTTTACCAAAAAATGTGATCCCTCAACTGTACAAGTTGGAACTTACCCCCAACCTGGAGAATTTTACTTTCACTGGAAAAGAGGATGTCGAGGTTTCAATTAAAGAGAGTACAAATCAAGTTATCCTCAATGCAAGTCAGCTTGAGGTTCAAGAGGCGTTATTCAAAGACCCATCTGGCAGTAAGTTTTGATTTTATTTATGCTATCTATTGCTGATTCAATTATATAATGTCATTCTCTTTTTATGGCATTTAAAGGTACTTTAAAAGGAAACGTCACGCTTGATACAAAGGATGAAAAAGTATTGATCAAATTCGATGAAAGCTTGAAGATTGGCTCTGGTACCCTTTCAATAGCCTTTTCGGGTATTCTTAACGATCAAATGAAAGGTTTTTACCGTAGTAAATATACAACCCCTTCTGGAGAAGAGCGATATGCAGCAACAACTCAATTTGAAGCTCCTGATGCTCGTAGAGCATTCCCTTGTTGGGACGAACCTGCATTCAAAGCGCAATTTGAAGTTACACTTATCGCTCCTAAAGATCGAACAGTGCTATCTAATACCGAACCAGTTCAGCAAGTCCAACACCCTGACAACGCTAATTTGCAAATTGTTAAATTTGCTCCAACGCCCATCATGTCAAGTTATCTACTTGCTTTCATTGTCGGGGAATACGATTTCTTGGAAACAATCACTAAGAATAAAACTCGAGTTCGTATTTACACACCAGTTGGAAAAAAAGAACAAGGTCAATATGCATTGGAAATTGCCTCAAAATCTTTAACTTTCTTTGAGGATTATTTCAACATTCCTTTTCCTTTAAGCAAATTGGACCATATCGCTATTCCTGATTTTGCATCTGGCGCAATGGAGAACTGGGGTTTGGTAACTTATAGAGAGGTTCGGATTTTGACTGATCCAAAGAATACCTCAGCAATAAACCGTGAGCAAACGGCAATTACTATTGCCCATGAAACTGCTCATCAGTGGTTTGGTAATTTAGTTACAATGGATTGGTGGACTGATCTTTGGCTCAATGAGGGTTTCGCTTCTTTCATGGAATACCTAGCAGTAGATAGTATACATCCTGAATTTGATATTTGGTCACAATTCGCTTCATATGCAGCTCTCCCAGCACTTAAACTTGATTCACTTCGTGATAGTCATCCAATTGAAGTTCCCGTTGCTCATCCTGATGATATTGATTCGATTTTTGACTTGATATCTTATGAAAAAGGAGCTTCCATTATCAGAATGTGTCATGACTGGATCGGTGATGAGGTAAATTTTCTTTAAACTCAGTATTTTCTTCAGTTTTATGACCGCTGGCTTCTAAGTGAACTACCGGGGCAAACAATTAAATTTACATTTTAAACGATTGGTTCAATATAGTGTTTCCCCTTTAGCCTCTCTCCTTTTCGCTTTAGATATGCCCTTCACCAGCTTGGGCTAATTATTCAAACTGAAAAATTTAATTCTTTTCCCTTGTAGTTCACATGCATGTCAAAACTCCCAAAAGTCAAAAAACTCTATGGAGTACTGTAATTTATTATTTTGCAATATCTTGAACTTTTCTATGAGTTGGCAGTTGGTGAAAAACTGTTTAGTTTTGAAGTTGAACTGACGTAGAAGGGATAGAAAGAAAGGAGAAAGAGCATTTGCGTAATTTATATGAGTGTAACCAATTATTTCTGCAACTATTACAATTTTGCTAGTGTTATAAATTGTCACTGAGATTCGTCATCAACTCACCTTTGTTCATATTTCTTCACCTAGATTTATCTTGAAGAATTAACTTGTTAATTTGTTATTAAGAATACTCTTTGCAACCACTTATATGCAAGCTTTTCATGAACAAGTACCAACAAGTTGTTATATTCAATCGTAACTTGTTTGATCAGAATCCAAAGAAATTTTACAATGTATTTCTGTTGCTTGAAACGGTAAGAGTAAAGACAAACGCTTGTAGTAGACTTGAAATCCACTGTTGGAATTGTGAAGAGACAATCTTCTAATTAGTATTTACTTCTAAGCAGCTAAGTAAGTAATTAGGATGATCAGTTAATCCACTGCAGTTTATTGAATCTGATTCTTCAAAGAATATATCTCTAACTTTATTAGCTTCCTTTCCTGTTGTAACTTAATTTCGATTATATGATCAACTTATCTGAAATTTATGGCTATGATTATTGTATGATTACATATCATATTACGTTTGTATATTTTTTAATTATATTTGAATTTTTTTTAACATTTTCAGGCATTCCGTAAAGGATTACACAATTATCTAACTAAACATGCTTACAAAAACGCAGTTACTCAGGACCTTTGGGATGCTCTTGAAGAAGTTAGTGGTAAACCCGTCGGTAAAGTCATGGGGTATTGGACCAAACAAAAAGGTTATCCAGTTATAAAAGTTGAATCTAAACAAGATGGCAATAATAGAATTATCAAACTAACGCAAAGAAAGTTCACAGTGGACGGAACGCTAAATGACGAAGAAAGCAAGGCTCAATGGATGGTACCAATCACTATCATCACTTCTCAGGACCTTAATAAAGTTGCTTTATCAGCTCTTATGACAGAAAAATCGACTGAAATAACCTTACCTAATGTTACTGCTGACACTTGGGTTAAGCTCAATCTTAGATTAAATGGATTCTATCGTGTACAATATTCAGCTGAAATGTTGAAAGCTTTAGCACCAGCAATTTCAACTAAGCAGTTAGCGCCAATCGACCGTTTACAAATCCTTGATGATCAATTTGCCTTACTTATGGCTGGCCAAGTCTCGAGTGCACAATTTCTTGAATTGCTTAGCTCATATGCTAATGAAGATAACTACGTAACCTGGGTTGCTATTGATAATTGTATCAGTAAATTAGATTTACTATTATCTTACACTGACCTGTCTGAGAAATTCGCAAAGTTTGGTATTAATTTCTATTCTAAAATTTACAATGAGCTTGGTTTTGATATTAAAGACGAAAAATCTCATACCGAGAACCTTCTCCGATCATTGGTTTTGCTCCGTTTGGCTAAATTTAAGTATGCTCCAGTTATCGAGGAGTCAATCAAAAGATTTAAAGCTCATGTTGCTGGTACACCAATTCACCCTGATATAAGAAGCTCTGTTTATAGAGCCGTTGCATCTTCTTGTGATGATGAAACTTTCAATACCTTTTTCAAATTGTATCGTGATACTGATTTACATGAAGAAAAAGTTCGATTAATTCAATCAACTGGAAGTTCTGGTGACCTTGCTAGGATTCGGCAACTTCTTAATTTCACTTTTTCACCTGAAGTAAGAAGCCAAGACGCTTGGAGAGTATTTATTTGTACTGTTGGAACTAAATTAGGTCGTGAAGAAGCCTGGAAGTTTTTCAAAGATAACGCAGACGAGTTTAAAAGAAGATATGGTTCTCATATGGCTAATGCATTCGTGATTGAACATCTTACTAATGGTTTTGCTTCTGAAGAAAAATATAAAGAAGTTGAATCATTTTTCTTACAAAATTCTTTCTCTGGCCATGAAAAAGTGGTTCTTCGAAGTTTGGAAACGATAAAAACACACGCTGATTGGTTAAAGCGGGAAACTGATAGTGTCAGAAACTTTTTGGAATCGATTTAAAAGTCATTGAAAGACGTGTTCTTTTTGCCTTTTTACTACACCTAACCTTTTACAGCGCAATTAATGGTTGAAATTGAACAAAAAATAATTTTGATGGATAACAAATTTTAACATTAGATCCAACAATTCTCCACTAGATCATGAAATTTGATAAATTTATAGTCCATTTATAACATACTTGATTGAATTGAAATACGAAATAAATTCAAAAAGATTGAACAAGAGATTTGAATAATTGCGGTTTTAAAAATTCTTAAAATTCAAAGGGTTACATTGGTGTTGTTCAAATTTGTTTGAAGTGCTGTTATAAAATAAAACAAAATAATTGTCAGTCAATTACTTTCCTGGTTTATACAATTGAACTTACCTGGGAATTTTGAAACTCATAATAGAGATTGAAAAGGTTTGGTTGAATTTTCTGTCTTGGTAGTTTCTGAACCTGATTGCTTCACACTGTGAAGTTCACAGTGACTTCTTTACCCATCGTCCTTTACTTTAAATTCAATAGAGCTACGTCCGATTGATTTCGAGAAGAAGGTTCATCAATAATTGTTAAGCCTAAACTATCATCGACCTTATCCGGCCTTGGTACCTATAATCAAATTATATCGTGCATACACATTTAGTTTGTTACCTGCTAAGATTTAAAGCCTTAACTAACTTACTTTAATGAACCATCAATATCTCAGACAGCAGCGTCTTTACTGTGATTGGTTTAAATCGTGTGTTAAATTAACGCTCCTCCTTGTGTTAGTGTAACTAGACTGTTACCACAATATGTTTTGAATTTCTGTCTCTTGAGTAAAAAAAATGCCCCTTGAATTATAGTTACACTTTACACTGTCCCACTTTGTGTTCAAATGACCACGAGTTTAACTGCAGTGAAAACCTACGAGCGTTTACCTAAAAATGTGATCCCTCAACTGTACAAGTTGGAACTTAACCCTAACCTGGAAAATTTTACTTTCACTGGAAAAGAGGATGTCGAGGTTTCAATTAAAGAGAGTACAAATCAAGTTATCCTCAATGCAAGTCAGCTTGAGATTCAAGAGGCGTTATTCAAAGATCCATCTGGCAGTAAGTTTTGATTTTATTTGATGCTATCTATTACTGATTCAATTATATAATGTCATTCTCTTTTTATGGCATTTAAAGGTACTTTAAAAGGAAACGTCACGCTTGATACAAAGGATGAAAAAGTATTCATCAAATTCGATGAAAGCTTGAAGATTGGCTCTGGTACCCTTTCAATAGCCTTTTCGGGTATTCTTAACGATCAAATGAAAGGTTTTTATCGTAGTAAATATACAACCCCTTCTGGAGAAGAGCGATATGCAGCAACAACTCAATTTGAAGCTCCTGATGCTCGTAGAGCATTCCCTTGTTGGGACGAACCTGCATTCAAAGCGCAATTTGAAGTTACACTTATCGCTCCTAAAGATCGAACAGTGCTATCTAATACCGAGCCAGTTCAGCATGTCCAACACCCTGACAAAGCTCATTTGCAAATTGTTAAATTTGCTCCAACGCCCATCATGTCAAGTTATCTACTTGCTTTCATTGTCGGGGAATACGATTTCTTGGAAACAATCACTAAGAATAAAACTCGAGTTCGTATTTACACACCAGTTGGAAAAAAAGAACAAGGTCAATATGCATTGGAAATTGCCTCAAAATCTTTAACTTTCTTTGAGGATTATTTCAACATTCCTTTCCCTTTAAGCAAATTGGACCATATCGCTATTCCTGATTTTGCATCTGGCGCAATGGAGAACTGGGGTTTGGTAACTTATCGAGAGGCTCGGGTTTTGGCTGATCCAAAGAATACCTCAGCAATAAACCGTGAGCAAACGGCAATTACTATTGCCCATGAAACTGCTCATCAGTGGTTTGGTAATTTAGTTACAATGGATTGGTGGACTGATCTTTGGCTCAATGAGGGTTTCGCTTCTTTCATGGAATACCTAGCAGTAGATAGTATACATCCTGAATTTGATATTTGGTCACAATTCGCTTCATATGCAGCTCTCCCAGCACTTAAACTTGATTCACTTCGTGATAGTCATCCAATTGAAGTTCCCGTTGCTCATCCTGATGATATTGATTCGATTTTTGACTTGATATCTTATGAAAAAGGAGCTTCCATTATCAGAATGTGTCATGACTGGATCGGTGATGAGGTAAATTTTCTTTAAACTCAGTATTTTCTTCAGTTTTATGACCGCTGGCTTCTAAGTGAACTACCGGGGCAAACAATTAAATTTACATTTTAAACGATTGGGTTCAATATAGTGTTCCCCTGTAGCCTCTCTCCTTTTCGCTTTAGATATGCCCTTCACCAGCTTGGGCTAATTATTCAACTGAAAAATTTAATTCTTTTCCCTTGTAGTTTACATAAATGTCAAAACTCCCAAAAGTCGAAAACTCTATGGAGTACTGTAATTTATTATTTTGCAATATCTTGAACTTTTCTATGAGTTGGCAGTTGGTGAAAAACTGTTTAGTTTGAAGTTGAACTGACGTAGAAGGGATAGAAAGAAATGAGAAAGAGCATTTGCGTAATTTATATGAGTGTAACCAATTATTTCTGCAACTATTACAATTTTGCTAGTGTTATAAATTGTCACTGAGATTCGTCATCAACTCACCTTTGTTCATATTTCTTCACCTAGATTTATCTTGAAGAATTAACTTGTTAATTTGTTATTAAGAATACTCTTTGCAACCACTTATATGCAAGCTTTTCATGAACAAGTACCAACAAGTTGTTATATTCAATCGTAACTTGTTTGATCAGAATCCAAAGAAATTTTACAATGTATTTCTGTTGCTTGAAACGGCAAGAGTAAAGACAAACGCTTTCTCTATTTTGCCTTCCATTATTTTGTCTTTTGCCGTTTTGTACTTTTCGGTTTTGAGCACGCACCAAATAAGTAATTAGGATTAGTTAATCCACTGCAGTTTTTTGAATCTGATTCTTCAAAGAATATATCTCTAACTTTATTAGCTTCCTTTCATGTTGTAACTTAATTTCGATTATATGATAAACTTATCTGAAATTTATGATTACATATCATATTAAGTTTGTATATTTTTTAATTATGTTTGAATTTTTTTTAATATATTTTCAGGCATTCCGTAAAGGATTACACAATTATCTAACTAAACATGCTTACAAAAACGCAGTTACTCAGGACCTTTGGGATGCTCTTGAAGCAGTTAGTGGTAAACCCGTCGGTAAAGTCATGGGGTATTGGACCAAACAAAAAGGTTATCCAGTTATAAAAGTTGAATCTAAACAAGATGGCAATAATAGAATTATTAAACTAACGCAAAGAAAGTTCACAGTGGACGGAACGCTAAATGACGAAGAAAGCAAGGTTCAATGGATGGTACCAATCACTATCATCACTTCTCAGGACCTTAATAAAGTTGCTTTATCAGCTCTTATGACCGAGAAATCGACTGAAATAACCTTACCTAATGTTACTTCTGACACTTGGGTTAAGCTCAACCTTAGATTAAATGGATTTTATCGTGTACAATATTCAGCTGAAATGTTGAAAGCTTTAGCACCGGCAATTTCAACTAAGCAGTTAGCGCCAATCGACCGTTTACAAATCCTTGATGATCAATTTGCCTTACTTATGGCTGGCCAAGTCTCGAGTGCACAATTTCTTGAAATGCTTAGCTCATATGCTAATGAAGATAACTACGTAACCTGGGTTGCTATTGATAATTGTATCAGTAAATTAGATTTGCTATTATCTTACACTGACCTGTCTGAGAAATTCGCAAAGTTTGGTATTAATTTCTATTCTAAAATTTACAATGAGCTTGGTTTTGATATTAAAGACGAAAAATCTCATACCGAGAACCTTCTCCGATCATTGGTTTTGCTCCGTTTGGCTAAATTTAAGTATGCTCCAGTTATCGAGGAGTCAATCAAAAGATTTAAAGCTCATGTTGCTGGTACACCAATTCACCCTGATATAAGAAGCGCTGTTTATAGAGCCGTTGCATCTTCTTGTGATGATGAAACTTTCAATACCTTTTTCAAATTGTATCGTGATACTGATTTACAAGAAGAAAAAGTTCGATTGATTCAATCAACTGGAAGTACTGGTGACCTTGCTAGGATTCTTCAACTTCTTAATTTCACTTTTTCACCTGAAGTAAGAAGCCAAGATGCTTGGAAATTTATTATTGGTACCGTCGGAACTAAATTAGGTCGTGAAGAAGCCTGGAAGTTTTTCAAAGATAACGCAGACGAGTTTAAAAGAAGATATGGTTCTCATATGGCTAATGCATCCTTGATTGAACATCTTACTAATGGTTTTGCTTCTGAAGAAAAATACAAAGAAGTTGAATCATTTTTCACACAAAATTCTTTCTCTGGCCATGAAAAAGTGGTTCTTCGAAGTTTGGAAATGATAAAAACACAAGATGATTGGTTAAAACGTGAAACTGATAGTGTCAGAAACTTTTTGGAATCGATTTAAAAGTCATTGAAAGACGTGTCCAAAGGATTACATTGGTGTTGATCAAATTTGTTTGAAGTGCTGTTATAAAATAAAACAAAATGATTGTCAGTCAATTATTTTCGTGGTTAATACAATTGAACTTACCTGGGAATTTTGAAACTCATAATAGAGATTGAAAAGTAGATGCAGTGAAGCAATTTTTGACTGATGGATAGGGATGTCCAGAAGAGCTAGATAATTAGACGTTAAAGATAAATTAATTTCATTTAAATTTTCTGTATTCAAGAAACTCACAACAAATTATTGTAACATATTGATCAAGAGTGACATCCAATTCTGCCGTTGGTAAATTGAAATTGGAAAGAGCCGATTCAACTGATGGATCCCATTCTTGCATCAACTGTTCAACATCTGGTAATCGAGCTGAGGAAATCAATGGTATATTTGTCGCTATCGAAGCAGTCGTTTCATGTAAAAGTTTTATTGAATCAATCCATGAATCAATATCTTTGGTTGAATTTGCCGTCTTGATAGTTTCTGAACCTGATTGCTTCACAGTGACTTCTTTACCCATCGTCCTTAACTTTAAATTCAATAGAGCTGGGTCCGATTGATTTCGAGAAGAAGGTTCATCAATAACTGTTAAGCCCAAACTATCATCGACCTTATCCGGCCTTGGTACCTATAATCAAATTATATCGTGCACACACATTTAGTTTGATATCTGCTAAGATTTAAAGCCTTATCTGACTTACTTTAATGAAACCATCAATATCTCCGACAGCAGGTATATAATCGGGAATAAAAGGTTCCAATCTCATGTCCAAGTCGATGATTTGAGGAGAGTAAAGAGTTATATAATTAAATAAATTTCTGACTTCTGAAGAAACTCTCAAATCCTTGAATTCTTGAGGATCATAAGCCCTATAATCGTGTATAATAGCCAAAAGGGTGAAATATTAATAGATCATCACAATTAAATAATATCGAAAAATGCTTCAGAGAAACAACTTACCCAACTATTTCGGCCTGTTCATCTTCATCTTCTCCATCCTCTTCCTCATCGTCTTCATCGTCATCATCTTCTTCATCGTCAATCTCTTCCTTATTTGGGTGCAAATCAATTTTTGACATTTCAACGAATAAAATTAATCAAATGAACAATCTATTGTTTGATAAAATTAGAGAAGCTAAGAGTTTGTTATTGTGAAGAGATGATCAGCAAAAGACTGATCTCCATGGTTTCATTGGACAAAACAAAGATGGAATTAATCATTCTCCAAGTTACCTTGAACTGAAGCTTGATTTCAAATGAAATTCGGCAGAAATTCATATTAAAAATTCACTATTTTACCATCTATATTGGGTTTAAATCAAAATTTGATTATCTGACTGTCTTTAAACTATGGATATGCATTTTCATTTGTCATTATCATAAATAATAATTGTTCGAGGCTTCGGTTTTAATCGATCAACCGATCAAGAATTTAGTAAAGAAAATATTTTGCTGATTTAAAAACAGAATTTATTTTGTATTGCTATCAATATATAAATATGGCGAATTATTTAATAACTCTTAGTCGTTGCGTTTTAATCCACAAGGTCTTCGAAATTCTTGACCGCGTTCGTGAAACCATTTATTTGACACCCATTTTGATCCAACTAACACGGGACAAGCTGCATGTCGTGTTAACAAATCACCATCTCCGCTTGGATGAAGATTGTACCAAAAAGCTGCAGATCCTTTTTCAGGCCAAAGAGCCAGTTCGAGTTGAGGGAAAACAGTTGCTCCTCCGGCTTCAACATTGGACATATAATTTAACCAAGTTGATATTCTGTTTCCAGTCCCAAGGCTTGCAAATGGGTCCGCTTTGTGATAGTCCATTTCTCTTTGAGTAGCGAAATCAAAATGAGGTTCATAATGGCCTCCAATACCGTAGTTGACAACTTGGAGTTCCTCTGCGGTATCGACTGTTAGTCCTGTTATATCTTCAATCCGTTGATTAACTCTATCAACAACTTCGTGATCTGATCCTTTTAACCAGGCACTTTTGCTTATTCGGTAATTTGCTGCTTCCAACTGTCCAGTTTTGTGATTTTGTACAGTTGCTCGCTTTAATCGTGGAAGAGCTAACTGTTTGACTGTTTCAATTTCATTATCAGACATGATGCCATGATAAATCAAAATGGCTGGTTTGTTGTAAGCCTGTTCAACTTTGACTCTCATCAAACGCAAATATGGATGCTTATTAGTTGTATTCAAATAAAAGCAAGTTAAGGTTTTGGCAATTCTGGGCGGTAGAACAGTTTCCCCACGGCAAAGAGCTTCATATGATTGTCTTTCAATGGATGTTGAAGAATCACCAGCTGATATATTTTCATCAATGGGAACATCATCATCACCAACATCTCCTCGTAATTTTGCTTTGCCGTTTTTACCCAATGACTCTTCGTAATAAATCTTATTTCCAATAGCTCTAGGATGATTAGGAACTAATTTTAGAAGCTCTGTTGTTAATTTCAAAGCGTGTCGAACGTTGCCTCGGCGAAATGTTGAGAAAGCAAGATATTCAAGAATTTCTGCTTTATCTGCTGTTTTCACCACTTCATCTTCCCAGCGATCCGCAGCTTCTTGCATCCAAAGGATTGTATGATAATGGTCACCATTTACATAAGAATATCTTCCAAGTTCGAAGCAGTCTCCGGCGCTCAATTCCATTTTCTTTGGTGATACTAAAGTAGCTGGCGAGTTTTCATTATTAAATTGTTGAGTATATGATGGCTGCTGAGCAATACGAATTTCACCTCGAGCTAAGCTTGATGTATCCAATTTATAAGTATCTTGAAGCCGCAAAAGCGCATCAGCTGCTCCATTGAAATCTTCGGTTGAAGGAAACGTTTCTCCGCTTGAATTTTGTACTCGACTGACTGATTGTTTACCAATTTCATAGGACTTTTCGATCAATGCCTCAGCTAAAATAAAATGAAAATAAAAAAATTAGTTCAAGAGATCAGATACACGGAAAAAAAACTTTGACTTAAAGAATGCTGATACGTTAAATATCGATAGGATCATAGTTTCATAATGATTAAGTGTTCATGCTAAGTGCAATTCTAATGAAAATCTAATGAATGGGTTAAAAACAAATGTTTCCTAACAGAGTAATTGGTACAAATAAATTGAAGAGATTGTTGAAACGTAAGAAACCCTAATCAGTAAAAAATGCTGAGTTAACTACTTTACCATGTTTCCAATCCGAAGTAAGTGTTTTGACAAGAAGAAATGCATTAACAGGGTTGGCCAAATATGAGTGGACATCTTGACTAGCAATTGACTCTATGGAAGCAAATTTTTCTCGTATATTTTGCAATTGTCTTAAACGTCGCTCTTCACCAATTAGATAATAATCTAATGAAGATACAATTAGTCTTTCAATTTCAAGAAGTTTTTCCAAATCCACTAAGGCTGTAAAAACCTCTCCATTTACATTGAATCCAAAAATTGACACAAATAACAAAAGCTTGGTGAACTGAAAAGGCCAGCTTCCATAAAGTATAGAGACCTTCATTTTAGTTGTACAAAAAGGTAAGAATAAATTAATCCAAAAATTATGAATTGATGAACACTTTGAGTCCTTAATGTGATGACAAATTCACTGATCCATTATGACTGACATCTTAAAAAAAAGAAAAAAAACATCATTGAATTACATAGAGATATTTCGCATTTTCACAGTATTTCTCGCTGTAAACAGCCATTGTGTACAAATGAAAAATGTAAACAAAGTAAACAACTTGACTTACCTCGCTATAATCGAAACACATTTTAAACAAATTAATTTATATTCACTGATTGTTAAGGCAAGACAGTAGATAGTTAATTACCAATAAAGTTTACATCTTAAATTATTAAAATACAAGAAGACCAAAAAAATATCAAAGAAGTTAACCAGGAGGAGTTTAGAGTTTGGAGTTATGGATCTCAAGACGCAGATGTAAGATGGTGGATGAAGATAAACACACAGATGGAAAACAAGTGTAATTTTAGTATCGAGAGATTTTTTCAAAAACAGAATAAAGATTCACTAGAAAATAGATAAATTAATGAAAAACCATGCAAAGTCGCAAAATTTTCTTATAAGCAGTAGCAAGATTCAACCCAAGCTTTTCAATCAGCTTTAACAACAAAAAAACTGAAAACTTTGTCACAAAGTAGAGCCAATAGTTATAGCTCTCGAACAGCTATGAATTAGAGTTGAAATGACCAGAAAAATTTACTTGATCAAGAAATGAATTAGTTAATAAATAATAAAAAAAATATGGCAAAGATAAAGATTAAAACCTCTTCAATGTACCAAAGGCTTACAGAGTAAGTTTACTAGCGTCACTCACTGGGTATTGCTGGTAGTCCATTGCAAACCGTTCATTGAACGAGAAGCTATTCTGATGAGGAAAGGCTTCCGATTCCATCCAAGCATGGATTCTCTTACCATGGTTTTAACCATTTCCTTTATCCACTTGTTTATTCACTTCAGCTTTATATCCTTAGGAGTGGCAAGCTTTTTTGTTTCAAGCTTCCGGAATAGCTAAGAAAACGTTTCAACTCAGAATGGCTTAGATTAAGTTAATTAATCTCGTCTTTTCACACATTATGTTGTCACCAAAGTCAACGGCCTGACTTGTTTTGTATCAGGTCTATGAGTGAAAAAAGCCACCAAAGCCAGATCAGTCTTTCATCTAATGGTCAGAACTTACAATCACATGGTAAATTTAAATAATGAATAATCCTGATTGTTGGCTATTTTAAACTGAATTTGATGTGTTTCAGGGTGAGACATTTGACTATTCAAAAAGCCCATTCAGAAAAAATGTAGGCAAGTTTTTAATGAGGAAACTTAACCATTATTTTGGCATTGTTTAGCTTTCATCAGTGATTGGGTTCAGTTTTCAATTGAATAAATGTCGGTGTAATAAACATCATTTTGGTGAATAAAAAAGCGTTTATAACAAAAATCTGAGGGAGCAACTTTTCTGGTCCAAGTAAGAGGAAGAAAGATGGAAGGAAAGAGAAATTGGGAGCAGCTTTAAATGGGAGAGAGAGAGTTGTGTAAGGTTTTTTTTCATTTTGAACTCCCAAAACTGTCCTTAAGAAGTTTCTTTTATTCTTTAAGATCATTCAATGATTAAGTATCATTCTCATCGCTATCAATTCCATCTTAGTCATGTTCAATCTTATTCCATGTGCAAGTCATTCACATCACTATTATCATCTTAATCATCACCAATAATCAAAATCAAATTGTCAAGCTTACGGTGAAAGAAAAAGTGAAAAGCGTTTAGCTTTGAAAACAAACCCAAAGTCATCAGTTCAACTTTATATTTTCTCTGTTCATGTTGACTTCTCTGGATTCAGTTATGGTTCATTGTTCGGTGTGTCAGTCAAAGTGTTCTCTTAATTTGTTCAATTGTTCAAAATCTTAATAAATAACTTCTAATTGATACCATTGTGGTCCATCAATCAGTGGAAAGTTTAAATTGTGTAAAGCCTTTTCATCTATTTATTTGGTTCTCCTAAAAATCTACTCTTTCGATGGTTTTTTACCTCCGTTGGATTAAATGAGAAACTCTAATCATCTCTGGTTTTGTGTTAATCAATTATGCTACAAAATTTTTATCAACCAACAATTTGTATCAATCACACTAAAATAAATTTCCTTCTGTTAACTATTCTGATTATTTGGCCCTTTACCTCAGGAACCATTCAAACAAAGGTAAATATAACCAAAATATCAGTCAACAGTTTAAAGTAAGTTTATGCTTTTGCAATGTTATTCAGTGATCATGATTTAGAGATTTCGGTAAATATGATTACCAGATTATTACATGGTTATATTGTTTTGAATACTAAAAATTTGGTCACCCAAAATTTTAAGAAATCTGAAAATAAACCAGTAATCGTTAGTGAACTTTGTTATTTCATTTGCTTTTACTTTTACTTTTCTTTTCGAATCAGATTGCAATTCTAATTTCTCAGACCGATTTATAGTCTTCCAGTTTCAATTTGGCTCTTCACTACTTTAATCTCAACTATCATGATCTTCTTTAATTAAACTCCTACGGAAATGAGAAGATGATCATAATTGCTGCTTCATTTTCACTCAATTTTTCCTCTTATTTTGCATATGCCTTTTTCAGGTAAATCATTGACATCATCGTTACTCACCTTAAATTTAATGTAACCTAATATTAAACATCCCGATGTCATCTGTCTAATGTCAACAGTTGATTATTATTCAGTCAGCTATTATTATCCAAAATCTAACATTTAAAGACTTCTTTCATCAATTTGGATGACCATTCAATCGGTCAATCATCATCTGTTTCTAATGAATATAAATCAATTTATATATTTGAACAGATACATTTTCGTATAAAAAACTTAATATTGTCCAGTAACTGGATTAAAAACAATTGTCAAAACCTTTCATTTGTGTTTACTGTTGGTTATTTTTAACACTGACAATTGTGAATCTCAACCTATTTTCAAACATTTGATTAAATGCAAACTTTCACTTGTCGATATCGAAAGATTATCAATTATACTTTCAAAGCTTGATAATTTTAACGTCAATTAGAATCGTTTTTACCATTTCTTTCCATCTTGTTTATTAGCGATTAATTTTAATTGTTAAACCAGCATATCAATAAAAAGAGATTTGAGGTTGAGCGCGCAATTTAAACTTAACTTAATCGAGAAACCTTGACATTAAACCGTTAACTCCTTACATTGTGTTTATCTCATTATACAATTTACTAATCAATCCACGCTTACCTCATCACCATCATAATCATATTCAAAGGTTTAAACATCATTTATAATATCAATTAATTGAAAATTGTAATCAAGAAAGGTTTACTTACTTTTGAAAACCCACTTACTGGTTAACTTTACCAGTTTTCACGTTGCTATCAATTATTTTCAAACCTTTTCTCTACTGTAAAATAGAAAAATTTTCACAGCATTAATTAAGGATTGATCTATTAAAGTTGCGAGTGAAGTCAATGGTTGAAATGAACTTGAATTAAATCTGAGTCTGAATAAAATCTGAATCAATCAAAATGTGAAAAAAACTCACGATAAACAACAAACCTTTATATTAACTTTCACATCAATAAATTGAAAAGCATAAAGTACAAGGTGAACAATTTCAAATTCAATTAATTTACATAATTTAGGATAAGGATATTAAATGTTGTTCAGGTAGTTGTTAACAGTTAACTATGATTAGGTGTGAAACTGATAGAAAGTGAAAAAAGAAAATAATTAAATTACTAAAATAAAGCAAATCCACTTTTAGGTTTAAGTCTTTTGAATCCGTTGTTGAGCTTAACCCAAAGTTACTCTTTGGTTTAACCCGAAAATTGAAATCTTTTCCCTTTTTGCTTATAATTAAACTTATCTTGATCAGTAACTATTGACAACCGCCACTTCTGTGGGTAAATAAATTGTTAGACTTTCATTTGAACTGTGATAATATTTTCTTATCAGTAAAGCCGTTAAAAGTGTCTCAAAATATAACCTTTGAATCAGTTTTAACCATGTTTTTGTTAACCAACAAAACCGTTTGAAATTCACTTTTCAACTTAAATTTCATGTTATGTATTTGATTGTTTTTAGATTGTTATTTTGAATTAACTTGATGTGATTTGATCAGTGTGTTTATATTTAAAATGATGATTACTCCCAACAAATTTAAAGTTTTTCCATCAACACCAATCTTGATTAATATTTCAATTAATAATCAAGCAACTTTTCATTTTACCTTTTGCGTTTAACCTTAAATTGTTTTATTCCTTTCAGTCTTTTGTAAGCGTAACTGTGTTTTTGTGGTCAGTTATTGATTTAATCAAATGGCTACTTACCGCTTACCTATTGTAACCAGTCATTACCATTTCTTGTTGGTAACCTTGATTAATTTGCGATGATTTAAACTGATATGGATTCTGAAAGAAAATGATCTTCTGATTGTTACCAAACGTTTATGTCTTTTGTTTGTGGGCATACTTTTATATAAAGTCGCCTTAATGGATGTCAACATTTGTTTGTGTGACTGTTATATCAAGTTCAGTGTCAATTGTGTTTTTTTGAATACTTGCATTTGTTTGTCTTTGTTTATTGAGCTTAATTATTTGAACATAGATGAAATGATTCAATGAGAATATACAATTCAAGTTAATCGTAATGACAGTATGGTGAGTACAATTGATAAAAGTCAACAATATCAATGACAACATCAACCTTTCCGACAACCAAGAAGGAAACAATGAAGCTCAAGTAATTTTCATTTTTCTTACCTTTTATTAATTGTATTTCTTCTATTTACCTAAACCATTTATTCATGATCATCTGCGATTGTGTGAGATGTGTATTAGACGGTATTATCCCAACAATTGGAACAACATATTCGTAGATTAGAAATTAAATCTGAAAAACATTTTTTCTTTTCATCTACCAAGGCAAAACGTTTGCTTCTCTCTCCACCCAAAAGTGCTATTAGGGTCATGTCAACAACCATTAAACACTTAATTATGTAATTTAATATACGATTATTATCAACTTTTGATTTTAATTGTATATTCTAATTTCTGATTCATCAACACCATGAGCTTTCATTGTATTAACCTGTATTAGTAATAATAAGGTTACTAATTAATATCCATTTTGTAGCGCCAATGGATTATAATTTCGCCTTCTTTTTGGATCCTTTGTTGTCTGTTTTGGGTTTTGTTGTCAATTTCAACTGGAAACTCATCTGGTTCACTCTAACAGTTTAATTGTGATCTACTTCTTCAAGATTATGAAGTCATCTTAACCTCATTTTAATTGATGTGCCATTGGAACAGTTGAAAATTCAACTTTAAAATCCAAACAAAATCTGGTATTTTTCTGGTAACATTATTTACCGGGAATCTTGTTTTTGGATTCATGATTCAACCAAATCTCTTGTTTAATGTTACATCGTAATTTGGTATTGCAATTACTGTTTGTCGGCGATGAAATACTGAACAATAATTTGGTTCTTTATCAACACCTTTATACCTGTTTTGATCGTTGAGCTGATGAAGATGACCAACAATGGAGGAAAGAAAGCGTTTCCACTTTGTTTATTTACTAATTCAACTTTATTGGTTTGTGTTTTTTGCATTTACAATTAAACATCGTGATTGAGATCACACAGTGAAAGTGTTAGAACAGGTTAGGGTGTTTATTGCAACCCTGTAAAAAGGTGAATGTAATGATGATTATGAGGATGTTGCCGGTCGTGAGAGGCGTCAAGATGTTAATACACTTAAATGTACTTGAGACTAGCAAGTAACTGTCATTAATCAAGACCAATTTTGACCAATTGATTGTTAGATAAAATATACTTCTCAATACTTTTTGGCTAAACCCATAATGATGAGGAAAAAAGTCATTGAGTACACTCGTGAGGTTTACTTTTTGATACATTATTCTGTATTGGATGTTGTCCTTACGCTATCTTTATTAACATCATCCTCATCTTCATCTTCATGATCTCCTTTCACTCATTTCCTCTAATTAACTCATTGTTATGATTATTAAGCAAAAAAAAACACAACCACACATATCAATATGATGACCACAATCAACCTCCTCATTGCAATTTTAGACAATTACACATTTAGTGGTGAAAATTATTTTGGTAAGTTGGACTTTTGTACACATTCACATGAGTTGATCTGTTCCCGATTCCGGTCATATCATCTCATTAATTTCCAACTTTCATTTTAAAACAATCAACAAAATTAACTAATTTTTTCATTCTTTGCAGGTTAAAGGCTACAACAATCCTGGAAGATTTGATGAAAGGACGATCACAATCATCTTGATATATCTCGATTGTTATACAGTTTTGTTTAACCTGATGATACAGTTAGCATTTTACTCGTGATGAAGACTGCCTGAAATTTCAATTCATCTAACATATTCAACATTTACACGTCAATAGTGAAAAAAATTGGACAAAAAAAAGTGAAACCAACTCACCTCTTTTTTAATCATCATAATCATCATTGGCAACAATAACAACATCGTTATTATCATGATTATTTGTTTGCTTTGACTTTTGCTTTCTTCCCTTTCATCTGACTTCATTTAGAAATTTGATTATTCATGATTTTAATTTTATTTTTGAAATCAAATTCACCTTGCATGTTATTTTTTGTAAAGCTTTACAAAAAAAAACCTCTCAATCAGTTGATTGTTGTATTAAACACAAGTATCTATCTCAGGGAGGAGGTTAATGATGAAAAGGAAGGGAAAGCAAATCAAATTAATTAATGAAATACATTTCTCATTCTTCCAGTAATTCAGATTGAAATGAAATCTAAATTGTAAAAGCAAATAACATTTGCATGCTGATCGATTTCCGCAACTAAATTGTGATGTTGGGTTAAATGTTGACTAATCGAAAGCGCCGTTTACTTGATGATTTGAAAATGAAACAAAAGCAAATTGTCGTTAACTTGCTATCAATTGTTAACAATTTCAATCTCAATCTTTTAATTTATTTAGCAAACTGTTAGCTGTAATTGTATGACCAATTTGAAAACAATCAAAGTCTAAAAACGATTAACTCTATCAAATGATGAAAATTAAAATTCTTTGATTCCTCATCATATGTTTATATCTTCAAGGTTATGTCATTAATTGTTTCATTGCTTTTTGGATTACATTTTACAATTAACCTTGATTTGATTCTTTTGTCACCTTAATTTTTTGTAATGTTTGTCAACAGTTAACTGTGATTTATCCTGAAAAATCAAATGCTTCTCATTTTCAAGGATCAGATGAGATTCACTGGGTGAGATTTTGGCCTTTTGTTGAAGCAAACATTTGATCAAAAACCTTGAAACAATTTATTAATGTATTACCAAACAATGAATTGATTTAAGAAGCTAAAAATTGTAACAATTAAGCTAAAATGTTTAACAACAAATTAAGCTCTCAACATGAAAAAAAGGTTACCAATAAAGGTGTTGCTGGTGTAAATAAGGAAGATTCACAATGAACATTTTCAATTCTTTTCTCACCCTTAATCCATCAGTCGAATCACACAATTACAATCAACGGTTAATTGTTAAACCTTTAATTGTAATATAAATAGTGAAATATTTTTCGCATTTATCGTACAATCAAAGCAAAAAATCAAATTGAAAATCCCAAAGTATTCAAGTTAACTGTTGATCAGTAAACTTCAACCTAAAATAGTGAACCAAACATCAAATTCAATGCAAGATGTTAATTTAATTTTTAAACGGTTAGATGACAATTCTTGTAAAATCAATTCTAAATAACTTCAGATGCTTCCGTTTTCTGGTTCAATTGTTACATCAAACTGTTGTGGGTTCATTTGATTACAATTCATCTTTCAATTTCTAATCACATTTGCACCAAAAATGACTGTAATCACTGGTTACTTTCATCTTTACTTTTCACTAAAGTCTGCATTACTTGAATGGCAATTTCATCTAATTTGAATTTTCTGATCACTGAATTTTAATCCAACTGGTTATTAGCTAATCAAGGCTCCTATCGATTTAATAATGATGTTATTTTGACAGATCTTGATTTACAATCAACGCCTAATCTAACCACTTATTTCCAGAAAAACAATCCAATAACTAAATCTAATCTTGTTATTATAATTATTGTTTTTAACACATTAACGATGAATATTGATCAACAATTAGGGAAATATTTCACCAATTGATTACATATAAATATTATGCAAAAATATGGTAAACTGTTGATTGACAATGAATTCAACTTTCCATTTCATTATAACTTGATTTTAATTGTTGCTCCTTTTCATCTTATTATTACAGCTGAAAGATGGAATCAACTGGGTTCATCAAGCAATGTCAGAATCGGAAAGGCTGCTGTTTCTTGATGGTAACAATCAAGGTATGGTTAAATCAAACTCCTTAATCCTCCTTTCATCGATATGATCATCATTCAGGCCAAATATGCCAAATGAAAACCCAACCCTACGCATAGGAAATTATATTAAAGATCAATCAATATTTTCTGTTGATTGGTTAATGATAATGATAATGATGATTGTAAACTGTTTCCGATGAAACTTCCGACTTAAATTGTTGACACTCCAAACATTCACTCACCTTTTTCTTGTTTACTAATCAACCAACCTTTTCTTTTTCTTTTCTCCTCATTTCTCCTCACAATTTAGATAATGATTACCAAATTATTGCCTCTTCAAGTATTTCTGGACTTGATCCATTCAAATCAAATCGTAAATTGGTTCGACGTGATACAACTTCATCTTTGGACAATCAATTTAAATCATCTCCTAAGTCAACCTCTGAAACATCTGATCACTTTGGAAAGCCTTCCAAGTTACCAGATCAACTTGAGATACAATTTACTGTTTTCAATGAAACATTTAACCTCTCATTGAAACGAAATACTCACTTAATTTCACCTCATTTTACAATTAAGGAACAATTTGTTGATATCAATAGTAATAATTTTAATTATAATAGTAGTAATAATAATAAATTCAATGATCTCACCATCCAAGAGGCCGATTGCTTCTATCAAGGAGTTTGTCTCAACCATTCAAACAGTAGTGTTGCCTTATCATTGTGTGATGGATTGGTAAGTAAATAATTAACTCTCCTTTTTAATCAAACAATTTATAATAAGGAAAATAATGTTTGTGTTCACGTAATTGTTTATTATATACCTTTTTAGTAGCAATAATAATGAAATGATTATTGATTACAATGGATTGAAACGTGGTTAAACATCAGCAATTGGTTTTATAAGCAAATTAATTTCTTTTGTTCTTATCCATCAGTTTCAAGTTAATTTCAGTTTTCCTTAACAAATTGTTTTAATTTTCAAAATCATTATCAACTAATTTCCCTTTGATTTACCTTTACAGAGAGGATTAATTGAGACAAATTCTGGTATTTATGTGATAAACCCAGTTCCACCGGGATTAGCTTCTCATCCGAGATTTAATTTATTTGATACTCAAGCTCACATAGTCGTTAAGAAAGGAGCTTTGGATGATTATCATTGTCCTCACTCAGGTAGCTACAGTTTATTAATAAAAAAGGTTGATAATTATAATGGATGTTAAATTGAGCCAATTGTCAACTGTCAACAAACCAGCAAACAAAAAGTTAAACAAACAACTCTCCATTTACCAAGAGCAACCTAATTGACCAGGCAATTAAATTTTGACATGCACTTGAACTTAAAACTTATCGTCAGATAGCATTTCAAAGGTTGTTAAACATGAGTTAATAGTGATTCATGATAAATTAATTACACGCAATCATTAAAGTGTACAGTAACAATAGTAACATTATTAATATGCAAAAGTAAGGAAACTGAACAAATGGACAAAATGCAATTTCGATTCAACTATTATGTTGACCAACCGTTGACCAAATACAATTGACTCAATAATTGTCAATCATTATAAAAATGACATCAAATAATGAAGTAAAATGTGGTTTACAGAATCAACAGTTAAAATCTCAAACTAATCATTTCCAATTTTCTTTATTTACAGGTAAAAGAGTCCCAATTACACTGAATTCATTTACAAATTACAACCCACCTTTATCACCTCCATCAACATCACCTACACCATCAATAACCACCTCATTTCAACAGTGGCCACTTTCATCCTCCTATTTATCATCCAACCATACCAATCGTAGTCGACGGTCAGCAAAGGACAAGATTACTGGGATAACAGTTGAAACTGCCGTTTTCATTGATGAAACATTATATCAGTTGATGCAAAAAACTTTTCCTGGTGACACTGAACACCAAGTAGTTACTTATGTGTTAACCATAATGAACGCTGTTCAATTGCTATTTAGACAACCTTCACTCGGAATGTCAGTTAATATCTCAATTGTGTTACTTGACATTCTTAAAACTCAACCAAAGGTAAATGATGATCATCATTTACAAGTCTCGCAATTATAATACCAGCTACTATTATTATACATTCACTAATACAATAATGATAAAAGAGAACTGCTTTTTTCAGCTTCATTCTTGGCCATTAACCTTACTCATTTCCTTTCTACTGTTATCCTTTTCATCTTCTTATCATCAATGGTCTTTTCAATTATCATCTTCCTTTTCATTATCACTTAAATAATGGAGAACATGAAAGAAATATCTCAACTGAATCAAGCTTCCCCTGTTTGTGTCATGTTTGTATATTGTTGTTAATTTTGTTAAACTAGCCATCTAACACCAATGGTTTATTGACCTTCTAGTAACTTTTTGGTGTATTGCTTTATTAATATCAACAATTACAGGGGTAACAATTCATTTATGCATTCAGCTTTAAATGAATTTAATGGCTCTGAATTCAGTTGAAAGATCTTTCTGTTCCTGCTTTTTTCAGCTCAATATCAACCTGACCATTGATATCGACTTAGATGCTGCCTTTCCTTATTTAATTTGATGATAAATTTTACAAAACTAAATTTAAGGCTTAAATCATTCAATTGATGACATATTTTCATTGAACAATTTATCATTATTTGTCTATGATTTATTGATAGACGATTGATCGTGAAATGAAAAGGTTTTACATTTCACCTCAAAATGCTCACCTCAATTTGAATAGTATTTCCTTGATATCTGAATGCTACTAAACCAGATAATAAAGTATAAAAAAGGTTAATCGTTATAAAATTAGAATTAAGTTAAAGTGTTAACAATAAAATTCCTATTCAGAATGACAAAGTAATGATATCGAATGTATTTAATATACATTATACTTGAATCATTTTTGAACGCAATTCCAGTTTAATCTTTGAATTTTGTTCGTTTAGCTGTTAGCTTTTATTGAAATGAAATAACCATTGATGAATGAATTGTTATTAACTTGTTATTTTACTAATTTGTATTTTTCATTCTTCTTCCAGGATTTGATCTCTTCAGATAATATTGACACTTATTTGACCAATTTTTGTGTCTGGCAACACAATAAAAGAACAATTAATAATCAAAATGGTGAATCAAAGGCTCGATGGGACCATGCTTTATTATTATCAGGGTAACCACTTGAATAAGCATTCATTGATTGACTCAACCATGGAAATCGTGTAAAAATTGTTTACTTGTATGGAGAGAGTGCAATCAATGAATGGTATTTTTAATTATTGTTTGCTAATGTTAATTTGTATTACCGATTTCACTTTCAATAGGATCAACATGTATGTAATAGATAACCAGGGACGGAAAAAGCGTCATGTTGTTGGACTTGCCCCGGTAAGCGGAATGTGTAACTCGCTTAATAGCTGCACCATTAGTGAAGGGACAAGCTTCCAAACTGTCCTGGTTGCCGGTCATGAAATGGGACACAGGTAAAGTATCACCAGAATCATCATCTTATTAACCTGCCCAGAGAAATTAGTTTCACTAAGCAATTAAAATTAATTGGAACGAAAGTAAAGCTCAATGCTTAAACTTTCTATCAATTAGCTTTTACTTAAAATAATTACAATCCTTTACACTTTTCATTTTTGTGTCTCACTTTAATTTGCCCTTTCTTAATCAAAACTCTGACAAAAGAAGGGATACAGTAATTAGAATTAAATAATGGAAACTAATGTTGATTCTTCTGATTCTTTTAATTCTTTGGTCAACTTATAGCTTAGGAATGGAACATGATGGCAATCAAGATGGAAATTCATGTGATCATGACAATTTCATAATGTCACCGACCCTTGGAGCTGGTAAAACATCTTGGTCTTCATGTAGTCGAGATTATCTTGAAAAATTTGTATCCCAGCCTCAAGCTTCATGTGTGTTAACACCAACCTCAAGTGTCAATATATTGAGCTCATTTAATCCCGAGTCAAGTAAATTACCAGGACAGTTATTTGATGCCAATCAACAATGTGTTTTACGATTTGGTTCGGACAGTAGACGATCTCATGTTCAACCCGAATCTGATGTTTGTCGTTTACTTCGCTGTGATACTGGAACAGCTCGGAATATTGCTGCTTATCATGCTCATCCAGCTCTGGAAGGAACCCGTTGTGGTGAAGATAAGGTTTGTTGACAATCAAAGCGCTTCATCTTTTTCATTGTTTAACTGGTCTAATTGCAAAACTGCTTTCCATTTTTAGTGGTGTCGTGAAGGGAAATGTGTAGTTAAATCAAATTTAATTGAAACGGCTGAAAGTAAAATAATAATTAGCTCAAATGTGGTTACAATTCCTGGTCCAGAAACACTTCAAGATGAACCTAAAAAACAACTTTGGAGTGATTGGTCAACTTTTACACAATGCACATCAGATTGTGTAGTTAAAGGTCATTTAAAGCCAATAGGTGTTATGGTTTCAGTGAGAACTTGTAATACACCTTCGCTATCAGCATCAAAATCACTAAATTCATCCGAAACAATGACATCAACAATAGCCACAACAACGGCAAGCACGATGACAACTTCATCTTTGCAAAAGTCTAATGACACAACAATGTGTTTAGGGGTTGACAGGAGACTCAAAATCTGTGATGCATCACTTGTAAGACGAAATTTACTAATTTAAACTAAATTGAAAACGCCAAATAATTAATTGATATTTCTTTAATCCTTAGCAATGTCGATCGATGCCCCACAAAATAATTGAAATTGAAAATTACGTTCAAGAAATTTGTAAAGCGGCCTCTTTACGAGATCCTATGGTTAAACCATTAGGAACTCAATATCCTGGTTATGGATGTAAGTTACATGTTTTACAGCTTCATCAAAATTTCAAAAGGAAATCAATTGTTTGATTATTTGACACAATTTAGGTTATGAAAACAATCTGGCTTCAATATTTCCTTAATGATAATTTAATCACTTGTTACATATATCGGTGCATAATTGAGCTTGGATAAGTTGACCAACAAAACATTAAAAAACGCACTATTTAGTATAAATTAAAATTTAGTTTGCACTCAATGTAAACTTGAAATGACCAAGAATTGAATTTACTGAAAGGGTCAGTGTAGTTTGGCTATGAAGTGCGATTAATTTAAATCTAAATTGTTACAGATTGAGTTACAACTTTTGTTTATTTACAGATTTTCACAAGTAACAATTAATGTTAATCACAATATTGACATTTGAAAAGAGCTCATATCGTGTTAGTTTGATTGTACTTGAAGACAAAATGTAAAACAATTGTCGCATATTGTTGAATATCATTAATAATGAAGCAATAAGAGTTTTGTTTAATGTAACAATTAGGTTAAACGGATTCTATCTACCGAATCGTGTTTAAATGGTAATTAAAAAAGTATATGAGTTAGCCTGGTCACTTTTCAATGATTTTTACGCATCAAATACAAACAGTTGATTCAATGAATTTTGTAACTGGCATTTCAACAGAAACAGCTTAAAGCTTCACTAAAAAAGCTAACGATTAACTAATTAATGACAGTTTGACTTGCTGGTATCGCCATCATCAGAAACAATAACTCTTGATCAATTGTTTTCATCTTTAACCTAATATTTTTTTCTCTTCTTATTGTAAACAATTTAATACCTATTGGTAAATTCTTATAGGTGTTTCTCATGTATGATCTTGATTCACTTGCAGCTCAAATTGTTATTTTTTACATTCAGTTAACCCTTAAGGCTAATTGTAGCTATTATGTCAAGGTTAATCTGTTCACGATTAAAATCACTTACACTTTATTGATACATTCGGTGAAAAACATTGTTTACCATTTAGGATTGGAGTTTAAAGCATTGATCAGGATTATAATGTATTACATGTAAATTGAGTTATTAAATGGTTTAAAAGAATAGAGCTTAGAGAGAGAAAATCAAATCGAAGTGTAGATTCATCAAATTGAGATGCAATTGTAATTTAGAGTGTAATTAGGTGAACAGTAAAAAAGTGAAGTTGATTGTTTCATGTCTAATATCTTGATTGGCTTTGAATTTTTGATAAGCTTACTTTGTATTGTAGCCAAATTGTAGGCAACTTATTATAATGTTTTTATTGCAATTTATTCCTAATAAGATACACACTCTTGTTACGTATGGTGTCATAAAAGAGGAGGAGGACTAATAACTCATGGATGGAAAGTGCCTGATGGTACTCCTTGTGGAGTCACTGAATCTTCATTAACTAATCAATTCTGTTTCAATGGTGAATGTAAATCGTTTGATTGTGCGGGTAAAAGTTTAGAGTCACCAGAAGATGAGCCATGTCCTAAGATATCAGGTAAAGCTGACTTCACCACTTCAAGTTAACCTTTTGTTTGAAACAATTCCAAGTAAAAATCTAATCATAAATTAATCTTTCTCTTCTTTTAAACAGTCGATAATACAAACAAAGTTGAAACTATTGATCTCTGGAATACATATTCGGGTCCTTGGATTCCAACCAGTAGCTGCCGTTATCCATGTCTATCAGGCAGTCGAGGGTTAAGATTGGTTACTAAAGAATGTAGTCCTTTGTAAGGCTTTAAACACGATAATTGTAATTAATTAGACATTAATTGTTCTCTTTCTATCTATTTTAGTGGATTTTGCCATAAAAAGAAGGATTCATTCCAACTGTGTTCCAGCTCTGATATAGCTTGTCCAAAGAGAAGTATTAAATCGGTTGATAAATATGCTGATGATTTGTGTTCAAAGTACAAGATTAAATATCCAACTCTATTGAGCGGAAGAGGTCGACAACTACCTCCTCGACCAGGTTGGTTAAATCAATTAATGTCCAAAAATATACTTTCTATAAATATCAATCGTGTACATTATTATAAATACTTGTATTTACTTGAATCTGTTAATCTAATATTTGCTTTTTTATTGATTCATTTTGATTCAGACAACCCTCATTCAAGTTGTGTTATTGCCTGCCAAGATCGGGTTTGGAAAGATATGCACTACCAAATGGACGCCTTTGATGATGGCAAGTTTCCTCTGGGCACTAAATGTTCATTGGGTGTCAATGCCGGTAAAAAGGCTTATTGTGTCAACGGTCAGTGTGTTCTGTTCGACGAAAATGATTTGCCCTTAGTTGAAGGTAATATCTACCTACATAGGAAACTCAACAATTTTATTAATTCACTGTTTCTATAATATCTTAAATTATTAATACAGGAGAGTCTAAATTGGAGAATATTAAATTACTGTTTGGGAGAAAACATCAATTTTTAAACCGTCACCGGCGATCAGTTGTTTCAACCAACATCTCACTAAAGAATAAAACCGACACGGAAAAAAGGAAACCCGAAAAACAAGCAGTTGATCATTTCAATGGTGGAATCAATAGTGAGATAAATAGTGGTCAATGGTTTACTCAGCACGAACAAAAGAAGAGTGAAAATCTGAAAAACCTTCAACAGTCAAGAAAGATTGAAATTACTCCCTTGACCATGAATAATACTAATGCAATCTTTTCTTGGGGTATTTCTTTGTCTGCTTGTTCTAATCCGTGTGGCGGTGGCTATCGAACATTTGATATCTATTGTCACAATGGAGATCAAATTGTTCCAGATTCTTTTTGTAATTCGATGGATCAACCTAAGATTAATAGAACCGAATCTTGTAATAATCATCTTTGTGTTGGAATGTAAGTTGCCAAGAAAACTAGTTTGGGTTTAATTCTCAGAATCTCTTCAATTGAGATTTTTAATTTTATTTTTCATTCTTATTTTATTTTTGTATGACAATAAAGATGGCGAGCTGAAAATTGGAGCCAATGTTCATCATCCTGTGGCAATGGATACCAAACTCGTGCAGTTGTTTGTATTCAAAAAGTGGTCGATGGAATCGATACAATTTACTCTCTCATTTCTCATGATCATTGTTCACCGAAAACTAGACCAAAATCATTGAGAATCTGTAATTTACCTCCCTGTTAATAAAAGTTGAATGGGAAAGGTATTAATAAATCAATGATTAAAGTACTACATGTTAAATAATACAATTGTTTTTGCTTCATTCAGTGTTAATCTCATTCACTTTCATATTTTTTTTTTCTCGGGAATCAAAAAGAGCAAACTATTTGAGATTGATTTTCAATGCAAAATGTTGGCTCACATTGCTCACAGTCATCTTCAGATGATATTATTTTATAATATTAATTTTATACATATTATGGACATTAATTTAAGTCAATTTTGTATTTAAAACTGATGAAGATTTAAGGACTGTCCCTGTTATTAATATTAAGGTTGTGTCAGTTTATCAGATGATGTAATTTATTTTCATAATTAAACGATTTGTTTTTAATTAGGATAGGGCTGCATAGGGTAATGAGTACCGATCATCGCAGCTGTCGGTTGCTGTATACCTTGACCTAGAGGATTTTGATGATGCGTCGCAGCGGCAATGTGATGCGGTTGTCCAGCGGCTCCAGAAGCTCCAGCTCCGGGCATACCTGCGGCTCCTTGCCAAGCCATTTGCATTCCAACAGCTGCAGCAGCCGCAGCAGCAGCGTTAAAGCCTGCCGCTGATGTACCGGTTGGAGCATTATAGTATTGACCACATGGGTAAGTTTGAATTGGTTGTAAATTGGAGGCAGCAGCAGCGGCACCCGCCGGATTGAAAGATCCTTGCATTTGAGGATAACCTTGAGCATACCAGTAGCCCATTTGATGAAAAGGATAAGTATATTGTGCGGCAACTGCACTGGTAGCTGGAACCTGGTTTGATGGGTCACCTGTTTCTTTGCCCCAAGAACATTTAACTGCTTGACCATTTATTTCGGTATTATGTGTTGCCACGATTGCAGAGGCGGCTGCCTCCTTGGTTGCGAATTTAATGAAAGCATAACCTTTCTCCTTAAAAGTTCGAATCTCTTGAATCATCCCAAAATGTGAGAAAGTCTTTTGTATTAGCTCATCACTGAGACCTTGTAAAATTCCACCACAATAGACGGTACAGTTTGATGGACTTGATTGTTGATAAACTTCATCGAATGAGAGCTGCTTACTGCTGGAAGTAGTTGTGATATCTGTGCTTCCTCTAGTAGGAGGTTTCCTTGTGGCCCAATTGGTTCTAATGGCTCTTGATCCTAACCATTGTCCGTTCATTGTTGAAATGGCTGTTTCGGCATCAGTTTTTTTAACAAATGAAACAAACCCATATCCTTTGCTTTTAAGGGATTGAGGGTCTCGGACGACACGACAGTCAGAGATTTCACCAAAAGGAGCAAAAGCCTCCCTCAATTGTTGTGTCTCTATTTCTGGACTCAAGTCACCCACAAAAATATGATAATGTTTACTGGTATCTTGTTTAGGTCCCGAGGCTCCTGGAGATGTTGCCCAGTTTACTTTCAATTCTTTTCCAAGACACAATCTTTTGTTCATAGTTAACAGGGCATTCGATGCAGCAGAATGTTCCGCAAATTCAACAAAACAATATGGATCATTGCCGGGTTCATGGATAATTTTGACATTGGTCACTTTTCCCAGGGAACCAAATAAAGCTGCTATCAGTTCATCACTAACCTGAGGATCCAGGTTACCAACATAAAGAGTACGAGGCAAATCACTGACATGATTGTTACTCAGTGACATTAATGATGCCGACATTTCATTTAAGTTTGTGTGGTTGTTTGTTGAGCCCTCCATTTTGTGGAACTTAACCCACGTAGAGTGGGGTAGACACTTTTCAATCTAGAAATTGATTACTTTGGGGAAGTTACGAGCACAATAATCATATACCATGTGAAAGACTGGGTGTAGTGAGAATAAAAATTAAATAAATAATGACTGAGTTTATAATTTATGTTGATTAACCAATTGTTAATTTCTTTTAACCTTAATCAATCTAAACCACAACTGAAAAGAGTAATACAGCTTCCAAACCAAGGCACACTCTCAAATCGAATGGATACTCATTTTATGACTACCAGATGGCTCTGTATTCTGCATCTTTTGGTAACTATCGATACTTATCGATTTCGGCTTGATCATCTTGTTTGAATTTCTCAAAAAATTTCAAGTGTAAAATGTTTGCATTTTTGGTAATAATTATGTCAAACTTTTACTTTTAATTATCAGTATAAATAATATTATTTCAACCATTTGATGTTAAGTGCTTTTACTTTTCTAGCTTCTACTCTATCGCTTCAATCCATCATTCATCACCCCTGTCTGACCTGGAATTTAGTTTAATGATTGGTGGACCTATCATACCTCCAATGGATATTGGTGCAAATCTTGTCTCTACCTCCAAGACCAGTAACATTAAATCACTACTTTTGGAGGCTTGGAGGCAACGATGGAGCCCAATTGACTGGGCTGTTAACATTAAAAGAGTTCTACCTCGTGGTGTTAGCGGCGATGTCTATGATCTTTCAAACTGTATTATAATTCAAGCTCTTATTGGACCGGCTCCCAACCCGCTTTTCATATCCTACCTTAATCATTGTATTAGTGCTCATGTAGTTTCATATGGTGCTGTCCTCTCGTCGATATCTAAATATCAAGAATTCAGTAAATCAAAGTGTATCATCTGTTTACTTGGTGAGTACAGTTGTGTTACGTAATTGCCTTCACAATATTTTGATGTTGGTTTTCAAGTTTCTAATGTGTTCTTTCATTCATCTTTTTACAGATCTTTGCAATGATCTTAAAAAAAGGGTCAATTGTTACGGTAATGAAGAAGAATGTATATCATTATGTAAAGCAATCATAGCTCTTGCTCATTGGCTCTTCTCCTGCTTATATCATGCACTCAACAAAATAACTGAACTGAAATCCGTTACATCAAATCAAAATACAAATCAATTTGGTAACTTGGGCCACCATCATGGATCATCATATGCTGCATTAAGTGGTTCTTTAGGTGCATCTGGTAATTCCTCAGTTTCCGGGACTAATTCACAGTTAAACGAATTTATTTCTATTACCGAAAAATCTTGTGACATATTATCATTTATTTCGAGTTCATCATTCATCAAATCTCTCTTTCATGTGGGTAAAATGGAAGATCAGTCTGGTTATTCACAGCTTGTTTCTAAAGTTGATGCAGTCGAATCTTTGCTATCTTCTGGTCCGTCTTCATGTTTCCCTCCAACTTTAACCAATGCCAAGGAATTATCCGATGTAATTGTCAACTTTTTGAGTACCACCGAGTGGAATAATAGAGATCCAACAGTATTAGCAACAGAAATTCTTACAAATCGTGAACTTGCCAAAGGTCCTATTATTCATTGTTCTTCTCCATTGGACCTTTTTGCTCAGAGCTGTAATACTATAATTGCTATCAATGCTATTCTTTACCCAACGAATGAAATCGAAGCACTTGCCCGGCAAATCTCTTTGGCGGCTAAATTCAACGATATCCCTTATCCCGAAGTTTGCTGTGAAATAGTTCGCTCGTGTTTTATCGAGTTAGTTGATTCTTCATCAACAGAGAGATCAATCAATCTTAGGGAAGATGAGAAGGTTGGAGAAGACTTGAAATGGGCAGCTTTTACTTTTCTCAAAGTTCCTCATATTTTTGCAAAGCTTGATTTCCCAAAAATGGACAAAAAAACTATCAGTTCCGATCTCGAAGCCGGTTTTGACAAACTTTTAATGTACACACCGCTTCTTGATTTAACTGATTCAAGATCTAATTGTGACTGTCTTGATCTCTTCTTAAAAGAACTTTGCCAAAGTGAATTCACAATTGAACAGAAAAACGCTATAATGGCTCGAAGACACAAAGACTCACCCAAGATCAAAGATAAAATTATTGAACCAGCTCCAGGCTCAGGTGGACAAGGAGCAAGTCTCATTTTGAGAGCTGAACCAACTGTAACAAGTATTTTAAAAACTTTAGATTCTGATTATTCTAAAAATCAAGATGGACTACTTGGTGTTCTTAACCATATGGTGCCGGGTAAAAGTTTTGAACTTATTTTGAACGCTGCTGCTGCTACTGGCAAGCTGAAAAGTTTTTCTATTAAACTTGTTAAGTTCAACGAGTTCAACAAACAAATTAACGGAGAGGGGGGCAAACAATCACAAACTCGTGCTCTTTTATTCGATATAACTTTCTTAATGCTTTGCCATATTGCTCAAAACTATGGAACTGATTTCATAACTCAAAACGCTGAAACAAAAGATTCTTTTTTTGCTACTTGGTGTGCCCAATCATTACCAGAAGGGGGTAAATATCGTTCTTCAGATGCTCTACTGTTAAATTGTGATCCACTTAAAGTGGATAATCTACTATCACAATTTACTTCTCCTGATTTTGAATTGAAAACTAGTCTTGTTAAATGGCACGAGGTGTGCCTTAATGCACCTGCTGCAATAAAAGAAGTCCTTTTGGCTTGGGAACATGGAGTTATCACTGCAGAAAATGTAAAAACTATTTTCGACAATGTAAAAAGTAAGATGTGTTGCCTTCCAGTAGTTATCTCAGCTTGGTTGTCTGCCTACATAACAACGCTGCCTCATGAAGAAAGAATAAAACCCATGAATATGATTCAACAATTCATGACTCCAGCATCATTTAGTGAAACAACTCCTTTATCTGGTAATGGAAACAATGGTAATAATGGAAACAATACACCAGGATCAGAAGGGAATTCTAATAACGAACCAACAAATACATATTATAAAGAAAGATCTATGCTCATGTCTAATATAATTAAGAAAATGTTTTGGGATCTACATCCGACTTCTCAAACCAAATCTAATGGTGTTTTATCAACAGTTTCTCATGGATTAACAACGGAAACGGTTTTATGGAAGCTATTAGAGGATATTTTTATGAATGCACACAACCGGTCTTGGCTTGATCAGCGCGATGTTTACAATATCGATACAATTTTTTGTGTTGGTGGGCCTAATTGGTTTGTGGAAGCTCTTCTTCGTTTATTAGTCAAATTTGATCATGCTTCTGAATTGAATAAAGCCGTGGGATTGATTTATGGTTTATTTCACATGGATATTGAACAATGTGCACTATCCTTGTTAGTTAATGGTTTAGTTGGTTACATTTTAAATGAAAATAAGCAAAATGCTCTTACTGAACCGAAAGCATCTGCCTTGGCTAAATTAACTGTTATGACAGTTCTTGCTGCCCTTGCTGAAGCTGAAGAAAGGCGTTCAACAGATTCGAAGACGAGCCTTAAAAGGCATGGATATCAACGAGATGTTTCTATGGACTTTGTTCCAATGGAGGTCGACGCCAACAAAGTTAACAGTGTAAATAATACCAATGAAAGGCCAAACAAGATGAGGCGCACTGAAACAACTAAATCTTTAAATATTATTATTGAAGATACTCCTTTCTTTTATACAATGAATCAACAGCCAATTGATCCTCGTATTTTGAATGAACCTTTAACCAAAGCGATCGCTGATCTACTTCGTTTGCTTAGTACTATAATTGCTGACTCGGTTGTTTCTCAACGAACATTATTTCCATTGATTTTCTTAGAGCAATTAATTATTTGTGGGAAACAGGATGCTCATAAAATTATTCAATTTTTGCCTTTCCAGGCTATTAATCGACTCATCAAAATGATGCCTGGTTCTTTATCATATGAATTTTTACTTTCCATTAGCAATTTACAAACATCTAAAGCTCGTAAAATTGTAGCGCGAGCTTTGTGTCAATTGAAAACAGCAAAAGTGGATATACCACGCTTCTCATCATAGACATTGTCAAAAAACTTACCTTTTTACATACCTATTTAATTATCTAAGAAAAAATATTTATAAAACGCAAATAAATTTCTATCTCTTCACCTATACTTGTTTCATTATATCAAATTTATTATCTCTATTATTGCTTCAAATAAATTACAAGAGCATGAAATTACCGGATTCAGTCGCAGGGTTCCTTTTGTTCTCAAGCTTTTAAGAAAATTTTCCCAATTGTTTCGAAGCGAAAACTTAACTATCTTCTTCATACTACATCTGAGCTACTGCAGTAATTTGGTGAAGCAAATTGAATAAAGTAAATTGTAAAAGCTTGTCCCATTAATTTTGCCTCTCCAGTCTTACACAATTAGAATCTAATTTCTCATGTATTAATACAAGCAACAGAAGCCTCAATTGTTGGATTGGATTACTCTTATAACATTCTCGAATTGATGGTTTCATTGAAAACTCTTTCATTGATTCTCGAGCTATTGTTTACTAACATGGTTATGCATCTGAATTAGCTAGTCACTAAAGACCAGATTGTCGATTGTTGAAAGTAGTGACTACAGTCAGGAATTTTACAAAAAAGCCAAAGTCTACATTGAATAATGGTTCCGTTTCTGAGAGCAAATTGTCCGATACTAACGGGAATCTTGTTTCATTACTCATAACTTCTAGAGAACTAAGTCGAGGAATATTAAGAGGACCAATTTATATAAATGATATAAATGAAAATTTATTTGCAACGCTTTAACTACAATTTCTGCATTAGGAAGATAACTTTGATGATAGCATCCTTTTAAGTCCACTTTTTAAATTCACAACCATCTGGGGGCTTGACTTCTGTTTTTCCTTTAGACACTTGGTTCCAGTTAGTGCTCAGAACAGTTCCTCCACTTTCCGTGAAACTTTTAACCATCGCTCGTCTGACCTCTTCAGATCCGTTGGCGTAAATTTGGCGAAATAAATCATCAGCTGATCCTTCATTATTTTTGGCTTCTTCCTCTTCGAATTCTTTCACGATCTTGTCCCAATCTTTAATAAAGGATTTTTTCGTCTCTTTCTTCGTATCCATATCAAATGTATTTACAAAACACAATTAGACAATAAGTTAAACTCAATTGAATTGAACAGCAAAACCAAAACAAAAACAATTTCTAGAAAAAACATTGAACCTCAACTTAACCATAACAACGATAAACAAATTGAAATGCCCTCTATAAGTAAACTCTAACCGCAAAATTTAAAAATATCTAGTCTGTCAAAATTTGATGTTCATTTTTGATGCCAACAATTGATTTACAATTAATAGTCAACATTGGAAACTATATTTATTATTAATAACCTTTGACAAGATGCTCATTATATTTTGAGTTGCACACTTATTCATGCTCGTTATACAAAGTTGTACACAAACATAAGCAAAAAATGTAACATGAAATCAATTAACTTAATTGAATTTATTGTTGACCCTGGATAAACTCTTGTTTTTGGATAACTTTTTTGCTTCACTTTCGTTTTATCCTTTGACCATTTGTAACACGTTCTCGAGTTAATGCCAATCTTAATCACGTAAACTAAATTGTGTGGCTAACTGTTTGTAAAAATGATTGGTACAAGGTTAACTAAACAACAACAGGGAAGAAGATGAGAAAAAGGCAAAAAAAAGGAATGATTAAGTTACTCATGATAAGGTAAATAAAACTAATTTTGTCACGAAATATTAGGCAAAGAGAAGTAATAATAATAGTAAAAAGAGATATATAATTGATAATAATAAGCTTTTTAATCTTACATGTTTTTTTGATGGTCAACAAACATTGGAAAACAATTAAACAATTAGATTATTCGTAGCTTTCAATTAAATTGATTAGAATGCCATTTCTTCTACTTTCCATGTTTATTACATTTTCGATGACTAACATCTCCAGGCTGATCACCATTTTCGCCAGATTCTTCTGAACTGGAATCGTCATCATCGTCATCGCCATCATCATGATCATCGACATCGCCATTTTTATCTCCGTATCCATAACCGTCCATGGCATCATTTTGACCTCCTTGATCTGGACTAACCAGTTGGGATTCATCATCGTTATATGACCATTGATACAGACTGTGACCAGCAACTGGCTCAAACAATAATCCAACCACAACTAAACACGAAATGAGTGTTATCGCCAATAGATGTGAGTTCATGGTTGGACAACTCACTTGTAACCACGAACAGCACTAAATATGAATAAAAAACAATTTTCAAGTTTACTGGGTACTAATTGATTGAATAATGTTACATTTTTTGTAAACCTCACCTGGTCTTATACTGATAAATCATAATGATCTGGGTATTGACTTTAAATAATCCAAATAATGTAAATACATGTAAAAGCAGAATAAACAAATTGTCTCCAGCATAAAAGATACCTTTGCATTGGTCGAGCAATCCTTTGTTTAAAAGTGACTTGTAAATATTTTTAAATATTAAAAATAGGATGGAAATCATTAGCATCAGGTTGTTTAATCAGCCTCTCCAGAAACCTTGATTGATTGGAAGATTTGTTATTGTATTTGTTCCATAATTTCCTAATGAAAAATAAAGATTAAATAGACTACAATTAATGATTTATCAAATCACTTACCATCACAGATACAAACGTACCTATTTAAAGTATTAATATGTACTCTAACAAAATGCATTGCTGTACAAGTAAACTTTTCGTTACCAAAAAGCAAAGTTTGATGAATCTCCTGTTCATTAACACATATTAAAAATAAATAAATAAATAGCTAATGAATTTATAATTGCAAGATGTAATTACAGTAACAATTCAGTTGATATCAAAACACGAAGAATCACCAACAGACCACAGTTGTCAAATATAGTTAATAGATGGCGTTAACAGCATCCAAATGCAAATTTAATTTTCTTCGTTAATCAACTCTGTTTAATTAATTATCCAAGAATCATAACCTTTTCCTTACACAAAATTTACACGCCTAAATGTCCACTCACGAGAAGCAATCCAAACCTTTTTATTTCATCCATTTTCACCCTTTTCAACCTGATATAACCAAAGATCCAAATCCAAGCCAGAAAGCAAAGGAAAATTGTAACTGAATCAATCGATTGGTTGCCCAAAATTTTCATTTTCATGTTTTAAAGTTGATTTCACTCAAATTGCTCCAACAGAAAAATCTCAGTAATTAAGGATATTTGAAAGAAACGCCAGAATTGCTAAAAAAGATTGTAATTCAGGTGCAATCTTCAAGATTGGTTAGGTTGTAATGTAAAGTAAATGAAATTCAACTCTTGAATGATTTTCTATTTAAACTAATATTCCTTGCTTTTTTATAATACCTTGAGTTATCAAAGCTATCAGGAATAAATACATTAACCAGAATCAATATTAATTCAAAAAAGTAAAATATTAATCTTAAAGTAAGTAGGAAATTGTGAACATAATGATTAGGGAGGAAAAAGATTGTCCACAGAAATGGCTGGTTCATATGCTAATTTTGTCCATTTTATATATAAATGGGAAAATTATGGAAAAATGATTAAGATTTACTCTTGTATTTACAATAATTGTACCTCAATTCAACTTTCTTATTTCTCACCAGGTAATGCACATGAAAACCAAGTTGACTACTCAATGATAAAGCTAATTAACCGTTAACATACATGGTAATCATGGTTAGGTTTACATCGTTGCTTCCTCTCAAACTTAATCAACTATCAAACTCTTTTTTTTTCTTGTTCACTGTGCACCATTTAACGGTAATTTAATTCCTCTGCTTGACTCACTTATTGTTATTCACGCTGTTTGTTTATTTGTTTCATGGTTTCAACCTTTTCTCGGACAGATATGTTTCCGTATTTATCATCATTATCTCACAATGTCATGAGTATTAATACCTTTTAAAAATGATAATGTGAAAGGAACCCAAAAAATCCTGCAAACAATGACCAGAGAGTATTAGGTTACTTTATCCAGTAATGTTACATTACCAGTTAAATCATCATTAGAAGGTAAATTACAATATCACTGATCCAGTCTCATTCATCTCAATCACCTAGAAATACATTGATTTTTGTATTCATCTTGAGACCTTGATTAACTAACCATTTAGGTGAGCGTAATAATCAAACCTTGTTGACAACATTTTATCCTCAATCCATTTTAAAAATTTCAATGATTAATGAATCAAGTTTCAATATTTTCTGATCAACTGTCAACCTTTGGGTAAAATTGACTTGAAAATTGCTGATCAAATGGTGTTTAACTGGTCAAGGCGAGACAAACGTTTTGATCGGTAAAAGTCAAGTCTGATTGTTGGTGTAATTTCATTTCTCAGCCAATCTGACAGATTGAATATAAATGATATTTTCCAAACCATTTATCATAAACAACAACCAAAACTGGTCAACATCTTTTGCATTCACAATTCATTCAATTGAACCTTTTGTTACCTTGACTTGATTAATGCATGGCCAGTGTAACAAATATTAACAGATATTCAATGTGTTTTTTGTTGTCCCGAAACCGTTAATGAAAGATCTTCAATATTCCGAGAAATAAAAAGCAATATTGTCAGCAAAGGTTCAATTTTTTGCTCATGTTTTATTTTCAGTCTCATTGCTGTTTTAGTGACATGATGATAATTTATATGCCAAGGAAAAAAAACACAAGACCAGGAAGGAGAGAAAAGTAAAGATGATGATGATGATGAGTCTGGTGTTTTCTTGATGATAAAAGCCATTGACAAAGAAAGAGGTTTAAGAAGATGACCATCAATGGAAAGTGTTTTTGACATAATAAAGATGATAAAGATGAGCATGAGATTGGTGTCCATTTCTACATGTTAAATCGGGTCCATGCGACCAGAATCCAGATTATTGTTGAAGCTTTTGTTACTAAAATTGTTGCCGCAAGAATCATTGGTATTAATATCAATAATATATTTATATATATATTCAATAGCAATAATGGTTATAAATTAAAGTAAAATGTGAAATAACAAATTGAAAGATTTTTGCTTTTCCATATTTTCCTTGGTGAAGTTACATTCAACAGATAAAAACAAAGGTCAAGAATGACAAACATGAAAAGGTAAGATTAAAACGGAGAGAGGAAGAGAGATGAAGATGAGGATGAAAAATGGTGAAAGGAATGATAATTGCCATGGTTAGGGTTCCTTGTTTTAGGAATGGGAAAATGTTTTGGATAATATGTTGATGATGAAGATACAAGTGAAGTTAATGATTTATTTGACTATATTGTGTGTGTGTGTGTTTTTTATACATGATCATCACTAACATCATCATGATCATCTTCATGACAAAAAACGAGGATAAAAAAGGTAAGATTGCATTGATTTATTTTGTCTTATGACTAATAATCAAACTCAATAGTAATAAGAATGATAATAGCAATAGTAATAATAATAATAGTAATAATAATAATCATTCATATTCATTTTTCTTTTGTTGCTTTGCCCTTTTTTTCATACTATTTTGTGTTTGTTTCTTGTATATATTTATCATGATCATTAATGTGTTAGATTTTTGTATTGTATCATTTCAGTCTGATTTCTGATTAAAGTAATAATAGTACATAATATTGTTATTATTATCAATTTGGCTGTACAATTAAGAAATGAAAAATGTCTCATCTCCATACAGTTGTTTCATGGTTAAAAATACACTTGAATATGTATAAATTGAAAAGAGGGAGAAACAAAAGAAAAGTAAATTGTAATTCACAATTAATGAGTGTCTATTGTGATTTATGTTAGTGTATTTTGTGTCTTGTAAATTATCTTTCCTTTCCTTTTTCATCATTGTTAATCAATTTATTAAAGGGTTTACTGCATTTGTTAAACGGATTGAGTGTGTTTGTTGTGTGTTCAGGTTTGCTATTTGATTATTATTAGTGATGATAATGTTCAACTGGAGTTGTTGATAGATGAAACTGTATCAACAACTCATGTGCAGTAACTAATGATAACTTTTCATGTAATATTATTATTATCATTATGCATCAGTTGATTTTTATAGTTTAGCCTTTTTCCAATTTGGTATTGTGTTACTGTTGTGTGAATCTTTGTTGAGTGCCTGTTAATGGTTTCCTTGCGTTACCATCTCTCATGCGATTGAATGTAAAAAAGTAAGGTAAAAGAGGAGAAAGGCTCAAGTTTGTGATGAAAAAGGAAGGTTGAAAGGAGTTTTCAACTCTTTGCTTTTTAAATTTTATACAATATCCAGAAGGAGAAGGAGGAGAAGAAGATGGATCAGAAAGGGATTGGAGCTTAAATTTGCTGGGAGTGATAAAGAGGATGAAATTTTAAGCATATCATTAACATTAACAAGATGGAAATAAAAGTAAAAACAGAAAAAAACAACGGGTATTACATTGAATTAACTGATTATTTGACCGCCAGTAAGAGGATCAATTGAGTTGCACTAGGATGCAGAGTCAATGAAACTGTTCAATTTTTCTTTTCTGAGTTTTCTTGAAACTGAAAAATTAAAAGACTACTGGGACAAATAATTAGTTGAGAATGTAGTTAATATGTTTTTGATAATTAGAATGATTGAAGTAGAGATGATGAAAGGACAAGTCATCAGAGTTAACAGGTCAATATGATGGTGTTGATGCAGGATACCGGGTAAAGATATATTTATAAGTATCTTAGAGTACTTTTGTTTGATCTTGCTTTTACTGTTCAATTGGTGATGGAATCGGGCTGTTTGGATTGCTGTTTGTCAAACCATTTGAGCCCATTGAAAGGTTTGCGTGAAACGGTGAACCTGATCCATTAGGTGTTGGTGAGGTTCCAGATGAATTGGGCGGTGGATTTATTCGCTTCTCCTTTTGCCTTCTATTACAGAACCAAACTCGAACCACTTCTTTCTCCATGCAAAGGGAACCTGCAAGCATAGTTATCTCTTCGGATGTAGGCTTAGGATTAGAGATGAATGCTTTTTCAAGGGCAACACGTACTGTTGTCTCAATGCTTGTCCTCTTCTTGCGCCTTCTTCCAATGGCATCAGCTGAAGCCTGGGACGATGACATGACTCCAGGATTGGTCAGGGAGGCATCAGCGTCTTTCAACCATCTTTCCAGTAACGGCTTTAATTTGCACATGTTTTTAAAACTCAGGTTAAGAGCCTCGAAGCGACTTATTGTTGTCTGACTGAAATCATTTCCATACAGTTTACCCATTGCCAAACCAACGTCACCTTGGGTATAACCTAAATAACAACGAGAGAAAAAAAGTGAACCGTACGTTAATATCACAATTACAGAATCAATAACAGCAGTTGAAATCAGTTTAGCCTAAACATTTTATGAAAGTCAAATTTGTGTTATTAAATGCTATTCCAAATGCAATTGAATGGTCTTATCATTTATCATTTGATTGAAGCTTTAAGAAAACTAATATGCAACTGTAACAACAAGTTTTTTATGTAAAACACATTGAACATACAATTATCGAATGCTAATACAAATAATATAAATAGTTCGATAATAGGCAAAGGATCCTTTAAGTAGACTTAATTTTGTAAATTAAATATGCTTAATAAGGCCGAACACGCAGTAATCCATTTTTGCCAGAAAAAATTCATTACATGTTCATTCCCACTATTTCTTGGTGAATCTTTATACATCAATGATAACCTTTTTAACCTCATTTTTCCTAGAATCTTATCCAACAAAAAAAATATAATTCTCACGTGACAAAATGATAAAATTACATCAAAAAAGGTAATTCTGTATAGCCAAGAATATCAATAGAAATCAAAAAAGTTAAGTATCTGAGTTGCTAGTTTATTAATGATGCGGTTTTCATTTTTCTTGTGATTGCCGATCCACTGATCCATGATATTTTAAGAATCATAATTTTTGTAATACATTAATAATGGTAAAAGATGAAAAAAGAATTATATTTAACTTTATTTTCATTCCCTTTTGATACCTTATTACCTATGATGGTATTGATGATGCAAAGCTGAGGAATGAAAAAAGTTGAAGTTGATTACAGATAATGATTTTGTTGGACTCTTTTTTTCATTCAATAATGGCTATTGAAAAAGTCTAAATCATCTGATGTGACCAGCATTGAAAGGCTAACCAAAGAATCAGTTTCATTGAATGGTGAAAATTGATATTATACAATTTGTAGCACTTGATTTACATTCATTTTCTGCTGCTACTTATTATAATATCCATCAATATGATCATCATAATCGTAAATACTTTGTCTCCAACAGTCATAAATGATGGAAAGGGACAAACTTTTACATTCTAATGAATATTACTAATATTAATCCTTGTTATTAATGTTATATATTATATTAATGCATGGATATATAAATTATTTAGGTAACATTCTCACTCAAGATTAGTCAATAAACATAAGTTTGTTCATAAGATGATGCTAATGAACATTGTAGATATAATATTTCAAGTCAACAATAACAATAATAATTGTCTTTACCCTGTGCTTTGATTACTGCAAATATATTAGATATGATTTATTAAACTTTCAGAGTTAATCTTTATGAAACTCCCACAGAAGAAAGATGTAAGAAAAAGGAAAATGAAGAAATATCAAAATAAGGTAACAATTCTTACCCAATTTGATTCTTCGCTGTTTAAACATTTTAGCAAATTGTTCCAATTCTTCAAGATCAGTCATTTCCTCTGGACTTGTTTCTGTACGAGATCGTACAGAAGATAGTTGATGATGATGTGAATTAGATGAAGATGAGGAAGATGCAGACGATGCCGATGAAAGGGGATCATTTAAACCATTAATACTGTGGTGATGGTTAACTAAGTTAATTACTTTATTTTGATTGCAGAAAACATCCGATGGGTCCGAAGTGTTTCTTGAGTTTTGCTTATTTGAATTATTACTAAGACTATTGGTAACACTATTATGACTATTGTTTAGTGCGGATGTTGTTGATGATGATGATAACATTAATTGACTGACTTTAACATTAGATAATGAGTTGGTTGATATTGAAGACGATGATGTATGAGAAGATGATAATGAGGAGGAGGATGAAGATGACAATGAAGATGGACTTTGAGTTGATGTACTGATGACATTTGCCATTGATCCCGCTGATGTTATAATTGTTGTAGGAGTTTCGCGACCATTCACTTGTTTAACCATAGATTTAGATGATTTTGAGCCAAGCAAACGATTTATCTGCTGTTGAGCTGTTTCCTTAATTGTCAAAGGAGATCGTCGATCAGGAATGGGACTTGACTTCCGATCACTTTTATTATGATTAGCATTGTTATCGCCATTGTGAAAATTACTATTAACAGAGATGGATAAATTTTGATGGTGATTAGCTGTGGGTGACGATTTGTTTAATGATAATTCCTGAGACAATGAAGATGAGGTTGATGATGATGAAGATGATGGAGATGAACCATTGAGACCAAGTGATTCTTGAAGTTGTTGCAATTGTTGAACAGCTACAGCTACTTGAGGTAAGGACATTCCATGACCAGCTAAAGATTGCAGTGTTTGTTGAAGATAACCTTGTTCAACCTATGGAAATGTAAAGCTTGATTAGTAAAAGTAAGAAACCATTGACTCTGAAATCAATAAAATGTGGTGAGAAAAGGGTAATTTACCTGATTCTGTAATAACATTGTTTGTAAATTAGGAGCCAGTTGTCCAGTTGATTGAAGGAGAATTAACTGTTGAAGGCTTTGTAAATTTTGCTGTTGTTGCTGTAATTGCTGTTGAAATTGCTGTAAATCATTAGGATTTAATGGAAATCCACCTAGATTAGGTGTAACTTGAATCTGTGTAATAAAATTAGACAATATGGAATAGAAATTGTATGTTAAAACAACAAGAAACACACATAGCCATTGTGGATACAATGAACTCAATATAAATCAGGGTTACATGCTATTTGAAAAATATTTACAAAACTTACCTTAGAAGTTGCTTGTTGTAATTGCTGAGCTAATGTAGCTTGCAATAATAATTGCCCTTGAGCTGCACCAGCAGCAGCCATTAACTGAAACATATTTAAATTAATAATTAAACAATTTATTTAAAACAATATTTTAAACACTAGAAAGAAGAAGAAAGCAGACGAGAAAATCTTTTGGCTCATCAGTTAAAAAACGGTTAAGTAAGAAACGTGGACGACAATGAGGACTCTCTTATCTCTTAAGATTACATTAAGGAATCTAAAGCTTTTGTTTGTTTGAAAACATCCTTTCTTTAATCATAATATTCAGCAAAAAGGTTCAAATGAAATTGTCTATTATTTCATGGTATTTTAAACGTCTGAGTTTTTATAAGAAAATGTGCAAATATTCACAAAATGCGATGTTGACGTCTTAAATGACAGTTTCCTCAACCGCGTGGACTTTCGTACTACTTGACTGGGTTATCTAAAGACTTGTTTTTTGTCTCATTTCATATCTTTATTTTCGTGTATCTCAACATCTATCGACCTTTCATCATGTTTTGAACATAGAAAAACGTGTTAACTGTTTTGTATGATAAGTTATTTCCTCAAGTGCATATCTTCACATGCAAAACAAGTGTTTTTTATTTTTACCTGTGCCAATTGATTGATTGGTAAATTAGATCCTGTTGTTGCTGCTGCTGCCAAAGCCGCTGCTGATGCTAACAAATTAGGTGCTAATGAATTGGCTCCACGATTTAAGGATGAACCAGTTGAGAGATCATTTGAATTGGATAAGCCACCATCAATATCATTATTACCATTGATTGTGTTTGATGGCAAGCTTTTATTGTCATTTTTACTCTTGTTATTACCATTGATAGAGCCCGAGGAGAGATCATTGTAACCATTTATCGTTAAATCAGTTCCACTAGCATTAGCGTTACCTGTTCTAGTGTTTATTCCACTTTCACCATTTCCATTTCCTCCACCCTTAAGATTCAATGGTATACCCTGTAATTGGTCTAATTGGTGTAAATTATTAGCTGATGCCGCTGATGCATTTGGTGATGATGATGATAAAGGTGAAGAGGCAGGAAGTGGAGACATTGTTGGAGGCGATGTTGAATGACCAGACGAAGGGGATTGAGAAGATGAAGGCAAAAATGCTGTTTGATTTGTTGATGCCGTTGTTTTAGCCGTATTTGGTGGTAAAGGTGATGATATTGAAGGTGAATTGAATACATTGGAAACAGGATTAAGGATAACTCGATTAGCAGGATTGAGAGATGATAAATTATTGATCAGATTGACGGTTCCATTGGATGATGAAAAATGTTTATCACTGTAATTTGTTGGGATAACCGTTGTAGTTGATGTAGGAGTTGACGTATCCATTGAATTATCTCCCATAGTCTATAAAAGAACAATTAACGATAAGAGTCAATCAACATATTCAACAAGACTAATCACCATCCTTCATGCTATCATTAAATATTCATCAACATTAATATTAAACTTGGTCAGCATCAATTAAACAAGGAGATAATAAATAAAGCTGACTTTTGACTACATCACTCAACGAAAATGAAAAAAGGGCAAAAAATCAACCAAAGCAATTTCTCACCAAATTAAGAGATTTTTCCGAATCCATTGAATCACAGTCATCGTCTGGCTCCAGATCGTCCATTTCAGAATTATCGGAACAATAATTATTTGATTCTTTGTGATTACCATTTTGGCCAGCATCAATCTTTTCACTCATTCCGTAATCTTCATTGGCCATGTAACGAACCTTAAACCGAGCTGATTCCTATTGAAAGCCAACAAAATAAAGCCAGGTTATAAATTGGAATGCAAAAGATGGCGATTGAAAAAACAATCTGGATGACTTGTTACAATATAAAACAATCAAATCTAAATGCTCATGTAAATTGAATAACTTAACTCATCATCGACAACAATCAAATCAATTGGAATAGAGTTTAAATGCGAAACAAGGAAGGATATTGAATTATTATTCCATATTTTGAATTGATAAAAGATTTTGCCTGTTTTTTGTTTCCTTCATTCACCATCACCGTTAAACTGAATACCTTCGGAATGCAATTTATAATAAAAGTAATAATGAAAGTAATGATGATGCAGATAAAGATGAAGCTGGTGAACAGAACAAGAAAAAAGCTTGATTGGATTGCCCGTGGATGGAGAGTCAAAGATGATGGAGATGGCAATGATGATGATGGCGATGAAAAAAAAGATAAATACTAATACAAAGCAGGCAAAAAAAGGGCGAAGGAAAGTGAAAATTAGGTTGTTGTTGTCGAGCAAAAACCTTTTTTTTCATAGGAAATTAGAAGCCATTTATATTAACACAAAGACGAGGAGAAAGCAAAAAACTTATTCCCCAGGAGTCAAACACAGGGAATGAATTGGGAGGTAAAATATGAAACACAATATCAATTAGAACTGGATAACATTTTTTTTCTCTTCTATTAATATATATAATTTTTTTCTCTTTCTCTTCCAGTTCAACTCAGTGTAACGAATGGACTTTTTGCCTTCCTCTTTTCATCCTCATCATTTTCCTCCCATTTCAACATCAACATCATCATCATCTATTATAAAATGCACAAGCAACATTCATTTCCATGTTAATCAAGTTTCCATCATTATTAATTTTCAATTTCATTTCCTGTTAATTTTAAAACAATTTTCATGAAAGGATACATTCAACACCAGCTAAATTGGAATCAAAAAAGGGTTGTATTGCCATTCATTATGCAAAAAGTATCCAAGTAAACAAGAAAATCTTTTACCTCAATCTTAGCAATTTTCAATCTCAAGCCTAAAAAAGACTGTTGAATGTAAAATGAAATTCAACTTTTTATCCAAATCTTTTTAATCCTGTTAAATCTAACTTCATCTTCTGGACCCAATTTATTATCAATTTTACTCTTAAATATATTTGAAATAAATATATACATGAGAGGTAAAAAAAGCTGAGAAGGTAACAATAGAGAGAAAGAAGGAAAAGATTTCTTGTTTATTTTGATGCACAGAATAAGGTTAATAGTGAATAAGATAAAGAGGAATATACTAATTTTCTTTTCATTTTCAGAGAAAAAAAAGAACCGGACAAAAATTCATTCTTATGTCAATTCCAGGAGCAACAACATCATCCTCATCTTCATATCTTCATCTCCTTAAGGCTTCAAGAAGATTTCCATTGGTCTTCAAAAGTTTCAAGCAAAAAAAACCAAGTCAAACCAAAGGAGCAAAAAGGATGAAAAGTTTCTTTCCTCAACGAATACATTTGACTAACTTTAAGGAGCAAAAATTCAGTTTCATATATTACATTTTTTCTCCCTCTTCTTCAGCTCAGGTATATTCTTACTCTGATTGTTATTAGGCTGCATAAATTTTCCTTGAGGGATTTGTTTGTTTATTTGTTTATTTCATCTCATTCTTTGAGTTTTGTAGTAATGTTTCTCTCTCTGTGTGTTTTAGTCAATAGGAACAGTTTTTATGTACATTTTTGCTTCTTAAATAAACCTCACTTGACAGGGTCAAAGGTAAAAAGATCAAATTATTCATTGAATTGTATGTAAAAATGTAGACAGTAAAAAAGGCCTCTAGGTATTAGTTACTAGCAATGAAATATTTTATTCAAAACTATTATCTCTTTTGGGTTTTACCAGCAACAACCAGAATAGAGTAAAAAGCTGATCACAAATTGATTGATTAAAACAATTGTCAAATGATAAGGAAACATTATTTACTTTTGAATCAGGTGAATCCAATAAATGGTGATGAGAAAGATGGAAAGGTGAATTTACCGATTTCAATCCCAAGTTAACTGTAAAAGGAAGAAACAAAAATGGTTAGATTTTAATTTGAATAGCGAAATGATTGGATCAAGAGTACAATATCAATCAGATATTAAATTGACAATTTACTATCATTTGATTCAATGAATATTTGATGAAATGAACAAATAGATTAACAGTATAAATAGTCAATGGTCAACAGTTATCAAGTAAAGAAAAAACAAAAATCATCAAAAAAAGGACCCAAATAAGATGTATAAGAATGACTTGAGGCAAAATTATTTTCATATAAATGTATGTATTAAAACTGAAAAGCTATTGATTCTGAAATCATTTTTTCTTGCTTCTCTTTCATAATGTATTACAAAGTAATGAGGTAAAAGTTGAATGAAAAATGAAAAGATTACATTAAATTGTGGTAAATTTAATTACTGAATTAAGATGTTAAATGATAACCTTTGGTTTATACACTGAAATAGTGTGTAAAGTGAAACATAAATTAGATGCAAATCCCAATTGATTTTGGTTAAGGGTTAAGGTAGGGTTGAGTAGCAAACAAATTGAAGTAAATCTTGTAAATCTTTTGGGTTTTCATTTAAACACCAAAATGTAAACCATTGTTATTAAATAATCTAACCGTTAATTACATTATTATGAAGATTATTTATAAACACAATTTGTAAATTGTGTTATATTGAAGCAAAGCAAGCAAAAAAGCCTTTGACTCTCAACAAGAAAACCCAAATGTATGTAAAGGTGTTGAATGAAAATGTAGTATAATTTGCTTTCTCTCCCTAATATCACCATTATTATGATTATTATTATTGTGATTATTTTTATTATATCTGTTGGTTGTTCAACTAATAACAATAATAATAATAATGCATGTATAGATGAGAGGTTGGAGTTAAATCATCAATTCTCAACACACACATACAATTTGAATTAATAGACAATAAGATGAGAGGGAAAAAAAGCCCAAAGATTTGAGATTTGAGTTGATTAGTGAAGAGTTGGAAATCATGATTTGCCTTTGCATGGTTAGGTTTACAAATAGATGATGATGAAGGAAGCAAAGGGTTAATGCAATAATAATGATAATAGGAAATAAATTTGAGTTAGCAAAAGAAGCTGAATGAAGAAGAAGAAGAAGAAGAAAGTGAATAAATGAAGATGAGAATGATGTTGATGAGGGAAGATGAGCTTGACCAGACAAACAATTGAAATCTCACAAGGCTTTAATTATATCACTGTTTCAAGTGACCTGGATCAAGTTGAATAATGATATTGAAAGGAAAGCTTGAATATTATTGATAAATCTATAAGAAGATGAATAAATGATGACAATGATGAGATGCAAAAATGATTACCAATTTTTGTCCCTTTTTGGCTTTTCTTATTAAGGTTAGTCCCTTTGGTCGAACCCATTCAACAATATTTCAATCCTTTTTTCCCTTCTTCTTCTTCTTCTTCTTCTTCTTTACTCTTTGGTTCCTCTGATGATCACAGAAGATGAACAAAGAAACCAACAGATAAATCTATTCAGATTGTTCATATTCATCATTTCTCTCATCATCACTATCATCCTTCTTTTTTGTCTCTCATGCATATTGAATCCTTAGATTATAACATTGATTTCCATCTTAACTCATACAAGTCCATAAGGAATCAGATTATTCACAAAGAAAGTCCCGAGAAGAAGAAGAAAGAAGAAGAAGAAAATAAAAAGAAGATAAAAATCGTTTCTTCTTCCATTCATTCTCATCATTTTCATTCTCATTTCAACTCATCCTTTCTCAATCAACCAACAAATACTATTCAAGTTACTCACAGTTTTTTTCATCATCACAACCAGATACATTCACTCATCTTTTTTCCTTCATCTTTTCTCATCTTCTCTATTTCAAACTCTTTTCTCTTCATCCAATGTGTGATCATCATTTATTGATGAAAAAAAGGCATTCACTGATTGCTCCTCAATTATTATCATCAGCTACAGAGTAACTCTCCTCTTTGTCTGCCTCAATAAAAACACAAACAAATAAACAAAAAGCTGAATCAAACCGAGCAACACCATTCATTGAATTCACAGGCAAAAAACACTCAGCTTCATGTATTGATATAAATCTTCTTGTTTTCACCATTTCTCAGTCTGATCATCATCTTTCATCTCATGGTAAAAAAATGAGTAACAAATAGCATTAGTACGTAAGTTTTTTTCATATTCATTGAGAAGGAGAAATGGTCAAAAAACATTTTCTCCATCATAATACATCAATACTTATTAATAATTGCAAGATTGGGTTACACTTGAATTTTGTGAAAACAACAAAAGCCATTCTAATCTGAATGCTGATTGATTGTAAAGTGAAATGGTAAACGATTTGTTTCCACAAATTTAATATTCTCAAATTAAACCTGATTTATATCATTTGATTTTAAATTGTTGTCCAAATTGCCGATCATTTAGGTAAAGGTTAAAATGATTGGTAAAAAGATTGAAAACACTTTTGTCAAAAGGCAAAGGAAAAAGAAAAATGAAAATATCGAGTTTGGACTAAATGAGTTTCTTGGGATTCTTCATGTTTCAACCATTGGTGTTGAATGGGCAATCACTCACGACTTGTAACTTGATAAAATATTAACAAGCAATGAGAATCATTTGCATCAAGTTGATTGAATTTTGTCAACAATTTAACAGGCAAAAAAAGCAACAGCAGTCATCATCATTATCTTCATCACTTTCCATGTTTGTCCTTTTACCAGTTTGAAGGCAAAAAACTTTTCATTTTCATCCTTCCATCTCTACCAGTTTAGACCAAAAGTGAAACGCTTAATTTTACCCAATTTTACAAATGCATTGTTATTTGGATACAAAAAAAAAACTTATTGGATTGACAGACAAACACTGAAGTAAACCGTAAGATTTGTGGTTGATATTGAAATTCAAATTGTATCCAATAAAGTTGAGCACAATTTTACGATATTAAGTGTGCCCTGTGCCCATGAGCCTCATCTGCATAATCTTAATAACATTTCATTTCGATTTTATGTCACTTTTTTTCTGTTATTTCTTCCTTTTTTTCAGCTTATTTTTTCTCTCTCTCTCTCCAGCTTAAGTACAATGAGAGGTAAAAGCAGATGTTGATCACATACAGTTAAGGAGTTTTGCATAAAAAACAAGGTACAATTGATAAGCATCTTTTCATTCCCATTGAGCATCACATTGCAATAATGAAAAGTCGCCAGAAAATGTTGGCGATAATCACAATAAAGTACAACACAAAAAGTCCATGTTCAGACAAAAGGGAAGAGGAGAAAGCGATAAGTGCGACCGAGAAAAAAAGCTTTCAATTTGAGGATAAAAATGTTGAAAAAGTGCAATAATATTGAAGAGAAAAGTGAAAAGTAAAAATGGAATATTTTGTTGAAGAGAAATAAAAAAAAAGTCCATCAAAAGTTTACATTTTTTATTTTCTCTGTTTGTTGATGAAAGCAGTGAATTGGGAGCGAATTAACGGTTGATTGTTGAAGATGATGAGAGGGAGGAAGATGAGGTTTGCATCAAGATGAGGAGGTCAGACTGGGCTACTGTTTAAAGTGGGAATTAGTGATGAACCAGGGATGAGTTGGAGAAGAGGAAAAAGTGGCTTAAAAATGCAAGTTTATGAAGGAAGAAGATGAAGAAGATGAAGATGAAAAGAAGGAGAAATATGCAGAAATAATGGGAATGATGAGGAAGATGGGTGGCTGACCAGATGAAAAGAAGAGGAAAACAAAAGACATTTGATAAGCTAAGTCTATTTGAATAGTGCTAAGTCTATGCAAAAAAGGATCATTTCCTTGGTTCCATTTGATCCAACTTTATCCAAGTTCATTTTCATTTTCAAAGTACAGGTCATTTTGAAGAGACAAAAAGATATCTTCTTTATCCTCATCTTTTATCCTCATTTTCCAGGCTGATCGCCCAGATTCATTGTCGCTTTCACATCTTCAGATAACAATCCAGAAAACATTGACATTTACATTGGAAAACATTGGAAAGTCAGAGAGAAATAAAAGTTTACCAGATTAACATCATTAACCATTCCATCCAAATTTACATATAATTTGATTCTTTCATCATTCCTCCATTCACTGTTTGACCATTAATCGGAAAAATTTTGCTTTTCCTTCAACTTTTTATTTCTTTTTCTTCAATGTTTTATGGAGAAACAAATGTTGAATGAAGATGGACTTACAATTAATTAATAGAGTCAACAAGATTAAATGACAAAGAATGGTGGAAAGTGATAAAGAGAAGATCAATGTTTCTTGACCATCATCTTCATCCTCATCTTCATCTTATTTAACCTCGATCAGGATCAAAGAGTAAGACGATGAAATTAGCTTAATCAGGGTTACACTTTGGATTCTTTTTCCTTGAAACATCCTTCTAACCTTATGGTGTCGAGAGAGACACCAACATTTAACAAGACCATTTAAGAGATTGACCTTTTTGTTAAGAGAATGGAGCAACTTGTAAGCTGACCATAGGTGACCTTACAAGTCTCTCATTGATTGACAGGAGAAGAAACAACAGAAAGAAATCTTGAAACACCGAGTAAAGTCAAATTCACCATTCTTCCAGAGTCTAGAGTTTCCCTTATACTCGTCACTCTGTTTGATTAATGAATCCAAAATGAACAAAATCAAAGCCCAAATACACACAAAACCAATGTACAACAGTTGATTGTAAATTGAACATTTTCCTATTCTAATCATTACTTCATCATGTCTCAAGGTTCACCATTTATTATAATTACAATCATAATTCCATATTCAACTTACCATGATAATTCATGTTAACCTTTAAACTCTTTATCACACTTTTGCAGCATTCAAAGAACTAACATCCAATAGAAACAAAACCAAGGAAACAATTGTTTATCATTATTCCAAAAATTAACAATCGAACGAGAAAAATTTTTGAAGTTTGGAAAAAATCGAAAACGAAAATTTCGAATGAGTTTTCTGCAAAATTTTCAGA